TCCCTATGGTTTTGGGGGGGTCACAACCCACAGGTTGAGAAACACTGCCATAGAGCATGTTTATATTAACAAAGGTGGCTACAACATCACTAAGTGATACAACACAGTGTATTACACAGTGAGTGGCAATGTTGAAAATAACTTGAGAAAATAAAAGGACGATGTTTTGTAATTTGATAGATTCTACAAATGAAATGACTTGTAATGAGAAAAGTGCTATGAACCATTAGAGAGGTATTGCTAACAGATAAAGATATGTGAAACTGTACATGGCAGGGTATTTGTCCCCTTTCTCTGATTACTTACCTGGTGGCATGTAGTTTTTAGAATGTATTTTCTGGAGTTTATGAAGTGGTAACCACTAGAGTAACATCATATACATACCTGCTCCCAGCTAACATTCTTAGCAACTCATATATAGTAGAACAAGTAGTTACCCTTCTTAATTTATTCTTGTCTTCGTAGACATTTAAAGGATAACAAATATATTGTATATTACTATTCAATGTGTTTTTGTATTAAATTGGGAGGTAATATAAAGGTGTCCTAAAAATATTTTTTTGCAAAGTTAAACCCTCCTTTTCTGTTTGTATTTTCTTTCATAGGTCAGATGTACCAACAATACCAGCAGCAGGCTGGCTACGGGGCACAGCAGCCTCAGGCTCCTCCTCAGCAGTACGGTATTCAGTATTCAGGTGAGTAGCTGTTAAAAGGGAGTTAATTTGCAGCTTTTGATCCGTCTCCATATTCATTTAATTTTACATTCTTCCTCCTAAGTACATTGTCACAATACGTGTTAAGTACTTATTGGGGAAGCAATACTTATTTACATTGTCATGTTTTATCAAGTCAGCATTTTATGTTTTCAGTGAGCAGTTATGATGTAATGAGAGAGATGATTCTGCAGTAATGTTTGTAAAACATTTTATGCTACAGATTAACAATATAAACTCTTAGATAACTTCAAGTTGAGAAAAATTAAGATTTTCTTCTTTATCTGTACCACTCATAATTCTAGGGTATTCTTAGTATTTGTAGATACATTAACAATTTCCCCACATATGCAGAAGTGAACTTAATAAAAACTAAAATTACTTGGATAGTTAAGCCTGTTGAAAATATACAAAACAAAGAACATATTTACAGTGGAATTCAGGCAAGTAAGAATATTTAGATGTTTGAACCGTGCTGTCAGATCAGGTGACACAGTTGTCATCTGACCCTGGAGTTTCAAACACATGGCATGTCCAGATCATCTGAGGAGCTTTTTTGTAGCTGGGTCCCATTCCCATACACTTTTGAGTATTATTTTGTTTTGGTTTTACAATTTGTCCACTGAAGATATGATATGATGAATTGGTTTGGTTATAATTTAGGTACTTTTTCCAGTTATCAGAGTGTCTATCCACCTTGTTATATATAATCAAAGACTAAGATAACTTCTATAAATTAAATCTTAACAATATTCTATTTTGAAGGTTTTGTGTTATTAAAGTGTAAGTATAGCTCAACAGGTTATAGATATAACTAGATAGATAGATACAGCTATAGTGCAAATCTGCTACTACCTGGTTTTGTAGGAAGCTTTATTAGAACACTCCGTCCTGCTTGTTTCTCACTTGGCCTTGTTGCCATTGCTGATATATTTTGGCACTGAACTGACAGAGTAGAGTGAGTTGTTACAACAGTGAGAGAAGCAATGTAGCCCACAAAACCTAAAATATTTACTATCTGGCCCCTTATAGGAAAAGAGGCTGAACCTTCATCTTTTATTGGTGCGGACAGTTGCTGATTGCTGACCTAGACTACAAAATTTTGTCAGTAATTAAATTTGGTATATTTTTTTACACATTCAGTAATTGTTTGGATTGTATTTGCTGTAGAGTGATTTTTACATTATAGGTCTAATTTCAAAATATAGATGGAGTGAATTTAAAGGAAATGTTACTTTTTTTTAGTGTTGTCCTTTTAAATTAAAAAATGTCTGTGGTTCAAATTACAGAATGTATAGAAATAATAAGCTGCCAGAGCTGAAGAGAGAGTGTCATCATCTGACCTAGGAGATGCTTTCCAAAGCTCATTGTACTTCAAGACCTCCTGAGCGCTTCTTAACCCGGGCCCGAGTCCTTTTGACTTGGGTTTGCTTGGAGGTCATTGTATAGCCAGGGTGAAACCCCACTGATCTTGTCCCGACTCACTCAAGACATGCAGATATTCATTCAGTGAGGGAGCTGGAATGAACCTTGTTCTCTTGACTTACACCATTTTATATTCTCCAGTTTAGAGCAGAGTGGTCAATATTTTAGGCTTAGTTGTAGATATTTATTGATTAAAAAAAGATACCTGTTACTTGCAGTTTGTGATAGTCTTCATGAAACATTCATTTTGGGAGTGGAGACAAGCAGATGTAATAGAGAAGGATTATGGTTGATAGCCCAGTAGATTGCAACCGAAATGGCATTGTTACCACTTACTGCTGTTTCCTGAAGTTTAGATTCCAGTTGCAGAATGAAAAGACATTTGTTTTGTTGTTCCTCCTTCAAGTGGGATAGTCATGTTCAATATAAAGAAGGTGTTCCACAAAAACTTACAGTAAAAAGTTACTCTTCAAAGGGGCTGGTGATTGGCTCAAGGTTGAGAGCTGCTTACAATCACCAGAAACTCCGGCTTTTGTGGGTGGGTGTGCACACACACATTTTTAAGCTTTGCATAGGAGAAATTAGGTGACATTTAAGATCTTAGCATAAATTATGTTAGTTTAGTATTCAGGTGCTACCATGAGTAAAATGCTTTGGATACTTGATATCTGAGCTTTCTCTTAGAAGTTTTAGTCAGGGTCTTCACTGAGTAAAATTTAGTGCTTTTCAAATTTCCTCTATTATTTCTGACCCGACTAGTCCTATTTATTTGACTTTGCCTGGACTTTGACTTTAGTGGTGCTGGTGGTAGTGACATTGACCAATCTCTGATACTTTTGGTTTGCCAGTTTTCCCTCTGACCTTTTCCAGTTTTGTTCATGGACTTTATCATAAAGGTTTCTTTCATAAGTAAATTTTGAACCCAGGTTCAAGGTGAGTTCAGAATATACTCAAATTCATTCAATCCTTTTTTTTCTAAATGCAGGGTTGTACATATTTTAATAATTGTCTTATGTATCTGGTATTTAATGCTGACAGGATTCCAGTCAATGGAGAGGTTTCATTGCAAGTAGCTGCAGGTGTGTTTCATGGTAGAGATAAAAGTTTTCAGTGAAGCAGATTTTGTTTTTAATTATATCCTAGTAAATAATGACTAGATATTGATTTTGTGGGGCAATGTGCTATGTTTTTTTGTTTGTTTGTTATGCCATACTAAGTCAAAATTTGAGTTTTAAAGGCAAAGTGTCAGATACCAAATATAAGACTTTAAGAAATGTAAAAATGGTACTTAGTAATTTTTCTTATTTATAGTGAATAAACTTTGAAACACTTCATTTTTATGAAGAGTATTTGTAACATTGTTTCATTTCTAAAGCAATTGTCTGTAATGTGTTTTCATGTGGTACTGTTAAATAGGACCACTCTCCAAACCTGATTAGTGGCTACTTTGCTTTTATGATTTTCACCTTAGCATAATTCTCTCACTATTTGAGATGGGGATTTGCTCAAGGGTTATTTAGTTTCAAAGCAATTGTAATGAAAAGACATATATAGAGAGTAACTTGAATTTTAGAATATAGATTTTAAAAATTGAAAAAATTTTATAAATACTTGGCCTTGAGATATTTTATGCTGGACTTACTACATACATGTTTGTGAATACATTTATTAAATTTTTAATCATTTTTGGTCCATAGCAGTAAGACTCTGGAAAACTGTCACCAAAAGAACCAAGACATATGTTACTTATTTTGCCTTTTCAGCTAGTTACAGCCAGCAGACTGGACCCCAACAACCTCAGCAGTTCCAGGGATATGGCCAACAACCAACTTCCCAGGCACCAGCTCCTGCCTTTTCTGGTCAGCCACAACAACTGCCTGCTCAACCACCACAGCAGTACCAGACGAGCACTTATCCTCCACAAACTTATACTACCCAAACATCTCAACCTGCTAATTATACTGTGCCCCCTGGCACTCAGCCTGGAATGGCTCCAAGCCAACCTGGTGCTTACCAACCAAGACCAGGTTTTACGCCATCTCCTGCAGGTACCATGACCACTCCTTCCAGTGGGCCTAACCCTTATGCCCGTAACCGTCCTCCTTTTGGTCAGGGCTATACCCAACCTGGACCCGGTTATCGATAAGGAGGTTCAGCTACACTAATGATGGCTAGTTGCCTCCCAAAAGACTACAATACTATTTTGTTTCAATTTGTACTGTATTGAAGTTCAAAAATTTTAAAAGCAGAGCAAGTTTTATGATATCATTGTTGCTGTTAATTGAAAGTATAATTTGCCGGAATACATACACAGAAAGACCAAAATGAACATTGTTTTCCTCCCCTGCTTAAAACTGTAGCAGCTTCTTAGTTATTTTGGAACACTACTCTTTCATGTAAAATGATTGGCTTTCTACTTCCCAGAGGATATTAAAAAGCTAGGCTAAGGTTCAGCCATCACACTTGGCTATTTACTATTAACATGATGTACTAAAAATAGAGCCCTTTGACAAGATGACTAGACATTATGTATAAAATGTAACATTGATAGGCTAATAAAGGTGATTGAATCCAATAGTGGTCTTGTAATTTAATTATTTCAGACATAAGGAAAATAGTCATCTTATTAGTATATGGTCTTCAAGCAAAATTTATGAAATTGATTTCCATTCGGGGAAAGAAATATATATAACAAACTTGACTTAGATTGTAAACACATTAGGGGTTTGGTAGCTCTTAATTTCCCGATTTTCCTTATGGAAATAAAGGTGCATTTACATATTGGCAAACTATTCAGAACATTTTAAAAAACATTTTTTTAGAAACCTACATCTTTTTATTGCAGAGTTTATATTTGCTTGAGAAATACAAAATGTAGCATTGATGAAACTAAGACATATTAAAATATACATACAGAGAGGTCATTTCAGGGCAGGCAATAATATTCTTGGCGCCTTCCTCCATACGAAAGAAAGCAATACCTTTTTTTTTTTTTTTCATGAAAATGAGTCAGTTTTGTTACAGCTTGAGTAAACAGTGTCACAAAAACAACCTGTGAATACATTCATTCATTCATGGCCTTAGTGTATAAATATATAATATATCCTATGAAACAACAGCATTTTACCATGCATTATCTTTTCATGCTGACTTCACACTCAGGCTCTACATACAGCTTCAATAGAACCATAGAGCCGTTTAAAAGAATTGCTTAAAGAGTTTGAGAAAGTATTTTTAACGATTTATCATTTGACATGTCAGATTATCAGCTGTTTCTGGCTGAAATAAAATTATATGGGTTCAGATTTTTCTTTTTAGTAATTTTCTGGTAGCTTATGGAAAAGGTAGCATGAATATATAGCTATTTAAACTCAAAATCTGTTCATCTGATGCTAAAAAAATTGAAGTTTAACATAAATGTAAATATTAGAACCACTTTCTCTCACATGTATATGCTGAAGATTATTTGATCCAATAAGTTAAACCAAGTAGAGATTTATGGAATTAACTCACCAACAACACATACACATCAATAAAGTAAATACTTTTTATAAAGCATATTAAAGATTTTTGACATTAATCTTGTTATAAAAGTATCTGAAAACATTACAACAGTGATAAATAATATACAAATGATCTCTTAAAATATCATGAACAGGGAGCCAGCTTCCCTAAAAATGTTATTCTATTAATGTTAATATCTTGCTTTCTTAAAATGACTCTGTAAAACCTGATAAATCTTCTCAGTAATCTTTTCTAATAATAAACATCTAGTACTGCTATCAGTTAGACTGGAAACTTTTATACATAGTAAACAAAATAGCTTTGAATAGGTGTGACAAATACCATAGTATTTCCAACGGGTTCTTTGTTTCTTTCTTTTTTTTTTTTTTTGCGATAATGAACCAGAAGTGCTTTGATTCCTGCATCTACCATTTTCCAGGTATTGTGGTCCCACATTCATACCACTGGACATAATTGATTTGGGTATGACCGCCTATTTCTCCAAATTGCACAGGTTCTTGGCGAACGGCTCTGAAATAGCCTAAGAGGAAAAAGTTTAGTTTAATAGAGCTTTCATTATCTTTGCCCGCACCATTCATAGTTACAAGGCTGTTTGGTGGCTGAAGATTATTCTGAGTGAAGCAAAGCCATTTAGAAAACTAGTGATTATAGAGAATCTGATGTTTATCCAGAAACACAAGGGCCCTAGGACTTGAAGTCTTGGCATTTGTCTTACTCTAAAGAGTGGTTTCAGGTCCTGTTATGTCCAAGTGCCTTGTAGAGGCATCTTTAAGAGGCTTGGTATTAGTGTTCATGGACAAATGTGTAACTGGGAACCTCAAATAATGAGGTGTTTGCTGAGTGATCTGGGAAGTTTCCACTTTTCTGTTCTGCTTAGGCAAGGATTAAGTTTTCAGTCCTAGTTATACAGCCTGCTGTTAGTATGTATTTAGGAAACTGCTGAGTATATTCACTTCTCAGATTATTTTAATTGCTTTATGTAGATATTTTTAAGGGAAATACTGTATTCCTTGTATAGTAGAAATAAATTTTTCTTAACAGTTTTTAAGGGAGCAAAAAAGATGATCAGGTATGTCCCATATGCCTAAAGCTGTGAGAGGCAACTGTGGTTGGGACAATATGAGTGATACAAACTTGGAAAAGATTTTGTTTATCTCAGAATAGATTTATATATTTAATTAAGTTTCTTCTTTCCCTAGTGGTAGAGGAGCAGTTCTGTAGCCTTTTCTGTCAGCTGATTGCTTTCTGTGCTAATCTGCAAAACCCTCTACTTTGGATGGCCAGAAAGCATACCTTCTTTGGTGGGTAACTGGTCAGAGGTGAGTTGCTGTCCTGTGCGGCCATCTAAAAATGAATCCACAAACTGGCAGTGATCTTCTCCGTGACCTCTCTGATCTCCTATGTTGTAAAACTTGCCTGAAGAACCAGAAGTGAAACAGTGTTCTCTTTAGTGTATGGCAATCCCATTATCAATTATTTCAAAGGATAGCTTTGCTTTGCTTTTCCTTCACTTCCCAGATTAAAGGCCACTAGCATCTGGAACTAGGAAAGTTTCCTAGCTGATATGCTTGCTTGTACTCTTACCTCCTAATGTTCTCCTTTCTCCCTTCAGATCACAGTGACTTTTAAAAATGAAGTAATGTTATTACATCCATACTCTCGCCAGCAGTCGCCTATTATATTCAGAATACAATTTCTCCTTTACTAAATCTTAGCCTGAACTAGTAGGACTGACCAGTATGTCCTGCACTTTCTCTTTCCTGCACCTCTCCAGAGATCCTTTGTTCCTAGATTTTTCGTAGTTGATTTCTCCTCAAAATTTATTCTAAGCAGACATGATACCTTTGCAGACAGACCTTCCCTAAAACTCTTCAACTAAAGGAGCTTCCATTTCTGCTGAGCCATTCTGTCTAACCCTGTGTGACATTCTTAATTTATTTGTTTATTTATTGTGTCTCTCCTTCCTCTAGAGAGGAAGAGTTACTCTATATGAAAGCAGGAATATGGTATTTGGTGCTTTGTCATCCACCAAACCCAGAATAATACCTGATGGATGAGTAGACCAAAGTCTTTCCACCATATGAATATAGAAGAAAACATTATAAATGAATATGGTGCAAGGGGTGTGAGCCCTTCTGACATTTGAAGGATGTCACAGTCCTTTTTTTTATCATTTTTTTATTTGAATTAGAAATAAGATAGGATTTTGATTTCTTGGGTGGTCGTGACAGTACTGAGCTTTGCTGTGGAAGTGCCTGTCTGTTCTTTTAAGTTGATCATCATGTCACTGTTGTATGTGGCATTTTCATTATCTGTCTCCAAACTGTAGATCTTTAAGTCCTCATTTCTAAGATTGTTTTAACTATATCTGTAACATCTTATTCTGAAAGAAACTTCTATAAAGTGCTAGGTCTGAAACTCCATAGAAAGGCTAGGGTATTGGTACGTACCTGTGAGAGAGTCACTTAAATAAATCTTGTATCTAAGAGAGTTGCATAGCTGCACGCCGACAAATTTCTTATACCATGTCCTTTTAACATACTGCTTGCCTTTACAGTCTGAGTAAGAGTCTGAATTAAAGGGTCTTTCAGTCCAGATGGCATCTCTTCCTGCTGCAGGAGGAAAATACATGATTTGGGTTTAGTACTTAACCCTGAAGAACTAAAATCTTTACAACAAAAGCAGCCTTCGGAGTTATGCCAATTTGCTGATACCTCATTCCTTTAATACTGTAAATATTGGGAGCTGAAAATATTTGAAAGGGTTTAACAAACCCCAGTGTAAGTTTCTGTCACTAGTGAAATAAATCTCAGAGCAGTATCTTAGGTTCTTTTTTGCAACATAGTGTAAAATTTAATGTAAACAAATTAAACAGATTTTGAGTGGACTAGTATATCAGGGAAAGCAAATCTCAACACCTCCCCAATGGGTGACACCTCTTCTTTCTAGACAGAAAGGTAGGTGCTCAGCTCAAGTTCTGTGCTTGCTTAATTTAGAAATATATGTAGTCCCCATTGAGACTGGTACTCACCAGAAATCGGCTCACTCACTCTTGGGTCGGCTGAGGAGGAACAACACACAAAAGAGCCTGTTAGGTGAGGTTCTGCTATTGCAGTAGTAAGCTAAAGAAGATGGCTGTGTGCCCTTAGGTCTTGTTTGCATAATATTAAATCTTGCTGAAGACTGAATCTGAAAGTTTTGTTTTGGAAATGGTTGTTGATCACTCTTCAGCTACTCAGCTGCATCTTTTACACATGATTTGAGTAGATCTGAGTGTAGGTTGGTTTTTTTGTTTGTTTGTTTTTGTTTTTCGAGATAGGGTTTCTGGGTGTAGCTTTGGAGTCTGTCCTGGCACTCGCTCTGGAGACCAAGGTGGCCTCGAACTCAGAGATCCACCTGCCTCTGCCTCCCGAGTTCTGGGATTAAAGTTGCCCGGTTTTGTATTAGAAGTAGCAGCAGCTTTTCTTCTTTCTAAACCAAACCTTTCCCAACAGAAATGAATGTTAACTTTTCCAAAATGTGTAGTTTAAAGTTCTGTAAATTTGTCTGCATAGAGATTTCCTCTGTGGAACTGAAGCTTTGGAATGTGCAGATCGTTTCATAGAACTCAGGACTTCCTCCTCTGGGGCAGTGGGTGCACTTTATCCTGGGCATGTGAGGAAGCAATCGTGTACTAGGTTTTGGGGTATACATTACAGGTTTTCATTTTAATTTCTTTTCTGACATAAACCCTAAGTGAAGAAACATGGTGATAACTGTAAGTACCTTCCTCTATTAGCTTCTCATGGGTTTTTTTCAGAATTCAAGACCACTCTGGGTTTCAAATATGCTCCTGTGCAACCCTTGTGATTGTGTTCCTTCACGTCCATATATGAGTACTGCTGACATGATTACCTGATTCAGTACTGAATGCCACGGTGTTGCTGGCAGGGCCCTCACCAAGTGGATTTTTGGGTTTCACCTGGAATTCATAGCTGTGTAAGAAGAAATAAAAATAACAGTAACATCTTTTTGAGGGTTTTAAGGAACAACATTTTCTTGATATACTAACTCCTGTTTCTTTCTCAACATCTTGTCTAATATTTCATATGAGAAAAACATTAACGAAAAGTTAGCCGTCTTAAAATAACAAATTAGTAGAAATAACCAGTCAGGTTTACAATAACAAATTAGTAGAAATAACCAGTCAGGTTTACAATGGATATATGGGAAAGATATGCGGTGACCCACTCTGATTTGCTTCAGATGTCACCTGGAGAGCTCTTCTTGTTCTTCCCTGTCATCCCAGCAGAGGGTGGCAATGAGGAAAGTTTCTCTAAATGCAGATTATTTGTCCCACCTCTGCCACGGAGAATAAAAACTTGAGTGAGTTACTGCCATGCGTTCTGTGGCCACTGGTTTTGAGAGATACTGGTTGCAATAATGGAAACACATGAGGGGAATGTGTCTTTGCAGTGCTGGTTGTCTCTCCTGGAACTTGGGTCTGATACAGATCACAGGGAGTCAGAGTGTCCAGAAAATGGGCTGTTAGCATCCTAAGAGCCTGAACACAAAGCTGAGACTTTGTTCCCACTCTACTCAGTAAGTCAGGCTCACACTGCTCAGGTCCTCTTTTATTTTATCTTATTTTTTTAAAGTGTACTTGCTTTTGCTCTATCCCTAAGAGTGAGTCATAAAATTGTGCATAATTGGCACATCTTTTTCACAAGCTATAAAAACTTCAAATCCTCTTGAGAAAGCCAGAACTTAGTAGGGTAACATTTGTCTGAAACAGACTTCCTTCAGCAGAGGACTCGCCTGCATTTGCTCTCGGGCTTAAACAGCCTGAGTCAGCAGATAGTGTTGTGTGATCTTTGCAAGGTTTTCAGAAGATAAATTTCATGTTTGAGAAGTTTGCTCCAAAGTAAAAATGTAGAGCAAACAAGGTAAGTATTTTGTAAACAGGTGAGAAACAGAAGGGATGACAGTTCTCAGTTTGGTCAAGATGGTGCTAAAAACAAAAGGGAAGGGTCCTTGGAGTAAGTTTCTTTACTACTAACAGATCACTTCCAGATTCTAGTAGGACAGATTCCACTGTTGACAAGATAGGAACCACTTTTTTAAAGTCCTTACTATGTGTTATAATAATAATAATATAATCCAGCACACAAACCCCATGAGGTATGCTCCCAAAGTCTCATCTATTTCAGGACAGTGAAGTTTATAACTATTGTAATACTTTCACTTTTCCAAACTGGAAATATCTGTGAAATAGTATTAAAACTTTCCTTTAACTCATGAGGTCCCACCTCTCCCTAAAGAGCTATTGACAGCTAGTGGCTTCTGGGAAAGGGAGATTTGTCTTCCTTCAGTGGTGAAGCCAGTGTAAATTGTCCAGAGTCCAGTAAATAATCTCACATGCATATGCAAGCAACCTTAATTAAACTCAGTGGGTCATTTCTAAAAGATTAAAGTAGGGGGAGATTTTGATAAGAAGAAGAGGTACAGAGGGATTGGGGGCTATGAAGGGAAACTGGGAGATAATGTCAAAATTCATTGTATACTCATATGAACTTTTCAAAGAATAAGTTTTAAAACCCTTTTAATGTTGACTTCTCATATCTATTTCTGTTTTGTCTGTAATGGTTATAATAGTAACCCTAATGTCCAAAACCACAATTTCATCTTTGTTATAGGTAATCCATGAAAATTGGGTTGTTCATGTTTGAATAGAGATTAATTAAAAGACCCCTAATCTGGAGGAGCAGAGAGACTGAATTTAAAAAAAAAAAAAAAACAACAACTTAATTCTTAAATACGGAAGTAAAAGCATTTTGAAAGCTAAAGAACTGATAGAAAGTGTTGTGCTATTTCTCATAAGAAAATGCCGGGCTGGGGAGATGACTCAGTGTGTAAAGTGAATGCCGTGAGAACCAGTATTCCAATCCCCAGCCTGGCACCCATATCAAGCAGGGCAGGGGATGGAGGGCAGCAGTGCATACAATCTGTAATCCCAAATTCAGTGCTCCTGTAGCATGAAGGGAAGTGAAAACAATAGAAACTCATAGGTCAGCTTGCATAGCCACAGAGCAGCAAACAACAAGAGAGACCTCTTAAAACAAAAAGCAAGGCTTAAGGCTCAGAGCTGTACTCTGTCCTCCACAGTGCATCATGGTATGCACACATGGGACTGCTCTTGCACACACATGATCACACAGACATATAAACAATGCTGATCTGAAAACACCTAGGTTTATTTTACAGGGTGGTTTTGGCTATCCTGGCCTTTTTGGTTTTCCATATAAAGTTTAGTATTGTTCTTTCAAGGTCTGTGAAGAATTGTGCTGGGGATACTCTCTCAGCCTAGATATATGGCTCTGCTTCAAATAATATGACAGACTTTGGTGATTCCCATGGAAGGCCTCACCCTCTCTGGGGAACACAAGGGGGATGGAATGGGTTGGGGGGGCATGGGAGGATGGATATGTAAAATGAGATTGTTTCTAATTGAAATAAAAATATAAAAAAAGAAAACACCTCTGCTATTTTTACTTAAATCACATACATGGGATATTTCCAAGATTATATTCCTACAGCAAGTGATCTCAAACAGTCCCAATCATAACATAAAACCCCATAAGACTGGTGAACTGAGTATTCAAGGCAATGGGGGGATGAATTCACAGGCGTCTGCAGTTTGATTTGAGTGGGGGTGCATGTCACATCTATTCTTGGCCAGATCTGACCACTGGACTCCTTTCCATGTCATTCTGTTTTGGCTAATTACACTTGATCCTTGCTTCTAGCATGGCCACAAGTTTTCATAACAATTTTTCTGAAGGTTTTCCCCAATATTTTATTATAGAAATAATAAAATAGAAATAATAACAAACCTATGTTTAACAACACGAGGACATGTTTTGGCTGATTAAGCCCTATATAAACAAACAAATGTTTCTGGTGGTAAAATCTTTCCCAGAAACCAGAAAGCACATTTTATCACATGAGTGACACCATATGCCTCTAAGAGTCAAGTCTCAAAAGTACAATGGTGGACATAAATATAGGGTGCTACTTCAGAATTTTAGCAGTTATTTGAAAATACTGAAAGCTTAGAAGATAGAGTTGACAGTGTACAGATAAATAGACGTAAAAGTCAAAGTTACAAAATAGTAAGATTGGGTTACTGTTGAACACCCAACTGGCAGAAACTATAAAATAGGGATTCCAATCCTCCCTGAATTTAAAGATACAAGTCTTCAAGGTTAAAAAGGCCTACTCCATTCCCAAGAAGAGGAGAAAGGAATTAAAACATACAAATTGCAAATTTTCAGAGTACCAAGGGATGACAAAAACAAAACAAAACTCACCCAACCTGAGAGTAAAATAATGGACCCTATTTGAGGGATCAAAATCAGAATGGTGTTTTAACTCACAGCAGGACTGGAAGGCAAGGGAAAATCAACACTCTTAGAAGGTCTTCATTTTATCAGCTTATCTTAAAATCCACATACAGCTGAACAAAAGGATCAGAAGAAACAAGAAATACAAGTAAAGACAGACTGCTTTTCCAATGTTTGATTCTTAAGAAGCCACAAAGTGAGGAGTGGCGGCAAGAGTTTAATACATTAAAAGACTTAAAACCCTACGTATTATCCTAAAGGGAAAGGATAGTGGAGGGTAAAATTTGAGACCAATATAGTTTGGAGAACAGCTATAATAATTGACATGCAAATTAAAAAGTTATCAGTTACTGGAACAAAGTGAAAAATGGTTCCAGAGAGTGTGGTCTGTAGCTGTTGAGCTAATCTGTCAAAAGCAGAAGAATGTCCACCTCTAGGAGCTACCCTCTGCACCGTCGGTATGGAGTAAAGCTGCAGGGCCCCAATGGGATGGATACCGCCATCACTCCCTCACCCCTTCTCTGTAGCCTTCAGTTTTGGCATAAACTTAGAATTGTTATAGTTTTTCATTGTTGTCACTTACATAGCTCCCTACTGGTTAGAAAAGTTAGGTTAACAAAATTCTTAAACCTCAAACTAGCTGGGCATTGGTGGCGCATGCCTTTAATCCCAGCACTAGGGAGGCAGAGGCAGGCAGATCTCTGTGGGTTTGAGGCCAGCCTGGTCTCCAGGGTGAGTGCCAGGATAGGCTCCAAAGCTACACAGAGAAACCCTGTCTCAAAAAAAAAAAAAAAAAAAAAAAAAAAAACCCTCAAACTGCTTCTTATAAAACTTGTTTTTATACAAAAACACTTGTGGCTGTGTTTTGGTTTGGAATGTATGGCTATTAGCTCATTTTACCCCTACTGGAGACCCATTTAGGTGGGGTCTTCTGTCAGAGGAAGGGAATCGGGAAAAGTTGAATAAGAAAGAATAAAAGGCAAGGACACTGGAGGGCTACAGCATTTAGGACACTGCATCATTGGAAATACAGGTAAAGATCTAGGGGGCAGAGTGGAGTAGGATGCCTCAGTTAGGGACAGAACCTGCATGGTGGCACATTCCTGTATCCCAGCACACCCACTTGTGAAGATGGAGCACAATCACAAATTTGGTGCCACCCTGGGCAACATACCAACTTTTCTCAAAATGAAAAGAAGGGGAAAGAAAGAAGGTGGCAGGGAGAAGGAACAGAAGTGACAGAAGGGAAAATAGAGATGCAGAAATCATGGAAGATCAAAACCTGGCTGTCCATTATGACTCAAGGGAAGTTTCTTACGTCTTCCATTTCTGGGGATCAGGGGTGAGAAACTAGACATTCTAGAGTTGGGCTTCACTTCTAATTCTGGTGCTGCTGTGACTTCCCCCCCCTTTCTAGATACAAGGAAGGAACTATAATAACAAGGCATACAGTGATGAGCACAAATCTGACCTCTCTACAGGCAAGTAGAGATCCATTCTTGGAGAGCTGGTCCTTTTGCCTGGTGCAAAGTTAGTAGCTGAGCAACTGCCTCTGTTGCTTTCTTTAATATGGAAGGAATTATTGTCTGTTGCCCACACCTACAACAGAACTAAGTAAACTGCCTGATGCTTTGGCACCTTATTTTACTTTATACCAAATCTATAGATGGTGTTGAAAATTAAGTAAACCTAAATTTCACATAAACCCTGTGATCCAGGCATAATGACTATTCCACACATTTCTTTGAGCCAGATTCACAAATTATATGAAGTTGTCTGTGTTGCAGCTGGCCATCAGTGCCAATGTTTTATTAACTTAGTGCAAACAAGAGTCCCAAACATCAGTAGGTTTTAGTCTTAGAGAACTCTCCCCCAGAATCCTGAGCCCACTGATGTCAATAAAATACATGAACAGATGAAGTGAATTTGATTTATCTTAATTATCAGTCCATTTTCCATAGGAAATTGCTGGACCACATGTAATTCTGGCATGCACAACAGACTCTTCAGTTTTTCAGCAGAGTAAGGAGGGGAATAGGCTTTCTGGAACAGGCCTGAGCCATTAAAGAGCCTTTTCAGCCCAAGTGATCATGTGTGCCCATTGGCATTGCTAACTAGATCATCAGGAAGAGCCCATACCATCAATATGTTACCAAACAAAGCACTTAGCAGTTCATCTCAAGACAGACTTAAAGTCAAGCTGCTGACCAAGACATTCACTATGGGCTCATCTGGTTTTGGTTTATTCTCATTGACTGCATGGCTTTGCCTATCCCAAAACTATGTGCCAGAAGACCCTGAGGATCAGCTAAGCCACACTGCCTGGCCCTATCAATACTGGTGCCAGATTAACAAGTTGACATATTCTTTATCACCTCCCCTATTTGAAACCAGCATGGGACTGATCCAGACCCCCTGAATGTGGGTGTCAGTGAGGAGACCTCGGAAATATATGGGGCCTCTTGTAGTGGATCAGTACTTATTCCCAGCATAGGAATGGACTTTGGGAGCCTGTCCCACATGGAGGGATACTCCCTGAGCCTAGACACAAGGGGGTTGGCCTAGGCCCTATCCCAAAGGATATGACAGACTCTGAAGACGCCCCCTATGGAAGGCCTCACCATCCCTGGGGAGCAGAAAGGGTATGGGATAGGTAGGGTGTGAGGTAGGGGGCAGCAGGGGAGGAGGGGAGGGAGAGGGACCTGGGATTGACATGTAAAATAATCTTTATAATTCAAATAAAAAATAAAAGAAACAGTAAAAAAAGGTAAAATGTTTATGGAAGAAATGCATGTTTTCTACAGTAAAGGACTGAAATTTATACATAGTTAACCTAATTAGTTTCTTTTCCTCTGTAATGAACTGAAAGATGTCCCTACCACTGCCAGAGTTAAAACAGGCTCATTCTCATGTCACTCTCAATATAGTACTCAACCCAGTCAGAAGATGATGGAGAGGGCTATAGCAAAGGAAACTTAGGAAAGAAAGGAAACCCTCTTCTAGGAACTCTCTCTAGAGCTAATCAGAAATGTCTCAGGACCCCCCTTTTCTTCTTTCAGTAATAAAATGAATTGATAAGATGTTCTAGACAGAAAAGAAATCATAAAACTATACTGAAATATGAATGACCTCATGTTAAAATATGCAACTGATCACCAAAATTCTATTCTCCTTTTCAGTGTAAAAAGTCCCCAAAGCAAAGGGCTGCTGCACCTCTGGTGGTTTGAAAGAGAATGGCCCCCATATGCTCAAGTTTGGACTTTTAGTTAGTGGAAAGGATTAGGAAAGGATTGGAGGTACAGTTTTGTGGGAAGAGGTGTGTCGATGAGGGTGAGCTTTGAGGTTTCAAAAGCTCACACCAAAAGCCAGACACAGTCTTCTGCTCTTTCTATATCCATCTTGCCAAGATGTAAGCTCTTAGCTACTGCTCCAGTGTCATGCCTGCCTGTTGCCATGCCTCCCACCATGATGGTCATGGACTAAACCTCTGAAACTGTAAACAAGCCCTCAATTAAATGCTTTCCTTTTATAAGTTGCCTTGGTCATGGTATCTCAGCACTGTAATAGAACAGTAATACATCACGGGGCCCATAATTGCTATTTGAAATAAAATCTTTGTGTTTTGTCAAATAGTTTGCATCCCTTGCTTTCTCCATACCAGCATCAGAGTCCAGACCTCAAAAGTCTAGTTTATACCATGTGCACTCCATTTATCTATAGCTCATAGACTTTCTAAAACTTGGCTATTTAAAGTCAGTATTTGCATAGCTGTGCAGTGGTAGTGCACGACTTTAATTCCAGCACTTGAGAGACAGAGGCAGGCAGATCTCAATGAGTTCTAGGTCAGCCTGGTCTGCAAAGCAAATTCCAGGACAGACAGAACAACAACAAAAAAATCAATATTTGCTATTAATGGCCTGTTTTTATGTTGCCATTTATACTGTTAACTTATAAGGCCATCCTATTACCTCTTTTATCCTAATAACAAGAATATTTTGAAAATGTGATACAATGTATTCAGAAGTGCATTAAAGGAACCCAGAATTAAAACAAGATCCCTCTTTAAGGTATCGTTCTGAACTTTGTTGTGGCTGCAGTTTCTGTGCCACTCAGAATTCGCCTGGAACAGCACTGGGCCTTCCTTACCTTGTGTCTGGCTTCAAGTTTTCTACTGTAGAAAAGGTTTGGTTCGTAATTTGAATGGACTTGTTCTTCCCACTGAATGACCCATTTTCTCTGGATATGACTTCATATTCTGAGAATGGAGGAAAGCAGTAGACACTTCTGTTATGTCTCGGTTGATTTATTTGTTCCTAAGGCTGGTAACATGCTAAAGACACTCTCATAGAGATGACAGATGGACAGCAATTCTAGAAACTGATCTTAAAAATAGATTTATTTTTAATTCTCTCTCTCTCTCTCTCTCTCTCTCTCTCTCTCTCGCTCTCTCTCTCTCTGTGTGTGTGTGTGTGTGTGTGTGTGTGTGTGTGTGTGTGTGTGTGTGTGTGTGTGTGTGTGTGTGTGTGCATGCACGTGCACTTGTGGGTCCCTGTGAAGTCCTGGAGAGGGTGTTGGATTCTTGGAGATGAAGTTACAGGTGACTGTGGAGTGCCCAACATGGGTGCCAGACATCAAAGCCATGTGCTTGAAAGAAGAGGGAGTGCTCTTAACAGGTGAGCCATTCTCCAGCCACAAGACACCATTGGGCTGGAGCAATTTTCAGTCACCAGATGGCAGAGGTTCTCAAAGCATTTGGGGAATGGCATATTAACTAATCTTGCTTTATCAGCGTGAAAGAAGACCTAATACCTGGGGAAGACTGCTGACCATTGCTTTGGATATATAGCTTAGTTTGATAGAAAGGCCTGTTTAGGGAAAGCACTGTATGAGGGACAGTGCTTGTATGGAAACCATATTTTATGCTATGCGGGGCAAGGAGTATGGTGTCCTGCTACAACAAATCTGACCCTAAAACTGTGTGTCAGCAGCAACAGTTAACTAAATAATATAACCCCTTAATTGTTTAGAGCTGCAGAATTCGAGTTTTGAACCTAATGCTTATTTCTATCCCCTGGATAGTTTTCTTTGTATTTAATAAAAGCTACAACCTTAATGTCTATGTAAATTTCACTTAAAGGCAGATTTCTATGAACTTGCAGGGCTCATTCATCAATAGAGAAAGGTCTTCATAAAAAGAGAATCTGACAGACATGTTCACTTGATTCCCTACTTCCCATTTGGGAATCAGGAGAGATAATGTCTGTGTTATCTGAGCTGCTAGCTGGCAGGTAGTCCCATCTGAAGTCAACTTGTATTTCATATAACACTGAAATTAAAAAATTGAATCTATGGAGATCGTTAGGAGAGATAGTCTGAGATTTAAAGATAGATTAAGAGAACAATGGCTAAATGTGGAGTGTAGCTAAAGAGCAAAATGTGATGTGTGGCCATGAGCACTTTATTGTGAAGGACTCTGAGCAGCTCATTAGCATCTAGTAAGAAAATATTTATTATTTAATTATTACTTGGGTATATAAAGTCTACTCTCCTTGTGACTTGTTACAATTAAAATTTATGTAACTCAGCTGGGTGGTAGCAGCATATGCCTTTAATCCCAGCACTTGGAAGGCAAAGGCAGGTGGATCTCTGCAATTTCAAGGCCAGTCTGGTCTGCAGAGTGAGTTCCAGGACAGCCAGGGCTACCCAGAGAAACCCTGTCTTGAAAAACCATATTATCCAAATGGAGATGGGATAGAAATTGGTTAGATCAGATTAAATAATTCCAACTTGGTAGCCCACCGTCTTTAGGGCAAATAAAATTAGGTTTATCGTTTGGTTTCAGGAAACTAAGAACTCTTATTAGCACAGTGGGTAATCAAGAGTTTCGGATGTTGGAATACATGACGTGGATAATCAATACTGAAAGGTGACTGACTTTTAGGAATTAAGATAGCAGCATCTACTGGCTCGACCCTACAGGGATAAGCAGGACTTGGCAGATTCCTAGGAATGCTGGTGGTGATGGCAGACTGTTCTTAGGACAGAGGCTGCCCTTTCAGGGGAAAGGGAACTGAAGAAATATGACAGTTCAGCAAATGTAAAGTTTACATGGGAAGTTGCTCCAGTCACGTGGTTTTGAAATAGAAACAATTGCTTTGTTCTCCTTTACCCACAGTGGAAGATATTTTCGGGAAGATTCCAAGTCTCCTCATCTACACCCTTACCTTCCATTGTGCTCCTGTCTACCTCAGACAGCTACTTAGTCTATGCTTCTGTTCCCTGAAACAGGGAATCCCATGGACTCCGACTGATTAGCAATCCCTGATGTCAGTCTGTTTCTGATTTCTTGTTTGGCCCTCTTTTTCTATATGTAGAATCAAAGTGTGCCAAACCAATTGTAACAAATTAAAAAAAAAATGACTCTAGGTTTCTTATTTTCCATGACCATTTATAGAGGAATTAGGTCAGTGTAGCACAGTCAGAATTTTCCTGAGAGAAGCAGCAAATTGCCTGGGAGTGAGGGAGTTTGTTTATTTTATTTTCAGTTTCTCCAAAGTTAGTTGAAATAATTTTTAGCCTGTTTAGTTCTCAGCTGGTTTGGAAACTGGACTGGTGAAAAGAAAGCTATTTTTGATATTATCAGAGGTGTCAAGTCTTCACACACTTTATGTGATTTTCTTGGTAAAAATTGCAAGACTATGTTTCCAAACTGTGGAAGGGAATTCTGAGAAGGATGGGAAGAATACAGCTTTAAAGTTCTCAGTTAACTAGGAACCCATAACAAAACCATCTTTTTTCCACCTATGACACTTTGAACAACAGAACTTTGCTCCTCCTTAGATGTGATTTCTGTGCCACAGTTTGACCCAGGCTGCCTAGTTTGGAAGTACTGTGCTATCAAAGCTTCCCACCACAGCATCAAATGCTAGTGCCATAATCTTACCAGTGACAGTGTCATTCAGTGGCTTTTCCCAGTCCAAGATGACAAATGAGGGGCAGCCTTCCACAGTGACCACAGTGAGGTTGGTGGGCGGGTTCTGTGGTGGGCTGGTGGCATTCCCCTCTGTGGCATCCTCTGTCGGGAACCGTCTGACCGAGTCAGTGATGGAACAGGGCCTGTTGTCTGGCTTTGGGATGTATCGCACATGAGGGCCTATGGGTGGGAGAGGGGACTCCGATGGTTAGCACACTCATGAAGAAGATAAGGAAGTAAATCAGTCAATTTGATTGTCTACTGGAGGACTCCAGCGTCATATTCTGAACAGACATTGGAAAATAGTGCTGAGGATGGCTTAGCCTTAAAACTCTAAACTCCTGCCTCTGGGGTATATAATGGAGATTCTGCATTTGTAGATATAACTAGTATTAATCTCTTTGGATACTGTTTGGTCTCTTTAGTTAGTTTCTACCTCACAATGACGAGGTAGTGAGTCTCGGGCAGTAAGCATGAGTAGCATAACAAACAACATTCTGAAGAAAGCCAGACTTACAAGGACCGAGCTGTTTTGAATAATCAACTGTACCTCAGAACAAAACTCAAGGGTATCTTAGGAATAAGGTGTACAACACCCCAGCAATGTCAAATTCACAGGAAAATATTGTTCATAGTGAGAAAAATCAGTCCTTTGAAACCAACTTAGAATTCACAGAGGCTAGAATTATTATACAAGGAAGCAACAGATATAAAAATGACCTGGGAAATAAGATAAAATGGACTCAAATCAAATTTTTAGAGATGAAAACTATATATAAGATATAACAACATGAGGTAGAACTAATACAAGAGATACCACAGAACAGGAAGACTTAGAGTCAGCACGTAACTAACAGTGTCTGGGGGGGGGGGGGGGGGGGGGGGGGAAGTGAGCCTTGGGAAACTGAAGAGTAGAATGAGCACAAAAATATTTTAAGAAACAATGACCTTAAATGTCCCAAACTTCTAAATCACAAGTAAAAGAACTAAATATCAAAAGTCTTTAATATAACAAGAAATATGAAGAGAACTATATCATAATTAAGTTCCAAAAAACCAAGGAAAAACAGACTTTAAAGGAAAGCGGGAAAAATGTATAAAATGATATAAAAGTGAGGGTTTTAGTAGATCTCTCATCAAGAAGAATGAAAGTCAAAGCCAGTGTGTGACATCTTCAATAACCAATGAAAAATACTTAATAAAAACCACCACCAACAAAATATTTCCAGCACATCCATAGGTTGTAAGGCAGTAATTGAAGGAAAATTTCACTGGCTGAAAGTGTGCTCCCCTCCCTGACAAAAGGACAAAAGGTGTTAGTAACAGTGTGGGTGCCTATATACAGTATTTCAGTCCAAGTCTAAAAGTTAATTTACCTTTAAAAAATGAAAAGAAATTTGTGTAGTAGATATTAACAAGACTAGTGCAAAGTCAGGAGGAAGGAAAGAAGCTGTAGAACTAAGTGTTGGCCGGGCGGTGGTGGCGAATGCCTTTAATCCCAGCACTCGGGAGGCAGAGGCAGGTGGATCCCTGTGAGTTCGAGACCAGCCTGGTCTACAAGAGCTAGTCCCAGGACCGCCTCCAAAGCCACAGGGAAACCCTGTCTCAAAACAAAACAAAACAAAACAAAACAAAACAAAAGAACTAAGTGTTGGCTGTGGGGCACTTCACTGTCACTAGACGGTAGATGGTAGTAGGTTAAGGATTCACACTGTCAGTCTCCACAGAACAACTGAAACAAGGGGTCATAAGGAACAAGTCACATAAAGTGGAATTATAAACTAAAGGAAGGCCAAAAAGGGAGAACAAAGAATAGGTAAATAGAAAACAAATAACAAGATAAACATTTGCCCCTAATGGTGTCACTAATAATTTGACAGGTTCCATAAACTACAAACAAAGCACAGGGATTGTTGGAGTATAAGAAAAGTAAGACCTGATGCTATGGTGTCTAAAAAATATACAGTGTAGATATAAAGGGATTAAATTATGGCTAAAAGTAAAAGGTGGGAAAATGATGCAGTTCAGAGACAGAACTGTATGGCCAGATATATAAATATCAGCAAATTAGATTTCAGAGCAAAGATGTCCATCAGAAATAAAAAAAAAAAAACACCCTGCATAATGAATGCATGGCTCAGTCAATCAGTAATTTTTATAGTCATAAATAATTTCAACTTGTACCCTCAACAGATGTAAAGATAGAAAGAAACTAATAAAACTGTGGATAAGAACTTGGAGATAAATAAGGTTGAAAGTTGCGAAGCTTTATCACAATCAGCCTGGGGTTCTTAGGAGACAGAGGGACTCACAGGCACAATGCACAGCTCACATGGTCACTCAGGTGAGAAGAATGCCATCTGCCAGGTAAGGAGAGAGGCCAATCTCAGAATCCTTGCCTTCAGACTGAGAAAAAGAAGCCAACTGTTGTGTGATTTTTGTTTGTGCTCTGACAAAGCTTGCCTGGAGATCAGAGGGTGGAGCTAGCCACTAGTTAACCATAGAGGACAGGTGGTGGTGGCTTGCACCTATAATCCCAGCACTTGGTAGGTTCACACCTTTAATCCCAGCTCTCAGGAGATGGAGAGAAGTGATAAGGTGGGGCAGAGACAGGATCTTAGCCCTTTCGGACTGAGAAACTAGATGGGAAGGAAGAAACTGCAGGCTACTCCCTTATCTGATCTTCCAGGTTTTACCCTAATATCTGGCTCCTGATTTTTATTGATTAAGATTAATTAGATTAACGCTTCAGCCCATGGAAATTTCTGTGAATTTTGCTAGGGTAGGCCAGAAGAGTCAATTAAAACCATAATTATATGCCACTCTGCACCTGTTAAAATTGCAAAGGCATTTTAAACTGACTACACCTAGCACTGGTGAGAAGGCAGAAAAACCAGAGCGCTCATCAAAACCATCAGACATGTAAAACAATACACCTGCTTTGGAAAACAGTTTTGCAGTATCTTAAAACAATCTCTGCATCCATAAAAAGAGTCGTGCTCTCCCAATTTCTGATCTGGGCTTGTGCAGATCCAACATAAAAAGGATCTTAAAATACGGCTGTTTGGATCTCCTCTCCTTGCTTTGTATTATGCTGAGAATGGCTTCTTCTGGGTCACTGCTACTCTTTGTCCTAGGCAGCAAAATGCATGCATGCAGGGTGGACCTAAGGCTAGCATATCCTAGCCTGCTGTACCTGCTGCCCAGTTGACTTGCATGAATATGAAGAATTCGATTGTAGTAAGCTCCTACAATATTTACACAGTAAATACCCGACTGATCTACCTACTAGAATAGTCCTACCTAAAGTCAAAGTGCTGAGCCAGACATACCTACGAATCTGGGCTTCCCAAGATGATCAGTCTCTTTTGTTGGGCTTGAACTAAAATCAGTCATAGTACCTGAGAATGAAAAAAAATCACAAAAAATTCAGTTAAAGATAAAGAAAAATTAAAACATTGACAAAAGCAGTACAGATGAAAGATAGTCACTATTCCTCTGAAATTGCTTCTAGTTTGATTTCCTTTACTGTTCTTATACATTTTTTTAGCCAAAACAAAAAGACCTTTAATTGTGTCCTACAGCAAGGTATTCTGAAGTGTAACAACAGCAGATTAAAAATTATAACCAATAAAAGTTAAAATATCTGTAGTTCATAGTAGCGGGTAATTTAGTAGTCTAATTTTTTTAATTGTTAACTGGATGGTCTACATTTTATATATTTTTTAAAAACCCACAAAACTTGGCATTCCCACACCAAGGAAAGAAGCATATTCTATAATACAATGTTATTAATAAATTTTACTCTAAAATTGAAAAGATAAACATTCCTAAAGTTAGAAGACCCTGAGCTTTTTGTCTGCCCTAATTTGAAATATTTGAGCATCTTGCAGCACAGTGACCAGTGAGAACCAGCACACTAACCAATTTCTTCTTCGGAAGAAGGAGTGGTTGGATGCTTTTTTTCTGCCTCTGGTCTCTCTGCGGCTGTTCCAGTAGGTTTGAGTGTTGCCTTTGGGGGTGGGGAAGTTGCTCGGCTGGAGGAAATGATTCCTGTAATGCAGAAACCAAAGCAGTAGGAGCAGGGCCAAGTTTCCCATTTATCTTTTCAGTAAACGTCTATTAAGCACTCACCATGTGGCTTGGCACTATCAGCCAGGCTTGGAAAGCAAGACCTGGTTCCTGATAGAGATAGCTGCCTGATCCAAGGGTACTGAAACATCACAGATATTGTGAAAGAACTACAAAAGGTCACAGAGGGGACAAAGAGAGGGAGTGGCTGTCTATGGGGAAAGTGGGTATCAGTGGGGAAGCGTGTCTTCAAGGAAGTGCAAGAGCCTCAGTCTATGAATCACATCAGGAAACATGACAGCTGAGGAAGAGACAGCCCCGTCCCAGCTAAGTGTGGAGGGCCAAGGCAGGGCAGACCATGGAAGAACTTGAACATCATTTCTGTGGATGCTATTTTAAAGTAAAAGGACTGTGAAAAGATTTCCCATAGGGAAGTGACACAAACCAATGATGAGACTTTCACCCTAGCCATTTGGTCAGCTGTGAAAGATGATAAGGAGATGGAATGGCCTTGCTTAGAGATGAACTGGCAGACATGAAGAGTAGAAGGACAACGATCCCCTGAGCAATCTGTGATTCTGGCCTAGTGGCCAGAGCAGTGCTCCTCTGAATTGCTGTGTTCAACTCCTTTATGCTAAAGTTACTTATCAGTCTCTAAAACTGGATTCATCTCAAGGTCCAAGCAAGACCATGTTTAGTACAGTAAATGGAGCATAGGGTGGGTTTTTTTTGTTTGTTTGTTTATTTGTTTTTTGATACAGCGTTTCTCTGTGGCTCTGGAGGCTGTCCTGGAACTCGCTCTGTAGATCAGGCTGGTCTTGAACTCACAGAGATCCGACTGCCTCTGCCTCCTGAGTGCTGGGATTAAAGGCGTGCGCCACTGCCGCCTGGCCAGCATCGGGTGGGTTTATATTCCTCCTAGGAAAAGTTCTTCTTAGGCATCTAGTCAAGAAGTACTAGCTAGATTTAAGGGTTTGGTTCAGTGTGCAGACACGGCTGAGTCAGGGAGATGGAACTCTGCTTTTCCCCACAGACTCAGGCCCTTGCTCCTAGAGGGAATGTGCCACCATAAAATGGCAAGCAAAACCAAGAGAAGTTGAGCTTTACATAACTGGTAGGGTCAGCAGGAAATGGCAGCCACATTTTCACCCTGGTAAGAAAAGTGGGACTTGGAGTCCTCCATAGATTTAGAGATAGGCACCAATTGGTAAATACTACGTGGGAGCCAAGACTGTTCACAAGCACTTGTGAGAGACCCTCAGAATGGGCCCAGACCTCCAGTGGATTACTGAATCAGAACTGGACCACTGGAATTGCTAGTTGCTAGGCTTTGAAGAGGAGCCATTTTCTCTCAGCTACAGGGGGATGGTGGGGCATGGCGAGCAGTGACCTGAGCTAATCCCAGACAGGGGATGTGTTTGTGGCTCCTCTCCGGCTCAGGAGGTAGAGAGGCTGTGCCAACACTACACTTTCTGACAGAGAACAGGATCACAAGCCAAAACCCAGACCAGTGAACTGTGGCTGATGACACAGCCTCACCCGGGGAACTCCTGCAGGGATAGTCCCCTGGGATCTCATGGCACACTCTGGCACCATGGTGACTCATCAGTAAGACCTGAAGGCAAGTGCCACTCATGCCTCAGCTGCTTCGTATTAGAGTTAATGAGAAAAACCTGGTCTCCTCATGAGGCCTCTTCTGGGCCTTGACCCAGAAAGGCACAAAGCACAAGTTAGAGCCTGAATCCTCCCCTAGACATTGGGGAAAAAAAAAACAGAGCAGTGCTTCTCACCCTTCCCAATGCTGTGACCCTTTAAGACAGTTCCTCATGTTGTGGTGACATCCATCCATAACGTTATTTTCATTGCTACTTCATAACTGTAATTTTGCTACTGTTTTGAATCATCATGTAGATATCCACTATGCAGGATATCTGATATGTGACCCCTGTGAAGGTTCATTTGACCCTTCCCACAAAGGGGTTGGGATCCACTGACCCAGAACCATGAAGCATAAAAGCCTTTATCATGCCCATCTTTTGTCTTGTAAAAGGAATGACACAGCTCCCTTCACATGAACCCTCTACACCTTCATCTTTTACAGCTGTCCTTAATACTTTTAGCTAGTTTCCACCTAGCAAATATTTATGAAGGGAAGAGGTGGAAAGGGAGGAATGACAAGGAACTCAGAGTTTGCTAGAAGAGTCCCTAAATGGAAGAGAGGTAAATCTTTGTTTTGAAAGCTGGATCAATTCTCACTGGTTCTTCATTTCATTCATGTTTTCATTCAGTTATTACCATCAAATTTCTTCCACATTCTAAGCACTCAACGAGGCTCTGGAGTTTCAGAGAGAATACACTAAGGACAGTTATTACAAAACTCACAAGCTATGAGAGGAAGATAAGAATACAAATAGTTCAAAGCCACTTGTTGTTTGTTGTACCAGGACCACACCGAATGTAGTGGCAATGCTAAGACTTCTTTGTGAAGCTGGAAGAGGGATGGAGAGTGTGTGCATATCCAGGTCTGGTGGGATCATTCTATGACAGCATGAACCTAGACATGGAAGGAAGAAACAGCTTGACTGCTCAGCTTCCTCCCACAAGCACTGTAACACTTGCGATGACATGAAGGCAAAGTCAGTGACAGGGCATTATTTTCCACTCTCTCTGAGGGGTTGGCAATGTACAGCATCTCCCACTTCTACTCTGAAGTCATCTACTGTTGAAAGCCAAGTTGGCTCCTCTCTAGGCTCCAAGCATGCTCGTCTCTCAGAAACAAACTGGCCTGCATAGGGAGGAATGGTTTCTTTACCTACCCATTCAAAGTCAGGATTTCAATCCTCCAAGCTGTTGTTAACAGCATGTGTCTGTCACACATGCCAGTGGCTTTCTACTGCCTAAACCAGCAAGGGAGAAGGGTTGAGTTGGCCAGGAAAATGTGGTCACGGAGAGAGGAGAGGTGAGCGATTGACATACCTGCACTTCCTGGCTTTCCGGTGACGTTATTCGGTGGTAAAGGTTTTCTCTGTGGAGATACAGGTCTAGGGGGCATAGGTCTAGGAGGCATGGATGGGCGACGAGTCCCTGGGATTGTGGCTAAAAGATATTATAAAGTCAGTGTTACTACAAAAGATCCCTGGGTTTGGAAGCAGGGGAACAGTGTGGAGAACAGACAGATAGAAACTGCTACGTGTGGCTCTCAAAAACCAACTACCACTTCCAAATTTGCCGACCATGATTGGCCTCACCTTGCTTCCTAGCCTCAGAGAGTCCTAAAGGAAGCTTTGGAAGTAGCTGTTCTGCCTGGGACTATGTTGGGTGGACTAGTGGGGAACAGGCTACTGAAGACTCATCTGAACGACTTGTGTTTTATAAGCTGCCGTTGGGTTACGTGTTGTGGGAATCTTTTTTTATATACTGTATTTTTGTATGCTTTTTGCAAAGTGGTGTTAATTGTCTTTGTACAAGAAAAAACAAAAACAAAAACAAAAAAACCTCCTGTTGCAAGGGTCTGGTTTATTTTGAAATGCAACTTTACTTGAAATTTTGTATTTAGTTGTAATCATTAATTGCTTGATTTTTAAAACTGTTGCCTTCTGGGACATCTTCTAATAAAAGATTTCTCAAAAAAAGAAATAAGTAAACTTTCATAAACAGCAGAGTAGCAGTTGGATTTTTGTAATTTATAGAAAAGTGCCTATGAGTAATATAAAGTGGGATTCTTCTAAACACATATAAATCATCTGTAATTTTAGATAAAATATGTAGACATAGATGATTTGGAAGGTCATATGTAGATAATTGATCATATATATTCATATATATTCTCATATAGAAAATCCTTCCCCTAGAGACATGCCAGAAGTATTGATGAACTTTATTGTTTGGTTCTTAGCCTACAATTCTGTCTACCATTTCCACTTTGAATATTTGAGCATACATATAATTTCCATTTTTCTGAGTGGTTCCCCCTAACTCTAACAAGTGAACAACGTTGGAACTTTTCAAATAATTATATCAAAGTAGCACTCGTGGCAGGAACAGGCATCTGGTGACTGAAGAGTGGTGTCACTGTGAAGCACTGCATAAGGACTCCAAGCTAGGGGACATGGCTATGAGTCAATTTTACCACCCTCTTTGCTCTCCCACCCACAACCTTTGCTGCAGAGCTATCAGTCCAAGAAATTGTACAATTTTAAAGCTTGTCTGCTGAATGGGCAAAGGAAAATAGCACAATTTTTATTATTTGTGCAATAAAGTCTTTGCAGGGTAAAGCAACTCGCCTTAGCTCAAACTTTAACCTGTTATAGTTGAAAAATGTAAAATGTATTTCTCTCTTTGCATTGTTTATGTTGATTTGAAAATAACCAAGATATCACCCAGAAAAAATATCTTATTGCTTCAAGGCTACTAGGAGGAGAGACAAAGAAGAAAGAGGCAGAGAAAGGCAGGAGATGAGGAGGAGAGCCTGCCCATGTCCTCGCTCGGGTGAGGACACCAATGGAAACACTAATGCTTGAGAATTGCTCTCATGGCATCCTTTTCAAAAGCAAAGAGACTGGATTATGAGATTCATATGTCTAGTACATATAACGTATTCTTAAAACAGGAATGTAAATCATTTCAGACCAAAATATATCATAATAAATCACACAAGAGCAAAATTTGAAAACAAAAAAATCTAAACCCATATGACAGACTCTGAAGACCCCCCCATGGAAGGCCTCACCCTCTCTGGGGAGCAGAAAGGATATTTGATAGGTAGGGTGTTAGTTGGGGGGGAGGGGAGGAGGGGAGGGAGAGGGAACTGGGATTGACATGTAAAACAATCATGTTTCTAATTCAAATTTTTAAAAATGGAGAAAAAAAAATCTAAACCCCAGTGTGGCTTTGTATCACTTGTAGATGGTGACTCCTCAGGAAGCAATCATTAGATTAGTGTCCCCCAAAGAGTTTTAAAATAAGTTAATTTGCACTTTCTTTCCTCAAAGATGGACTTTTGGAACATTTCTCCAGCAGCTTGCATCTACTGCTAATTGGCTTCTCACACCCAGGGGCCAGGCAGGTGTCAGTCAGCATCCACCACTGCTGTTATTGTGCAAATTTCAGAGCTGGGGTTCCAGAGGGGCCACTTCTTACTCCTTACCTGGTTTTTTTGTGGCATGTGAGTCCACTGACATATTCCTCCCAGCACTTGATGGCTTAGGTGCTTGCTTGGTTCCTAGGAGCAGAGACAATCAACAGGAATAACTATAGCAAAATCTGCTGCGCATTCTTTGTCATGGTTACTTGCTGGAGTTGTCAGGGAAATGTGCACTTCTTATATAAACACCAGGGCTTTCATGCCCATTTTAACTGTCTTCAACTATCCAGACATAAAAATACTAAAAATCCTACATTTGTTGGTTTTATTTTTCTCTCTAGAGCTGGCCCTAGGCTGTGGCTTTGGATTTTGTCATAATTTTCCATGGCATTCATCCTGCACTGGCTGCCTGGGAGGTATTGCTTCACCAGACAGATTTTACCGAGAGTGGATTGTCACTTTCTGCCAGTCTTGGTGGGTACATTCTGTGGTTAAAAAGATAATTTTCCTCCAACTCACCAATGCTCATAAAGAAACCTCAGAACCCAATGTGGTTGTGTTTATGCTTATTGAACTGGCTTAAGAAATACTCGTGTGCCGGCCTTGTCCATTAGAATATTGAGGCTACGAACTGGATCTTTACCTCTGGGGTTTATAAAATAGTCCTGGATTGGCCTAGAACCCCAAGTTGTTGTTTGGAAGGAACCAATTCAATTCAACATTGCTTTGACTGATGTTTTTCTCTTCTGTCTCCATCAAACATGGTGGTTGTCTGGCCATTCGCCTAAGCCCCTGGGGTAGGTTTTGGAAAACTTCCCTAGGATGTAGGTAATCAGTATATCTCACCTTAAAAAACAACAACAACCACCCCCCCCAAAAAACAAAAACTCATGTTTGCACTCTTTACACAATTTTCTTTGAAAATAAAATATATCACCTTCCGTTTTCTTCCTCCAACTCCTCTCACATATTCTACCACTATCATTGATCTCTCTCAAATTCATGACCTCTGGCTCTTTTTGTCTTTAATTGTTGTTATGAGCAATACACAATACACACACTCCTAAATATATGTGTATATATGCAGGGATATATAGATACATTCATATATATATTTGTGTGTGTGTGTGTGTGTGTGTGTGTGTGTGTGTGCATATATAATTACAACCTGCCCAGTCCAAAGTTACTTGTGTGTATATGATTTCAGGCAGGGCTGATGATTTGGTATTAGATAACCAATTAGGGGGCAGCTCGTCCCCAGGAAGACTGTATCTCTCACTTTCAATATTTCTCAGTTGCCTATAGGTATTTGTTTAGGTTGGGGCCCTGTGAGATTTCCCCCTTCTATGTTGGCATGTCTGCTGGTGCTGTCCTTCTTCAGGTCTTGTTTAGGCAGCCATGTTGATGAGACTTCATGGTTGCAGCTTCCCTGCTATTTCTAGGAGATGCAATCTCACAGCAGATACCCTGTTCCTCTGGCTCTTACAGTCAGTCTTTCTTTCCCATCTTCTGTGACTATACCACAAAATAATCTTTCCTAACGTGTCCAACACATTTTTTTTCTGTTTTTTGTTTGTTTGGTTGGTTGGTTGATTTATTTTGTTTTTGTTTTGTTTTGTTTTGTTTTTTTGAGACAGGGTCTCACCATGTAGTTTTGGTTGGCCTAGAACTCACTATGAAGACTATGCTGGTCATGAACTCAGACATTCACCTATCTCTGGCTATCCTGTGTGTGGTGATTAAACACTGTGCCACCATGTCTGGCTCTGACAGTTTTTATTAAGAAAGAACAGAAACAGGTTTTAGAATCTTAGTAGGAACTATAACTTCAGAAACAGTCATCCTAAAGAAGCCATACACTAATGGCCTGACTGTAGTTTACATATTAAAGATAAGAAAACATATTTAATAACAAGTTAATACATTAACAATGAGAACTACAGTAACTAAATGCCAACAACTCTGGTTTTACAGTTGTCATCCAAAAAGTAAAAGGATATTACTTAAACACATTTAAGTGTGCAGGCAGATATACTGATCAAATATAAAAGTTTTGCTTGTTGCAATTTGAATGAGAATGTCTCCCCATTGGCTCATGTACTTGAACACTTGGTCTCCTGTTGGTGGTGCTGCTGTGCTAGGGTGAGTTTTGAGAGTGTATAGCCTTGCCCTACTTCCTGTGTTCTGTGATTTCTGTGTGTGGTTACGATGTGATCACTCAGCTTCCTGATTCTGTCTTCATGGCTCGCCCACCTCTACGGACATCCAGCCCTCTAGAACGGTAAGTGCAAGTAAAAATTTCTTAATTTACTTTTGGTCATTGTATTTTAGGCCAGGAACTAAAAGTAATTAATACAGAAGTTAGTACCTTAGGGTAGAGTTGTTGTTTAAAGAATCTGACCCTGTTGATTTTTGGAGGAATGTGGAAGACTTTGAAAATTCCATCTAAAAAAGCTGTTCCTGTGCCCTGGTATTCTTGGTGCCCTGGGGCCAGGGAAATGGATCATGTGACTGATCATTCTATAAATGACATTCAGGCATAGAAAATACTTTCACTGTGTCACTAAGATGACTTGGTTTGGTGACAGACTTTGATTTACCATAATTTCTCAAAGGTAACAGACTTATACATACACACGACATCACACACATATCACATCACACACATACATACACACACACACACACACACACACACACACACACACTAGAATGCCAACAGGCTGGTTGTCCTCTAAATAGATCTTATTAGCCCTTCTCCAAATATTTTTGTCCTTCAAATACAAAGTATTTATTTCTAATATTGTCTAAGCACTCTGCATATTTATTACTTAATTTGGGCTTTATGAAGTTTCTATGTGGGATATAGTATCTAGGACCCACAAACAAGGAGACCCAAGGCCAGATTACACAAGCTGCTCAAGGTCTCACAGCTAGGAAATGCTGGGACTCAGAATCACATGCTCTCAACACCAAAGTGTCTTTCTCAAGCACTAAGTCCTCCTGCTGGCTCCTTCTCCTTGTTCTCCCAATGGCATTAAGTGACTATAGTCCTATGTACTTCATCTCCTGAGAGGGCTCAAGTGCCTCCCTATATGAGAGTTATTGATGTTGGCTGGCAACCATCTGTCCTGTAATCATGCCACCATGGTATGGCACTCACGCAAAATTGTTGCAGGCTTTCAGCAGTTCCTATAAGGCAAATGTGGATCCACTAGCCCCAGGATAGGCACAGGTAGGTGCCAGAAGGCAGAAGTGAGTTGGAGATTAAGAAGGGGGAGGGAGGAACATGGGTCAGCAGGAGAAGGTGAGAAGAGGGGAGGGAAAGGGGAGGTAGAATACATTAGAACAAATAAATTCCCCATTGCTTTCTATGCATATGGAGACAGGCAGCATACCATTTTGATCTCTGGATATAAATCAGCAAATCAACAGGACATCAGCCCTTGAAAAAAGAGAGAATACAGTACTATCTGGAAACATTGGAAAGGGCCCTGCAAACAGTAACTTCGGGGCTCAGTGGAGAAGAGTTGGAGGCAGGCAATGATACCCCAGGCTCTGGCAAACCAGTGAACTTGTGCTACCCTGAGTCAGATAGGAACAATTTAAGGTTAAAGGCAGCACAGAATCAGAATGAGGAGAAAAGTTAAAAAGGAAACCAATTATGAGAAACGCTGTAGAGAACGGATTGTACGGAACTGGCACCCAACCAGGCAATCTAGCCCGGGCTGTGAGCTGAATTCATTTCTCTCAAATAGGATTAATTGACACACAGGCTTAAAAGTGCAGTTGGCTCTTAAGACACCAAGACAGGAACCTCAGTATGGTCCCCCACTGCCATATGGAAGTTATCCAGAAGTCTACAGATTTACGCAATTCATCACTTAGTGATTTCTTGTCCAAGATGAAATAATGATTTTGGATATTTCTAACCATAGTAACAAAATCTTTGCAAACAAACATGTTGATTTCCGATTGTATCAGTGGAAATCAATTCTCAATGAATCAGTGACTCTACCTCTGAGGACTAATGAGGGTAACATTTATGTAAGATTTTTCTAAAATTTTCATGAGCAATGAGCCAGTTGCCTGGAAGATTTAGCCACAGCCTAGAAAAACACATACCTCACCCTGAGGAGTCTGGGTTCTCCTTGTGAGGCACTCTCCATGTGGGGGCAGTAAAGTGTGGTTTCCCCTTTAGGACAGAGAGAGGAGTCTGAGTCTCTACTGTGTTACAAAGTCTGCCAGATCACATGCTCCAAGGGAGCTTCAAAATTATACTTTGTCTGGCATATAAGGAACCTTCAAAAAGTGATGGTTCAATGACTAATAAGCCCAGTAGTTGTCATCTTCCAAGATAAGTCAGATTCCCTCGGCTAGGTTTGAGAAGTCTCTTTTCTAAAGAGTCAGGCAATAAACTGTGCCATTTTTCACAACTTCTCAACTTAGACATTTCTAATGTGTGGAACATTAGAAATTAAACTGTGATGTCTATGTGTGAAAACCACAAAAAAAAAAAAACCCAACAGAATAGTAGGAAAATGACCCATCCAAATTATGAGCCTCGGGCTAGCAAGATGGCTCAATGGATAAGGCACATGATATCAGCCAAGGTGATGATCTTAGTTCTATATCTAGGATCCACGGTATAGGAAGAGAGGACTGATTTCTGTAGATTATCTTGATTCTCTGGTCTCTATATATGTACAGGGGCATGCCCTTGTGCATACTCCCCTCCCCAGTCCACACGCATACAAATAAACAAATGCAATAAAATGAAATATCAGCCTCTGAAGGCTACTTCCTAACCTTACAATAAGGATAAACCAACCCATACAAGGCAAAGCAAGTATCTACAGTGGTGTTGAAAAATAAATATTCAAGGCAGCATCCAGCTAAGACTGACCCTGGAGGTGATGATAGCTGGATGCTGTCTGCTGACCTTACCACCCGAGAGATACAGAAATGATATCTTCAACAGAAGGCCTCAATAGATTGACAACACAGAATAAGTACAGAAATTTTGGTTGGACACAGAGAGATGCAAGGAATGAGGGAGAGGCAATCCATTTGTTCTGCCAGAATTCAGCAGCCATTTCCTCCCAAACTATTTTGGACAAGAGACTACAAAGATGACTAGTGTATGCAAGACAATAATGACAGATATTGGTTCAAAAGTGGGTCTTGAAAAAAATCATGTTTTAGTATACTGGAGGCCAACTGCTCTCCAATAGGATCAAGCAATGTTTTGTCATTGCTTATTTTCTCTGTTTATACCTAATTTCTATTTTTACATATGCAACCTCCAAGGAATCATTTGAATATTAAACATGTGACCTTAAATTCCTCCAAAGAGAATCTGAGAAAAGATAGCTTTTGTGAGAGCCAGTCTATGCCAGTCTGAGAAATTTTGCATTGCTAAAACTCCAGGTAAGGAGAATGAATGAATAACCCAGTACATATAGGTACTGCAATGTCTCAGCAATCCATAGGCTGACCTCTTTCATTTGGTCTGATAGTAATGAAATTTGCAGAATTTTACATACCATAATACTCAAAGTACAAGAAATGCATTCTAAATGAATCTGAATGATTTTTAGACTAACCTCAAATATTATATCTCTTTCTACCAGGAGCTGATTAAATACAACATATATGCATTAAGCACACTATAATTTTATGCATTTTATATATGTTAATACATGATTTATATTATTAAAATATCTCAAGGAAATAACGCAGTTCCATTTGCCCATGAAATAAATAAACTGGGTATCTGGATTTTTATTAGATCCATTCCCACAGTTCTAAGGAAGTTAGGGCTGTGTCATTTGATCAGAATGGTTTATAAGCTTTAGTAAGACTAAAGCCACAGCCCCCAGTTGTTAATTATTATGAATTAAGTCTGTTTCTTCCTATTTAAATTCCATATTGCAGACTGCTAGCAGTTAAAGATCTTTCCAAAAGCTGTGGTGGCCCCTATGGGAGAGTATAAAGTGGAAAATTAAGTCATTACACAGACTGACCTGTGCATAGGAAGTTGTTTGAAATAAAGGAAAACAACTTTTTCCTATTTTCATCCTATAGCTAAAATTTAACTGGAATTATTTTTGAGAAATAAGACCAAATACGGTAGCTAATTTAGTAGACTAGGTTTAGAAAATTTGGAAAATTCCTTTCCAGCATCTTTTGGGATATTTGAACTTGATTTCAAAATGAATTAAAACTTTTAAATTTTAATTTTACAATTATTTTCCAAAACTTGCACCAAAGAAATTGATGTGTGAATTCAACAAAATTATATGAGATGGGCAGTGTCTTAGGGTTTCTATTGCTGTGAAGAGACACCATGACCATGGCAAAGTGCTCTATCTTACTGGGTGTGGCTTGAGCAGATATGAGACTTAAAAGCCCGCCTCCACAGTGACACACTTCCTCCACAATACCACACCTACTCCAAGAAGGCCACACCTCCTAATAGTGCCACTTCCTTTAGGGATCATTTTCTTTCAAACCACCACAAACAGCATTTAGTTTTGATGAAACCAAAGAGAAATACAACAGTGATTATTACCTGTTCCTGCTCCGTTTCCATGGGGTATCACTTTGGGTTTGGTTTTACCAGGTTTTGTGGTTGTTTTGTTCAGAACTACAACAAAGTTGGGATTAAACAGTTTAGACATATCCTTATTAAAAGTCTGCAGCCATAATCCCAGCACTCGGGAGGCAGAGGCAGGTAGATCTCTGTGAGTTTGAGACCAGCCTGGTCTACAAGAGCTAGTTCCAGGACAACCTCCAAAGCCACAGAGAAACCCTATCTTGAAAAACCAAAAAAGAAAAAAGAAAAAACAAAAGTCTGCAGCCATGTCACACAAAACTTCTCAGAGAACTGAAAATCATTTAACTGGGCAAAAAAGGACAACTCTTAAGACACAAAAATATGATCTAGATATTGAAACCACATTTTCTCATGAAAGTCATAAAGTTTCATAGGTGAGGATGAAAATCTGAGCCTGTACCGAGGTGGTCACTAAGCTCCAATATTGGTTCTTGAAAAAAGTAAGTAGTAAGGGCATTTCTAATTTTGTGTGTGGGAGATTCTACCTTACTTCCTGTGTGTGCCATGAGACACATTCCAAAACAGAACTGAAGGACTATGAGGATTGCATTATGTCTAGTGAAAAATTGATAAATAGCTTTATCCTTTGAAGTGTAAATAAGAACTCCTTGAAGGAACCTGTGTCAGCAATGACCGACTGACTAGAACTACAGTGATGTGGAGAGGTTGGAGTATTTCCGGTTCAGAGATTGATTATAACTAATTTGGGGCTACCATTAGCCCCTGCCAATTAGTCATTCCTTGTCCACCTCATGGGTATCCTGTAACTGACAGTTAAACCCTTAATGGTGTATTAGCTATGAAGACAGCTAACTTCCACTAAACAAAAAGCTAAGAATGTCCGTATCAGGTAGCACCTGAGAATTCTAAAAGAGCTTCTCTGTCTTCCTGTACTCTGCCACTCAGATGTTTCTACTAATTTGTTTTTAAAATGTCTTGATTTATAGCTTTCTTTGTTCTGTTGCTATAAAAATTAATGAAACAATTTCCTCAATGGAACATTGTTTGAAAAGATAAGAATGTATATTCCCAGGTCATGGTCACTCATAATTTTGGCTCCAGAATAAACCATGTATTTTATTCTTTAAAGATGAGAAATATTTCTTTTGATGACAGAAGGTATCAAGTAAAACTATTCTCTTTGAAACAAAAAAAGCAATCTCTTACTAGGATGAGGCCACTTATTTCCTGAGGCAAGAAAAAAAATGAAATTGTCATAAGACATTTAAGGGTGTGAGAGATCTATGAATAAACCTCATTAAAATATGTTTATATTTGTTAGGTTCCACAGAGGTCTCTGAATCTAAACATGCATAAAAACCTTTAAGTTTCATCACATCAATGAATTAACCTCTTCATTTGTCCATAAGGAGCAGAATTTCTGTGTTCCCTTGATTTCAACTTAAAAGTACTGGATCCCTCCTCTCCTAACCCATCCATCTTTGGGAAATTTGATTATTTTGGCTCTTCTCTGTAGCTTCCCCAGCCAGCTAACTGTGTAGGTCATCAGAGAAAGCAAAGGTCTCTTACCAGGCCTGGCGTGTGGTCTGTCAGGTATTCTGGGCCTCACAGGAGTCGTGTGCACTCTGTGTGGTGCTGAAATAGAAGACACTTTATACTCAATAACTAGTCTACAAAGACCAGGCAAATTGACCTCTGTTACCCTAGGGACCAATAAACAGTATGCTTCATAGAGTGGTGCAAGAACATTCTGAAATCGCCAAGTTATTCATTACCTACTTCATGCAAAAGGGACATAAAACAAGTCAAACAGTGGCTGAAAAGCAAAGGTATACCCAGAATGAGGTAGGTTATTTGTCGTATTAAGAATCAATCATTCAGTCCATAGTTGCCAAAAGTATTAATTGTATCAAATGGTTGCTTAACATGATAAATGTATAACATAGCCATTCATCCACCCAGCCATCTACCTACCCAGCCAGCCATCTATTCACCCTTACATCTATCCACCTTTCTTTCTAGCCACCCTTCCATCTATCCACCCAATCACATACCCAGCCAGTCACATACCCAGCCAGTCACATGCCCAGCCAGTCATATGCCCAGCCAGTCATATGCCCAGCCAGTCATATACCCCGCTATCCATCTATCCAGGCAGCCATCTATCTAGGCAGCCATCTATCCACCCCTCCATCTATCCATCCAGCCATCGACACAGCCATCCATCTACCTAGACAACCAACTATCTGGCCAGCCATCTTTCTCAATAAAATTTACTGTGCTTTGGAACATTACTTTTCCAAAGAAAATATTAAAGACTAAAAAAGGACAAATTAGATCATTAAGAAAAATAATAGTAACAAATGGTCTCTATCAAATTTTTTTTGCTTATGTACTCTGAAATTAAATCTTCAGTGTCTATGATTGCTATACAGAGGAGTGAAAGAAAATGACACTTGATGTCCAACCTGTCAAGGAAAAGTGAGCAAGAAAATATGTGGACAACAATTGCAGGCAAATTTAGGAAATAATACAGACCATTTTTGCTTCCTAAGTAGTGAAGTATTGAAGTATGTGCTCTTTCTGGAGTCTTCCAACTGCTGCCCTTTGGACAATGCATACTGCGTGAGCATTCTTGACACCAAGTCTGTTGGTGATGCTTTACTTACAGCCAGAATTTTTTTTCCAGTAAACTATACAAATCTTACATCATTTAATAGTTTTTCTCACATCTTGAGTGGATATCTATTAACCATAAATCAGCAATGTCTTGCCCAGCAGGCTTTGAAAAATAACACCTGTGAAACAGCTTACAATGCAGCTCTCATTTAGAGCTTCCAATGTTAAGGCTTTGATGACCAGATTTTGCCACACAGCAGGCCAACAATGGAGGCAGATTAAATCCTCCAGGGGCCATCCCAAGGGTACTAACCACAGTGGACAGAAGACCTGCTCTTATACAGCATTAATGTCCACAGAGCCAAAAATGTCTCATGATGATTTACAAATGGCTCCTTTTGATTTTCTTTGAGAATGGTTTAAGTGCCTCTCATTTTAGCCCATTTCTGCTTTTTGTCTGGTCTTCCCGAACATTTGATTGCTTCTTCTGAAGAGAACTAACAGGATCATGGTTCTTCTTTTCCTCACTGGACAAAATACAGGGATTTCCTAGCTTTGCACAGGAAGGAGATCAGAGCAGGGCGCAGAAATACCCAGCAGCATGGCCATCCTCACTCCCGCACTGGGGCTTTTGTTCTAGCTTTCCTAGGAAGAAGTTAAAGAGCTGGAATACAATTTAACTTTAGGCTGTGGGATGCTCAGATAGCTCATCATCCAACAACATGTGGCCTTGAGAAACCTGCTCAAACTTTAAAACTAAAGAGAAAGACAAAGCTTTTGTGACTGTGTGACCATGTAAGCACCTCTGCCACACATTTTGTTTTGGGGTGCCCTATAATACAAGACTGTAAAGATACTTCATATCTATTAAAAATTTCTAAGAATATTAAAAATAAAATATATAAAAACATGTGAAATAAATATACAGTGACACTAGAAGGACTGTTCTCTGCCCAGTTCCAAATGAAGACCCAATCAAAAGCTGAAAGTCAAGCAATCAGGAGCCCTAAACTGCCTTTGGGTAGGTACATTGCTACAATGTACTGAAAGTAAGAAACAAGGCACTTAGATGATTCAGTGGGCAAAAATGCTTGCTGCCAAGCCTGGCATGCTCAGTTTGATCCCCAGAATCGATGTGGTGGAAGAAGATAACCAACTCCATTAACGTGTCCTCTGGCCACCGTACACGTGCCATGCCATCGCCACAAATGCCTTCGCATCATGCCCATACTCATACAAAATAAATACTCATAGAAACAAAAGTAGATGGCAGAGAGAAATGAGTGTAAGTTACAGCACTTTGTGTGAGAATCGTCTCAGTAGACGTGGGGGCAAGGCTGTCAAAGAGAAAACAGATGGGAGGATCTAGTAATGGCGTTCTTTTGTGGTCCTAGGGGTACCACTGCTGAGAGGTTGAGCTCCCGTAGTCTCTTGTATCAATGGTACATATACAGTTAGAGCTCAACATCAGGAGAATCATTTCATCTCTGCCTCTAGTCTCTCGGTTGGCATGTACTATATGAGGATTGGCATTAGACAAACCCACTGTCCCAGGTGGACCTGAGGCACCTCAGAGCTCAGGACAGCTTATGAGGAGGGCCCTACAACACACAGCTTCTCTTCATCCAAGCCACCCCCCACCCCTCCAGCTTCTAATCAGGTTTATTGAAAGGCACCAGTTTTGGGTGTTCCTCTTCTCCTGAATATGGGTTCCTTCCTAGTTATTATTTGATATCTCATGCAATCACATCCTTGCTGAGCCTAACAAAAGATTTGGGACAGAACCAGGAAAATATAAGTCCTAGGATAGCAGAGTAGAGCCTCAAACTAAGAATTCTATGGACATGAGAAAAAATTAGAGTACATTATACAATTGTACTAAGTCAATTCTGATCGTGATGTAAGATCCTTCGTGAAACTCAGTATAATCATAAAATTCCTATCTACTAAAATTGCTTTAGAAGAAATTTGAAAAAAAATCTTTAACCCAACGTTGGTATTCCCATACAAAAATAAAGAATGCTCAAACCTATTAGATCTATTGTGTTTTACCTTTAACCTGGAATCCAGGAAGCCTTCGAAAGTTGATTTTTTTTTCTCACTTGGAAATACAAAAGCAGAGCTGAAAGAGCATCTTTATCTATCCTCCTTATTATAAATATTTATATATTTTGTTGAAGAGCTATGTTGCTTGAGCATGAGGATGATGTTGTCATTCAAGATAGTAAAAAGATTTTCAAAAAGATAAAAAATGAAATACAAAAGCCAGGCAGGATTGTGGCTATACATAGTTGATGGGGTGTCATCGATGGAGGAATCTGGCAAAGGGGGTGTGAGAAGGTCACTCTGGCACATCTCTCTCTGAATATTTGTACATGGATAAGAATCCAATAAATACTGTATAAACTTTGAATTGTAAAATTTAAAATTAAAAAGTTCCAAATAAAACAAGGTTTAGAGTTGTACCACACTCAGCCTACTAGCATTTGTTCAGGCTCTCTAATGAGAAAGGACCTGCCTTAAAATACATTTATTTTGTTATCATTTTTCTTGCTGTTACTTATTACCCTTCCTTCTTTCCTTTGTATTTCGCAGGCTGGCCTTGAACTCACCATCCTCCTGTCCTGACTCCCAAAGTCTGGGATAACCAGCAAATGCTTATAACCCAATTAGGTAAATGATGTAAGGGAAAAAGACTTCTGAGAATATGAAGACTAAGTGTGCATGTGAGTTCCTTTCCCTGGAGACAGGGCATTACAGGAAACACGTTCTTAAATGTCTGGCCACTCTCTATATTTAAAAAATGATTTTTCTCAGTAATAGCTTTTCTCAGCTCACACTATCAAGTGGGTTTTATTTCAATTTGGGAGATGAGAGAAGGTGAAAAAGAAAGGATACGTGAGAGGAAAGGAAACTAGGAAGATGGAGGTCGTCCTCATTTATCAGACATGAAAGTCAAGTCTGTGAAGGTTCAGCAAGGGGAAAACACCTAGGAGCTTTTAAGATTAGTCATCAGCATTCTGCAGCCAACGAAACATCCAAAGCACTGACCAGAGAAGCTGTGCATACAAGTGGCATTCAGTTTGTCCTTCATCTTTAATGCAAAGACAGCCAAGTAGTTCACTGTGGTGAGGCAATACCACCTGGAAGCAAGACTTCTGTCTTGATTAAAGGAAAATAAGGAAAAATTTCTCTCCAAGGGTGGAGAAGTAGCATTACCCCGAGTTGTCTTTGCCACTTCTGTTGTTTGTGGAATCTTAGTTGTGAAGAGCTCTTGGGTAGACTGGTCTGTTTCTTCTAGGGAAAAACATAGTAGGATGCCTTGTTTTAAATAACCGTCACTATGAACACAGCAAAGAGCAAAGTAAAAAATAACAAATAACTCAAGCTATTCTCTGCCCTTTCTGGAGTAACTTAAAGCAAATGCATGTGTTGATGACTTGTTACCTTTGTTGTCCTATTATTTTAGTGATATCATAGGACTGACAAGGCAGCTTTGGGAAGGATTATTTTTCTGATTTGTGGTTTTACTACACTAGAGACTGAACCCAGGTTATTATGTACACTAGGCAAGTGCCCTATCACTGAGCTAAAGGCCTGAGATAGCTGTTTGATGACACTGCTATCCTTGGATGCAGTCCAAGTTTGAAAACACCTTTAATGTCTATGTATCTGTCTTTGTCTCTTCCCCACTCCACAAACTCCACAAGTTATTTGTAGAAAATAAAGAGATCACATGAAAAAATGTTTATTTCAATCATAGAAGAAGACATATCCTTTCATTTTCTATGTGTCAAAATGAAAATTGACATTCAGACATATTTGTCTTGGAAAAATAAGTACTATTCTCATATTATCCTGAACTTATTACATCATAATGGCAAAACATATTATGCTGTTTATTTTGCCACCTTAAAGATCAAGGAAATAGCTGATGGCAGTAATATTATTCTCTGTTTTCCTGCCCCTGTTTATTCTTCTTGATTCAATTTTTAGAAAAGAGATTAGTGATAGTTGGCAGGTGATGGCTCTTTATTCAATAAACCAAGAAGCATTTTTTAAAAGGGCAAGTAAAAATTAGACAATTAGTATATTCAGTGGTAATTTTTGTAAAGTACTTTTAACTTTAACTGCACAGTCACAGGCTAGAATGATTTTAATATTTGTAATCATATTGGTAATCATTAGGGTGTATTTGTTCATTCCATTTAAATATTTTTTCTTTCATATGGACTTCCTTAAAAAATATAGTCAGCTACTTCAACACACACACACACACACACACACACACACACACACACACACACACACACACACACACACACACACACACACTGAATTTACTTGAAAATGGGTAAAGAGAGGAAAATAAGACTACTGAATGAAAGGACTTTGCAGGGTGCATGAAGCAGAGAACTGAGGAGCCAAAAAACCATGAGCTGGGGACTTTCCCATCATTTTCAATCATGACTCAACAAATTTGTTTCCACAATTGTGGTATATTTATGTTGAAATCCTTGAAAGGAGGTCCACATGACATCAACCATTTTCTTGTCTAATCCATTGTCTTCTGCAGGCAGGATATAAGCTCTGCAGGTATCCTATTATAAAGTGCTCTCTAGATTACTTGTAATATAAACAGATGAAAATGCCATGGAAAAGTTCCTGTGTTATACCATTTGAGGGATGATGACAAGAAAAACACCTGATCACTTTCATTATAATTTTTCAAAAGGTAGTTTTGATTTAGGAGAGCTGACTATACTTGAAACTTGACTGCCAAGATGCATGTATGGAAAACTATGCAATGTAAAAGTTGAATAAAGTGAGCATGTAACTTTAAGAACAATCTTTAAAGTAAGTCCCTTGTGGAGTAAAATAACACAAGTTACCCAGGACGGTTTGTAGTTCCTCTTGACTAGGTCGTGGTGAAATCACAGGTATGAAAGGAATACCCCGTGTCTCTAAAGGTGCTGCAAAAGAAAAGTACTAAGATTGGTAAACCTTTAAGTTAAAGCCAGCAATAAACCCTTCATTTGAAATATAAAAAGGAAAACATCCAAAGAAGAAAGTTAGTGTGTACAGGACTCTCAGGAGAAAGACAATGGAATGTTAGCATAATGGTTCTTAACTGTTTTCTACCAGGAGGCAGAATAAATTATATTCTGTATTTGGTCCACTGCATAGGAGACCTACCAAGATGGAGGGTGGTTAAGACACATTCCTGGTCTTCCAATTGTAGCTCTGTCTATCTACCCACCACTCCAAAGCAAAGAGGTTTACAAAACTGTTGGGATGAGTGTTTTCAATCTGCTCTGGTTAGTTGAACAAGCAAACCAACAGTGACATTTGTATTTTGATGAAATTACCAGCTCTGACATATGCTAGTGTGTTGCAGCATCATAGCTGAGAACCATTATACTAGCAGGACTATGAACTAGACAGGGAACAGGGAAAGTGAAATCATGTAGATGAATGAGGTAGATAAGGGCAAGCTCCATAAAGAGCCATCCTGGGCTGTCTCCAGAGCAAAATCTCTCAATATTGAAACCATGCTTTTCGTTTCAGGAAACAGTGTTCACAGTGAGAATGACATCATGAAACAAACTGAGAAGAGGTAACTCTTCAGTCAGCAATCATTCCAGAAAGGCCTGTGATCTTGACGGTAACAATGAAAATAAGCAAGCTGGTTGTTAATATGAGAAAAAGCATTACCTATAGTTGTCTTTGGAGGCTCAGTTCTAAACGTGACAGGAGGCAGAACTATGCCAAAAGTAAACCAAAGAGACATTTATGAAAATTACTACAACAAAGTCAAATTATTCCTTTCTAAAAACTTGAATATCTTTTAAGAGCCATAGTAAATATGAGAAAGTTCTACTAAATTCTACTCAGGGAAATTAGTTAACCATCATTTTTAGGAAAACATGAATGAGCAGGCTTAAAACCCATAAACCCATAAAAGAGTATAAAAGTTATCTCAGCTAATAAGTAAGTTGTATAATTTCAGCATGATCTCTTCTTCAGTAAAAAAGATTTCCAAAGCAAATAAAGCTATTATGTAAGCTTTCCTATATTTCACAATGTAAAAACTTTTAATGGGATTATATGATTGAACTTCCTCCAAGAAAACATATATTTCATAACCATACTTTTCTATGTCATGACCCACAATATATCAGGATTTTGAAAATATACAACTAGGAAAATCAAATGTTTTTACCAGTTTCACTGTGAGAGACTTCAGGGTCTGTTTTATGGGAAAGTTGTTCATCCTTTGGAACTGAAAGAAAAAAATTACAAAACACTGCATGGTATTGGAATGAATATAATCCTCATATGTAAAAATCCCTAAACCATGAAGGATGCAAAAGCTAAAGAGCCAAGCTTTAGTAGGAATGACCATTCTTTCAGACTTCTTGGAGGAGGGTCTGATTATAGTGAACAGACATAAAGTTGGTCATAGTACATGTTGAAGCCTCCTTCAAAAAGAAAAAGTAAAGAAAGAAAAACAGAAGAGGAAATGGATAATCTAGACACAGGGAGGTAGGTTCCCCTTAGGTTGCTGTCAAAACTTTCAAAAAGAAAATTTTGATCTGAAGAGGTAGCTGTCATTTGATATTCACTAAAATTCAGATGGCAGTAGAAAATATATTAGGTAAGTGAATAAATGGCTTGCAGACTTACTACGACAAAAGACAAAAATCTTGAGAACCTATGAAGGGGACAAAATTTCATTGCAATTGATACTCAAAAATTATTGTGGAAAGGAAAAGCAAAATGGAACTAAAGGCTGGCCATCAAACAAGTCTGCATGCAAAATTCATGATTGTGGTCAGTACAGAATAAATGCTAGACAAACACACACTACTGCCAATTTCTGCCTTCCTTAGTGGCATGGCTTCTTGTGTACTGGGTATTATGCATACCTGACATATGAGAATACTGGTAAACTCAGCTAAATAATAGACCAGCTCACATTAGTCTGTGACATGTAGTAGAGTTTAAATGCTGTGTTCTATGTTCACAAAATGGAGCATGTTGGCCACTGACTACTGTCTTACTGGGGGAAATGCCAGAATGATGTCCTCTTGCTCATATCAGTTCTCTAATCCAAAACCTTACCCAATGGCAGGGTTCTTCCTGAACTCAGTTCCCTATGATGAGGCCTAGGCCTACTCTCTTGAAGCAAAGTGTTCCCCCCATACTGAGGATTTGCAAAGCCCCAATGTCTCTGTGGTAGGCAATGTGATTTGTATCTTATTGGAAGCTTTAAAAGTTAGGATGGTGGTGAGGAAACCTTCACACCTTGAGGCAGCTAAACACAACTTAAAATAGGTTGTCTAGAACATAGGCTGTCTAGAATGGGCATCCCTGTCTTGACTGGGGAGAGAGGGATGGTTTAACTCACATGTTACTTTTGTTCTTACTCTAGGCTAGCACTGACTCACTTGAAGTTGTGGAATTCGGTACATTGAATAATTAGAGACTCTACTTAAACTAGGCCTGGTGGCACATGCATTTAATCCCAGCACCTAGGAGGCAAAGGTATGAGTTCCAGGCCAGCCTGATCAGAACATTCATGAGTTTAAAGGGGAAAAAAATCCAGGGGAATTTGAAAGTCTAATGCTTTTATTTACTTAAATACTATAGGAAAGAATCAGTAGTTTATAAAGTTGAAGAAAATCCACCACAATATCAAACTTTCCCTTTTTCCACTTGGTGTTTTGGGAAATACATTTCCAACTTTAAATCAAACTCAACATTTACTTGGAGGCTGAAGGAGGACGTGCTGTGATTTAGCTCTACACAGACCATGAAGATGCTAAGACTGCAATAAATGTCTGTTAATTCCAGGACTGGGCTAGACACAGGAGAGCTGGGATTAAGGAAGTAGGGGAAGATGTGCTCCTCACAAAGCCGCCATACTGTAAACACATTAGCCGCTGCTGCTTTAGCTCAGTGAAGCCTTCAGAAGAGGCTGATGTGGATTCCAGCTGCTAACCTTGGCACTTCCCTTGCCAGCATGAAGTGAAGTGGTGATTTAATAAACTCCGGAACAAACTTGCTAATGCAGGTGGAATGGAGTGAAGCAGTTGAAGGACTCCCAGGAAAGGCCTGACCCACTGCAACTAACCAAATCAAAATCTTCCCCATTGTGGCTTTTATTCCTATATTAAGTCAAATACGATTAGAATCCCTAAAGTCTGTCCTGCATGCTAAGGGCAACTCATCAGCAGAAATGATGATGATAATTTGTTTGAGATGGAAGTTTTGATTTCCTTGAATTTACTATTAGTATATCATTACCCTGTTAATTATATTAACCAATTTATCATTAATATCAAGTGTCTAACCAATTATGTTAGCCATCTTTTTAGGTAAACTGGATCTCTCTAAAGAGAATTTAATTGTCAAAAGGCACTTCTGAGTCAGTAATGTCAAGTGGGGACAAAGGTAAAATGCATGTATATGGCTGTTTCACTGGAGTTCAGTGAGAAAATCAAAGCATTACTGTTTGAGAAAGCTGACAGAATATGGTCTGTAAGAGGGTTTACCCCACCCATGGGTTGAAACCAGATCACCCCCCCCTTAGAAATGTAAACTATGAGACACTATGGGATTTTCACCTCAAGACTCCTCATTTCTCTGTTCTAGCTTCATGGCTTTATAACTCCCATGAGAGGGGCCAGGACTCCCACCCATTCGGATGATACTACCTCGGCTTCTCTTGTGCTACTGGCCACGGGCTTCCATCTCTTTCAAGTCATGCTAGCGCCTGTTATTTATGCCTATCCAAGGTTGTTTCAGTGGGTTTCGATACAGGGTTCCCTTGTAGTCCAGGCAGGTCTCAGCACACTATGTAGTTGAGACTGATTTAGAATTCCTGATCCCAAGCACTGTGACTGTATCATGTCCAGTCAAAAGTATGCAATTTTTTCTTTCAGCACTGGGGACTGAACCTAGGGCCATGGCCATGTCAGCCAAATACTCTATTACTGAGACATACTCAACCATTCTATCCTATAGTTTCATCATTAGTTCATATTTCTCTTTCCCTGAGTTCCTTCCCCTCTACCTATAAAATTACACAAATGTTCCAGCAACCCTAACAAAACCCACCAACAGTAAAACAAAAAAACTTTGGTTCTAGGAAAAACATTCTGTTCTTGGCATAATTCTCTACCTTTTTATCATAATAGTAGTTTTACTATATGTGCAACTAGAATTTTTGGGACACCTATAAAAATAAAACCCACCAGGATGCATGATATAATTACACAATTGAATTAATCTCATATGCCTCAGCTGTTTCAGAGCTTCTGTGTGGGACAGCAGGACACATTTAGCTTAAACACAAAATACGATATTTACCAGATGTAGTGTCCATCACTTCAGGACTTGGTGGCAGTTTTGGTTTTGAAGTTATATGCTGGGATCCCCTAGGAACTGAAAGAGAGAACTCAGATCATGAGTCACTAGGGTTCCTTGTTTCTTAGTCATGCATCAGTCCTGATGGGGAATAAGTTTCAACTGTAATAAAAACAAGGTAGTAGCCATAGAGTCAGACAGAAAAGTGAATATAAGCTTTAGAAATAGATCAGGTAGAAATCTAATGAAAATTCCTTGTTGGAAAATGAAGTCTGAGAAATCACATTTGACAAATCATCAGGATAAAGAGGTTTTTGTTATTTTTCTTTTTAATCTTCACGCCAGAGGAGACAGAGGAGACAGGGCTTCTTTTTCCTTCTAGATATGCTTGCTTGACTTGGGTTGATGACTGGGGTCACATTAAGTGCTAGAGCTGAGAATTGCAGCAGACACGATCACTATGTGCAGACAGACCCCAGGCTTTCAGAACCCCAGTCCTTTGGGTCATTTTGCTCTGCTCCTTAATGTTAGCTGGAAACAAAACACCTTCCCTATAGGGTGAGTGTGAGAGTTGAATATAAAATGTCAAAATGATGTGATCTTGTGTTGGTTAAAAGCTAACTTAAAAAATAAAACTAAATAAACTTAGAATTTAAAGTTTAATAATAGGAAATCATAGAAGGATCCTAATTTACTGCTCTGAAATTTGTTGAGGACAAAGTATTCCTCAAAAAGATAAAATCATTAATATGTTTTCCTAGTAGTTTATGTACCATCACCTAATTTTGTAACCAGGAATTTATAGTCTGAACTCCTACTATATTTCTTACTTTATCATTTTCTTGTTTTTAAAATTTCCATTTATCCTTTGCTATTACTCTTGTCCTATGTTGTATGTTCAATAAAATCTTGACAGCTGTTTGCCATGTAATTTTAACAACTATTCAATTTTATAATTAGGCTATAAATGTTGTTTAACAAATTTAACATACTTGATTTAATAAGATTTATTTAAAATTTTTGACATATTTAGCCCTGTTTTATTCACTAATTATTATTTCTTAATTAAACACTAAGCATTTTTCCAGGACTCCACATGTCTCAACATTCTAGGTATTTACACTGTAATGTAAAATCTGTAATTCTTTAGAGGAATTTTGCATTTGTACCTTCATATATTTACATTTCAAAATATTTTTACAATAAAGTTTGCTAATTAATATGAACAGATTTAATAATAGACAAAGTAGGGCAGATTTTTAATTATTAATGAGATATAGAATACAGAATAGTCTTTGAATCAATTTTCTTTAAAAAAGAATAATAAACAGAATCAAATATTAGAGGTCATACTTAAAGCAATAACAGAGATTCTGAAATTATTTAAATTATTCCTGGTAGGATTCAAGAATTACCACCTGGATCAAAGCTAATATTGATGCTAATAAATATTTTCTTTTTCCACTTGTGGACCATTAATGGCAGTAGCATTCCTTTCTTGGTTTAGTGGGTAGATGGATCCCAGAGAAGTTTTGGAAGCAGGACTTAGATTAGTGGTCATTTAAGCTGGGTGATTGGCAGGCTGGTGGGAGCACATTCTGGAACAGCAGAAAGGTCAGGAAAATAGTCTAAAATTGTAGGGGAAAGGGTGTAAGCAGCTCTTCTAAGAAAACCTGCTCTTAGACATTCCCATCCGAAACAGTAAGAGATTCAGAAAGCTTTGTGGATTAAGCTCTCCCAGTAATGTGCTTTCTGATTAAGCCCAGAAATAATGATAAATACTTTATGTTACCAAGGAAAGGGAGCCTTCTTGGACAATGGCTAAAACTCAGTTTGCTGTAACTGATTAACTCACTAACTTTAAGTCTTAGAAGTTAACACATAAACACTTGGTAGTTACCTGGTGGTTGTGGTGGGATTCTTGGACGAGGTGTTGTTTTGAACTTGGGAGGAGGACGGGGTGTCTGCCTGGGAGCTAAAAGAAAGACACAGATTCACAGATTTGGATCCCTTGACCCTTTCAAGAACCTCAGTGTTTTCTAGAAGCTCAAAGGTATTTGCTGAGTGAGTAAAGAGAAATAAAGCCAAGAATTGCTATCCAAATCTCCAGAGAGCTGCAAAGAAGATTATAGACATAGGATAAAAGAGACATTAAACATACTTCAAATATTCAGCTTACAAAAGAGAACTGTTGCGATTTTAGGAATCCCTCCCTCAAATACTTTTTAAATAGGTTAAAAACAAAGTATACGAAAAAGGCCATCTCATTATTAATCCATATGCCATCATGAGTACTCGGTGTATTCTCTAAATACAAACACATCTTTTCTAAACAAAAAGCTACCATGATAAAAATTCAAGCAAAATGATGTAAATAACCAGTCTGATGGAAAAATTAATGTTAGTAAACAAAGCACAATTTTATTGGTTATCCCAGGGAAGAAAACTTGAACACCAAAGAGACTTCTCTGCTCAGCAGTATTTCTTCACAGGAGAGGCTCTGAGGAAGGCTCTAGAGAAACTGGCACAAAAATCATTTGTTTTCTTCAGTGAGAAAATTAAAAGTATATCCTAATAATGTAAAGGAATGATCAGGTCTGGGGCTGTAGTCTGAGACCACTGCCTTCCATAGAACTAAAATGTGTGGGGGATAAAGAAAGGATCAGAACACCCAAAATGCTGTCCACAGTGGCATGCAGTTTTAGACACCTTAAGAAAAATGTTGCTGAAAATAAGAATGATCTGGCTTTGGAAGCTTAAGAAGAAACAACAAACTTGTGCTAATATTATGCAGTTTGAGGACCTTTAAGAAACATTCACTAAAAACAAGTTGTTAAATGGAAGTTTGTGCTTGAGTCTGCAGGGTGGGCTGCTTCCTGATAATAAATGGAAATATACAAGGTACATGGTGGTTTGAGTGTAATTCTGACCTGCAAAGAGATAAAGACCAAGATACACAAGAGGTTACTTTGGTTTAATAACCTGGTCGTTCAGAGCATTGTTTGCTAATCAAGGTTAACAGGCACATTCTCTGCCAAAACTGATACAGTGTTTAAGAAGTCTTCTAATCCTAAAATTAATTATTTGAGAATATTAGTGACATCATGGTTCAGGCCACTTCCTTGCTGAGGTCCTAACTAATGTGCTATTTGCTTTCCCAGGGCACAAAAGACTATGTAAAGACGAAGGCATGTTGAGAAGCAATTCCAAATGTCATCTGTTGACTGTTGGCCAGAAATGGGGTAAATGCCTGTGATTCTAGTACTAGGGAGCTTGAGGCAAGAGAATCTTGAGTTCTGGACCAACCTGGGCTATTTGGCAAGCATTTGTTCTCATAAAACAAAAACAAAAGTAAAAAAAATTACAGGTAGTATATAAAATTAGACATGCAATACTATGTCAAGAAGCTATTTAAACAATTTTTGGAAATAGTAGTTAAAACTGATATGAGATAGATCCCATTATGTAGTCAGTGTAGAATTTGGGTAAAAAGTTAAACTGCCATTTATTAGGCAACATTATTTAATAAGTGTTTTAGAATATAGTGATGGAAATTAATATCCCACCTACCTTGGAAATAGAACCATATAAAATATTTTTAGGGAAAGAGGTGTGAGACAGTATCTTACTATGTAACTGAGGTTGGCCTTGAACTCATAGCAAGCCTCCCATTTCAGGTCCTCAGAATGCTGGAGTTATAGACATGAACTCTACCCCTGGCTCAAAACTAGTTCAATGACAACCAGAACAAAAGCCTGGGCCTATTGATGGTTAACGCCTGTTCCATGGGAAACTGTAGGTACTGCAGAAATTTTATTACCCATGAAGGTGATTTGTCTTCATTCAGATCAAACTCCACCATCAAGGAAAACTTAATGACTAATAGTTTAGTAGCAGTTTCTCTAATACCAGGGGAAGGATATAGTGAAACACGGGACTATTGTGAGGCCTCTGAATAAAGCCAAGAGGATTGGTCAATACCCATTTATGTGGATTATACAGCAAAATCTGTCTCTGTCAGTATTGTATAACTTCAAACATGACTAAGCTATTTCAAAATACTTAATAGCTATAAAGTTGGTCAAGATGACAAAGTAATCCAAATATATATATATATATATATACATATGTATATATATTAAAATACAATATATTTTATTATTAAATAGAATATATATTAATATTTTAGAATATTATGCTCTTCTTCCTAAATATTTCTATTTTCTGAACTAAAAAACTTGAAGAGTAGTTAAGAGGTAATTTTAAACATTATGCTAAAGGTTTACACATTGCCATTTGAGAGAGAGAGAGAGAGAGATTACTGATGGTAGAGGGAAGGATGTTACGTCAGAAAGGCAGGCTCACTCATCAAAGGCGGACATGAGTGATAGCCAGGGCTTTGGATGGACGGGTCATGTTGTCATTTTGCAAACACCTCATATATGAAATGCAAAATAGTGTATTTACCAGGTTCAGTCTGAGGCTCATCTGGTCTGGGTAGGATTATAGTTTGGGAAGGCAGAGGTGATGTTTCTATGATAATTGAAGGAAAGTATTGTGGGGTTACTATAGGGCTAGACACACTCAGATTACAGACAACAGTCAGGATGGTAACAAACAGACGTCAAAAAAAAAAAAGAAAAAGAAAATGGCAAAATCTCAGGAAATCAGCATTCCCAAACTTCTTAATAACTCATTCTAGTTAAAAATGATAGATGTCAGATTGCAAAATACTTTTGAGATAAGCAATATCATTACTTAAAAAATCTCCACCTCCTTAGCAATGCCTGAATGATATATTCAAGAAGAACTATGAAAGGAAAGGTAGCTTTAAAATTACAGCACAAACCAGCTAAGTAGTATAGACTTATCTTGGATGACAGAGAACAAAGAACCAAACATGCGAAGTCAACATGATGGACAGGCTATTAATGGGAAGTACATCTTTAAGTCAGAAAATATGAATAGATCATGATCCTTAGTCAAATAGTACCGAGCTGGCAGTGAGTGAAATATGAGGTAAAATGCTATATTTTGTATTCAACAATTTGGCTGACATAAGAAGAGACCAAGATCATGATGCCACATGAAAAGACATTTTGGACAATGATTATGAATAGGAACAGCTATGAAGAAAATTCAATGACAGAGAAAACAAGTGCCACGTGAATTCACAACGAGAGAAATCTTGAGGCTCTTGAGTGATGATGCAATGAAGACAGAAAACACAGATATGTGTTGCTGAGGATATTACCTAGTGTGGCCTCAGGAAGCTCAGATACATGTGTAAGAGACTCCACAACTATATCAAAACAAAGGAGAATGAATTTAAAAACAGTAAAATGTTCAGCTCCAAAAGTGTTTCTTGAGTATCCACAACCTCATTCTCAAGAATTTATGTCATAATTTTCCAGACAAGACAACGTCTTTAGATAGGACAAAAAGGAAATAAGTCATATTTCATAGCATTAAACCTCCAGTACTCATATTTTATCAACAACTGATTTTCAAATGTGATTATGCCTTGATCTTTAGATACTAACACATAAATAAGGCAAATTGTTTTTCTGAGAGCATCAACTATCAAGTTAATTTTAAGAATCCAAGAGTATCAGAGCTTTTAAGAATCCAAGAGTATCAGAGCTTCTGGTGTATTCAGCTCATTGCTAAAGCACATGCACAACACCATGTGGATCCCTAATTGATCCCCAGTAAGGGGTGGGGGTAGAGTAGGTGGATTGATAGGTGATATCTGTTTAATCAGGTATCATAGTTTACATAGCAGAATAAGTGAATCATAGCTTGAAAGCCTTTACCACCTTCTGTCCTTGGCTCCTCTGGCCTGATAGATTCTTTGGTAGTGGTATCTACATAATCTGTTTCAGCTGGTGCTGGAGAAGAAATATGAAATGGCTGGTTAGTGGTAGGCAGTGCAAAGTGGTTGCCATGGAACCCTGAATTGGAAAATACAGGCTAGTTATCTAGATTATGAAAATTGCTGCAATTTAGTAGAGTAAAATGAAGTGATGCTTGCTGTGTGGGAAACAAAGACAGACAGATGTACACATACACACACACACACACACACACACACACACACACACAACTATCAGGGTCCATTACAACAATTATCACTCAAGAGTATAGTAGGTAATTTTTCTTCCTTACATAATTTTGCATAAATATTTTAGTAAGGAAAAAAGCTATAGGATGAGTCCTTTGGAAACATGAAAATGAAACCTTAAATGATATGAAAATGATAAATTACATGTTAACATATGTACAGATTCATGTGCACATCGGCAAATAATAATCAGAATTTTAAAATGATTAATTTCATTAATTGAGTAGAAACTATGAAACTTGAATTGCAATATAGCAGATACTACCTAGCATAAGTTGCTATATTCATGATGGCTCTGAAGACCCATTGGATAGACACAGAGAAGACACAAGAAGCAGATGGTTATGAAATGTCACAAAGCATGACAACAACCAACGATGCATTTTGCAATGAGATGAGATGGAAGAGCACATATTCTTGATTTTTCCATCAGGAACATTTTTACCTATTGTCTTCTGTGGTGACTCAGTACTAAATGCAACCGATTCCAGGTCATCAGAAACTAGCAAATGAAACAATGGTACAACTGGTCAAGGACGTGCTGCTGTGAACATTAGGTAAATCAGACAAACTAACTATTCAGAAGAGTGTTGGATGCCTGGTAAGTGATTAAGTTGTCTGGTTCTAGTAAAATCCATTACATTAGCATAAGCACTAAAGGAAACCCTAATAATGGAGTTGAATGATAACTGCTTTGGCTATTGTCAATAAACACACCTTAAATCTTCAGTAGGAGTACCAAACTGTCATCTCATCTAGCTAAAATATAGCATAAAGGAATTATAATGCTGTGCTTTAAAAAATAAACCGGAATGGGATTTTTTAAAACTAAGCTTTAGAGGAGAGCAGCAATATTCTAATAATGACATTCAAATTTTGTTTATAACTTGAAAGATGGCATGTTTTAAGAGATTCTCTATATTTAAGGATCTTAAAAAGAATCTTTAGTAGAATGGTGTTTTGGTCCTTCAATGGTTACAAATGAACTAACATTCTTTTAGGTAGCTGAGCACACATTTAGTTTACTGTTTAATAGAACCATGCCTTTATAATTGTGGGTAAAATTAAGAAGACATATAACCAGTCCTCAAAGATTTTCCTGACTGCTTAATCAGTTATGTGATTGTTCTCCAAAAGATATTGAGTAAACTCAGTGAAGCAAAGGTAGATATTTTGAATTCAATGCAATAATAGAAGATAAAGTATTACTAATTTGACATTAATGTGCAACCATGGAAAGAGAAGTTTTTATATTTGAATGTACAACATGGAGGGCATTAGGGTATGTTTTTGAAACTCTCACTGCAGTCAGACAGATAAATCAAGCAATTTACCAGATTGACTTTGTGTCATTTCTAGGCTTGGTGAAGTCACTGGTTTCAAAACAAGAGTTTGCAGTTCAGTGGGAGCTGGAAAAAGAGGATTTAAGTTAGCTGATGAGTATTTTTTTAAACTTAAGTGATGGGGAAATTGACCAATATTTATGTGAAAATGGCAGAAGTGAAACAGTTGTGACGAAGACTGAATGGGTCCACCAAGTCTGAAACTTTACTATCTAACCCTTCTCAGACTGAAATTGCTGACTCCTGATTTGAGGCACCCTCCTTGGAAAGAAATTATTCATTTCTTACTGAGCATCATTTGGAGTTCTCTTAGAAACCCAAGGCACAATGTTCATCTGTTAATTAAAGTAATGAATATTAATACTCATGGGTACCCAGCAAGGTCTCTACTTAGTAAAGAGCAAGGGCCACCAGTAAGCCATGGAGGAGCTCATCAGTGATATGGGAACTTGCAGTTTCCAGTGCACAACTTACTTTATTGACAATGGGGATACCTCATGGCTTAAAACCAGAGTAATAATAAGCACAGCACACTGATTTTATGGAAAGTAAGTTGCTCAGAGGGAGGTTATATCTCTTAATTATTGTAGCTTTATAGATCTAACCACCAAAGAGAGGAGCAATAAAATGACCTATGGATTTTTAAAGAGAATGACATGGCATAATGATATCTTCCAGTGGTTCTAAGGATGGTTGATAATTAACAGGTAAATGACACTGGAGTTTCCATGACTGGCTACAAAGTATGAAATTGTATCCTAACCACAATCTTACAAAGCATGAACAACATTGCATGATAGCAAATGGGTTTTAACCAGCAAGAAAAAAAAATTCACTGTCACAAAAATCATTATCCAATGTTGTTTCTGGAGACCCAGTACTATGAATATCAAGTTTAAAGCCCAGAGCAAGATGAACATGAGAAAATTTAACACCCACAAAATGCCTTAAATCTTCTTCAAAACATGAGTTTCAAATGACAAACATGTTTTTAAATCCTAGAACTAACAGAAGGCAAACAGTTGCTTTCAGAAAAGTTGGTCACAGTAGTCATAAGTTGTGGAAAATAGTCAAGAACTTTGACATTGGCTATGTATTTCTTAATTTTGTCCACATAAGAGATTCCTAGGTACATGGTTTTCTGGTTACAACTAATGTGGAAAATGGCTTTGGAAAGTTTCTTAGGTAGTATTATAAGAGTATAAATGGAAGCAGAGTCTTATATTTCTTGGAAGTTGAAAAATTTATCTGCCTATGTAACCAAGGGCACAACAACAGATCTTATGTTTCAATGCTAATATATGGCCATGAGTGAATAATGCTAATCCTGCCATCAACTCATCTTTAAAGAGAAGAACTTGATCCAAACCAAGTTACTTGTGGAATTACATATTTCCCCAAGCTATGCTAATATGGGAAGCTCTTTAGGGAGCAGCTGTTAACTGGACACAGTGCCTTAATTTATTAAAGAGCATGAGAACATCAGCTTCCTATTGCTAGTGTGACTTTGGGACCCATCCAGCACAGACTTCTAGCAGCCTTCAAAGCAGGCATTCCACATTTACCCGACTTGGACTCAGACATATCAGTACTTGCTGTGGTTTTAGGTCTGGGACGTGGACGGCGTGTCCGCTGTACTTTGTGAGCTGAAGGAAGAAATTTTATATTAATTTCATGCTGTTGGTTTTGAAAACAAAGATTGGGGTTAAACTACCTTTCCTTGACATTTGGGGCATGTTAGTTTTGGGGTTAATTTTTTTCTATTTTTTTAAATCACCATAGATTCTTAAGAAAGAAACCTAAAACATAAAATTAAGTCAATGAATGAAGAGAGCCATAGATCTCCAACCTCAAACAAAACTATAGCTAAAATCCAGGCAGCAGGACCTTAGGTTGACACTGAAAATTTTCAGCATTCCCAAGAATCCACTACACCATGACATTGCTATGTTTTGCTCGGTCTAGGTAAGACACTACTAGCTTAGTTTGAAATTCAGCTTTAGATGGAAATACTTGTTTAGACAAAAATATACTACAGATTCAAATAAGATAACAAGTAGAGCAATGTTCTAGGTCCAGGAACAGCTTTTAAAAGAGGTAACTTTAAGAACTTTTAATGTTCTCAAGAAACAGTAGTATATGAAGGATGTCGGATGGCAAGATTCTCTAATAAAGCAAATGACAATGAAATTAGGATGGTGGTGGAATGCAGGCGAAAAATAGCAAGAAAAAAATCATTCCAGAACACAGTGCCATTACCTAATGTTGTTGTTTCAGGAGCTTTGGTTCTAAGAGTGACAGGTTCAAGGGCTGTAGCAAGAACTAAACAGAGAGGAGTAAAATAAACCAAACACAAGTTAAATAGTCAATTTTAGGCCAATTTTGAGAATATCTTTAGCGTCAAAACTAACAGAAAAGAGATAACTGCTTTTTCCATATTTGGCTAACCTATGGCTAGGTGCCCACTATTTCATGACATGGACTTGCAAGATGACATGGTACACAACTAACTATAAGTCACTGTGCATGAGATGTTCTCTAGACATTTGACTGCCAGCTTCCTCACAATTGTGGACTTTTGCTGGTCAGGTTTTTATATGTTTACATGATAGATGCCTTTCTAACTACACTCAAGAAAGCTTTAGTAGTCTTCTTGAGCTTCTATGGAAACTGAGATGGCTACACACAGGTTTTTTTGTCTACTGTTTAAGTAACTTATATGATTAAAAGCTCATTGTTGGAAAATATGAAGACAAGCTGATGAAATATGCTCATCAAAATCTCAAAATGATCCTTGATTTAAAAAGACTGTTGAACCTGCTAGAAAAGGAGTTTCTATCATGGAAACTTAGTGTTTGAACATTCCAAGAACATGCATCTTTTAAGTTTGACAACTTACTAAAATCATCATTCCTTAAAACTATTGATCCAATGCATCACAAAGTTTCCAGTATACCCAAAAGCATTCCGAACAAAGAAGCATAATTTCACAATTGACAAGGGATACACAGCATAAATACGACAGATGGAGATTCACATGGAAACACACAGTCAGTCAGAACTGTATAAAAATGCACATGATCACCTGTCACGGTGTTGAGTAGTGAGTTACATGGCAGTTTGATGTCCTGAAGTTAGTTCATGCATGGTGCTCATAAATTCAATTAACGTGGCATAGAGCTGAGGATAATTTCAAGATAAAGACTGAAATGGAGTGACAACAGAGGATGATGATGGAATGGTTCTAGGATGCAGAAGAATTGATGATATGATGGATGGTATGACAGGAAAAGCACTGCTATTGGAAGGAAACACATTGTCATTACCCACAGTCGCAGGCTCTTCGGTTCTAAGAGCACTGGGTTCAAGATCTGTAGCAGCAACTAATTAAAGACAATGAAATAAATGTGAAAAGTCAGTAAGACAACAACACACCCTTCCTGGATAAGTGGAGAGCAAGTTTAAGAGACTGTCTGGAATTTAATTCTTGTTACTTGACCATTTGGTCACCTTGTACCCTGGTAAACATTTAAGAAGTACTCGGTTGCTGCCTATACTTTGGGCTAAATGTTTTAATAACATCAAGGAGATATTTCTCTGGGTATGTGGAGTACCTTACCCCAAAACTACTGTAGAGGAGCATCCTGGAAATTTTAGACATTTACCAAAGCTTCACAGATATAACTTCAGTGATCATGGGCTTGTGTATGGAAGCTTTAAGAAAATAACATTTCTCAATGTGCACAGATAGAGCAAACATTCTTTCTGTATGAGATACAGCCAAGGATATAGCAACTGAGGCACATGCATCCTTAGAAGCCATGTGTAGGGTTGGGCTGAGGTCTTCTTTATGACAAAGGTGCTCAACAAACCAGGACAGGAGACATCTCTTAAGAGTGGTACTGAGTGGAACAACTCTCTACTCTCCTCACGGAAAGAGTGTTCTAGGCAGATAGGAAGGCTGCTGATGTTTTTTTTGGGTCAGATCTAGACTTCTGAATCATTCCTTCAAGAACTTCCCTTAACTGCTCTTAGGGAATTTTCCCATCACAGCACTACCTATGACACTGTGAGATTTTGTCTTTAAGAGAAGAATGTGATTAAATCAGTAGTAACAAATAAGATATGTGGCAGAGGTGATACTTATGCAGAGAGCACAAGCAATTCAGCTGCCACATGGGTCCCTAATGTTCCCCCCTATACACATGAAAGGGGTGGAAGATGCAGATCACAAGGTGCCTTCAGCCACACAAGCTAACACTTCTACCACGGGCATTCCTCTTGGCTTCCCCATAGCTGCTACAAGTACCCCTGTGACCAGAAACTCAATTTACCATGTTTAGTTAGAGGAGCCTCAGGAGATGGTGTGGTTTTAGGTTTGGGGCGTGGACGGCGGGTCTGTTTTGATGTTTTAGGAGCTGAGGAAAGAAAATCTTCCATTATTATAAAGTCTGTAGTTCAAATGCTATGGGGAGAAACGGTGCCAAATTTAGTAAAATTTATCAGATTTTCTCATATTGTAGGCAATTCAAATTTTCAACTTTTTAATTCAAAACTTTCACCCATACTGTAGATTGTTGTTTTCCTTTACAATCAAAGGCCTATTGGAAGAGGGGCCACATGTAAAATGTAGTGGCTAGTTCAAGAAGTGAAGAACAAAGAAATAGAACTTTTGTAGAATAAATGAGTTGAGGAGCCAGGAAGAGTAGCACACACCCTAATCTCAACACTTGGGAGGCTGAGACAGGAAGAGCATGAGTTCAAGGACAACCCCCTTGAGACACTTAGAACTACTCTCACACAAAAAATGCTGAGAATTACTGCTAAGACATGTGGTAGTAAAAGTGATCAGGAGTTCTTTGATAGTTTGTTAAAGTAAGACTATGCATATAATTAACTGAACTGTCAAAGAACAAATGTCACATGGTAAAAGTGAATGAATGGTTAAAGAAGAGAATTTCAGATATTTAAAGAAAGTTCTTGGTAGTATAGGGATTTTTAAAATTACGAAAACTGTGTTTGAAAGTCACATTCTCCAAAGCACACAAGATGACAAAAATTATTTCCCATGATTACAAGCCTGACAGATGACATGAGTTACATCAATGGTGGGTCTCATGAGAGCTGAGTTATTTGAAGAATGAAGTTCTTCCAGAATGAAGACTTTCGTAGAATGGCAAAGAGGGTGATGGTGTCACCACAGAAAGTAGAACGTGTGACTACGACTTTGATGTCTTGAGTTTGGCAATGACAAACGAGAGGACACAGCCAGGACCACAACATGTGTGATTTACCTTTTGTTGTCACCCAAGTCTGAGTTCTGAGTGTCACAGGTCCGTGTTCTGTTGTAGGAACTGAGCAAGGGCATTAAAATAAACCAAATGATTCCTTTAAATAATTGAAAAGTAAAATCTCTTCATTGTGAGTCTTCCTAGCATAATACAGTTTCTATAACAATGTGTCACCTTTAAAAACCATTAAACTGGAAAAGCAAGCAGTTGACTCCCTAAAAATCTGTCTTACCTAAGTCAGGCAACTGTTTTCTCATTCATCAATCTTAATATTAATACTATAATTAATCAACTATTCAATTAATCATCTAACAATTGTTCAATATTAATAATTATTAATTGATCAATAGAATAATTGGTATTATCAATAACTAAATATTGGTGATTAATAATCCAAAATGGACTGTGGAGGCATTACTTAGAGCTCATATTTGGAAAGAGAATAAGGTATCAGGATGCTGAATTGGTGGGGTTCCTTCATCACAGACAAAGGAGTATGCCGTTATGAGAAAGAAGAGGTTGCTGATGTCTGCAGACCAATTCTGTGCTGCCCTATCGCAATTCTAAGACTTTGACTATGCATGTCCTGAGACTGGCTGAGGCATGAAAGGATTTTCCTACCACCTCGAAGGGGGAACTCCACTATAGCAATATTCCAGAGACTCCTCTCACTATTCTCATTTATATCTCTTCCTTCTTGTTTTATTCCCCTCCTTTCTTATCAGCCATGCTCTAATGTGATTTCAAGACTCTACTCTTTTTTAATCTTTATTTCCTAGCTCCAAATACTTATATACTTAACAATTTTTATTTACACCCCCCAAATTAATAATTAAAATAATTAATCTTGTACTTGGAAGATTCTTCCTATGCCATCTTCAATTACACACACACACACACACACACACACACACACACACACACATAAGGTTTCCACTGTGTCTTACAAACTTGAAAATCAAGATAATGTTTCCTACACCTGTTTCACTCAAAAGTGCTAGTAGGATTAGGGGAGATGTGGGGGCACTTTGTAAATGCTTTTTATTTGAACTGGATTCTAATTATCCTGAAGAAATTTTATTTTTAAGAGATAAAAGTTATATAATGCATGGCGATTGAGAAGACTGCACACGGGAAGCAGTGGGTATCCAGTGGCCCACAGACTTCCCTCACTCAGCCTTGTTTGCTTAACAGCAGTTTGGTGGAGCTACTTTGCCTCCCCCTGGCCCCCGACTTGCATCTTTGCTCCCATGGGCATACACTGGAGGTTCTCAGTCATTCAGATAACTTCCAAGGCCCTGCTAGGTCACACTGCTAAGGTTGTTTAAACTGGGTGGATATGCTTTACCTGGCTTGGACTCAGGTACTTCGGGTATTGTTATAGGCTTTTGTTCAGGACGTGGATGAGGTTTTCGTTGTGATGTTTTGGTAGCTAAAGGAAGAAATTATTGGATTACTATGTATTTTCATTATGAGTCAGGAAGCTATGGGAGGTGAAAAGATGATAAGCTTGTTGGTTCTCCCATATCCATCATCTAGTTTTTTTTAATTATAAATTCTATGAAGAAAAAAGTTACCATTTAATTATAGAAATAAAGGCCAGTAATTATCATCTAAGTTTCATAAGGTGGCATGGCTGGAACTAAAATGGGTAGGAAACATCCCTAAATTTGAATGGATGTGGACATTCCACTACTTATGATTTGTGATTTATAATTTAATCTTTCAAATCTTTGATATGTTCTCTATATAATTATCAAAAAACCCTTATTAAATAGAAACAAAACAACAAAATACTAAGCCAGCAGAAAAAGTGAAACATAAATGTTTCACAGGCCCTTTGGGCTCCAAGAAGTTGTTAATGGCTTCTCTGTGTAACTGAGACTTCTGGTATTTTTGAAACACAGCTGTAGCGAAGCCTCCTTAAAACAAAACACAATACAGGGCATACTTCAAATAAGCAATGTGGCAGATAAATGGCCCAAAGAAGTTTTATGTAGGACATTTTAAAGGCAGATAATTATAAAGTCTACATTTTATAATTGTCACAAAGAATGACCTAATTGCCACATGAAGATTAAACTCTTAGTGTGACATTAAGGAGAAGATCTTTTATAAAAATAACTTAGCAACATTACCTAGTGTTGTTACTGGGGCCTCAGGTCTAAGAGTAACAGGTTCCAGGACTACAGGAGGAATTGGTCAAAGACAACACAATAAGCCAAAGAGATTTCAAATGCATACTTAAATTAGAACATTTACATATAACATATATATGACTAGAATATCAATTGTCCCAAGGAAAAATATAATTAAAATTTTATACGAAAGAATATTGTTTAAGGGATTGCTAAACTTTTGTTGTGATGATTGCTGGGCTTAGCTGTTTAACTATCCTGAGAAGTTATGAAGTAAAGAAGTCAGGATGACATTCTACAATGTTTTTAACAAATGAATTCTAGTCTATATAGAAAATACTACAATGGAAAATATTTTAATGTATTTACTTAATATATTCTTAGAAAAGTAAGCTAAAAGCATAACATGAATTACTATGCTTGAGTAAACACTGACACAATAGAGGTTTGAAACATATCTAAAAAATAATTCACATGGCTTGTGTTATCTTGCCAATATGGAATTTGAGACTCCTACATGTTGTGGAACATTAGTTTAAGATGTGTTACATTTGTTTATGCTATGGAATATTTGTTTAATGATGCAAAGATGTGTTTCATTCTTTTATATTGCATTTACTTAACTCTGTAAACTTGTGTTACTTTGCCTGTCTAAAACACCTGACTGGTCTAATAAAGAGCTGAATGGTCAACAGCTAGGCAGGAGAGAGAAATAGGTGGGGCTGGCATTCAGAGAGACTAAATGGGAGGAGAAATGTAGGAAGGAGGGAGAAGCCAGAAAGGAGAAGGAGAGGAGGATACCAGGGGCCAGCCTCCCAGACAGCCATGGAGTACAAAGGAAAGAAAGATCCATAGAATAAAGAAAGGTAAAAAGCCCAGAGGCAGAATGTAGTTAGAGAGAGATGGGATAATTTAAGCTAGAAAAACTGTATAGAAACAAGCCAAGCTAAGGCCAGGGATTCATAAGTAAGAATAAGTTTTCATGTATTTATTTGGAAGCAGAGTGGCAGGCTCCCAAAGAGTTAAAAAAAAAAAACAACTACATCTGCACAAACCATAAAAGAGTAGCATAAAAGGCAGCTACTAGCCTAACATCCAATGTAGCATCTGTCTTCCCTGTAAGCATAAAAGGTGGAAATCAAAGAGTCTGTGTATGATACTGTGTCTCTGTATCTTAAGTTCTGAATCAATTCTCAATATCCCCCTCTACTAGACCCTTGCAAATGCAGTCCATCTGGACTCTACTATATTTCTGGGTGACCTGCATATATGTCTGGTCCCTCTATTTTCTCTTTTCTCCACTGATCAAAAAATCCTGTAGTGTACCCAGGATCTAAACCCAGACAATCTTAATTGTTTCTTTTTCTAGATTCTAGATCATTACTTTGTGGGTATATTTTACTTCATGGCCTCTGTTTTGTTGTATAAGAAGTTAAAAAACATCTTCTGTGCTGGGTCTATTATTTAGGATTGCAAATGTGAGTCTGGGGATATGTAAAGGGCTCAGCATTTGTTGACTTGACTAAATACACTGGGTTTGCTAGTGTGGTTTCACTATTAAGATTTGAAAAGAGCCGGGCGTTGGTGGTGCATGCCTTTAATTCCAGCACTCGGGAGGCAGAGGCAGGCGGATCCCTGTGAGTTTGAGCCCAGCCTGGTCTACAAGAGCTAGTTTTAGGACAGCCTCCAAAGCCACAGAGAAACCCTGTCTCAAAAAGCCAAAAAGAAAAAAGAAAAAGATTTGAAAAGAAATGCATAATGTAAAATCTGTGCTGAATACAAAGTGGAATTAAAGGGTCTAATGTAGAAGGAGTAAGGTATTCTAGCTCCTACTGGGTCTCACCTACCCATACTTCCCTTAAAACACCCACAAAGAAGTTACTGGTACTGCCTCCTATTCTCACACTCAGGGGGTGTAAGAGCTGCTGGCCTACCATCAGCATCTCTTTGAGTCTGTGATGGGACAGACCATGGGGGCTCACCCAGAAGCCATCTAACTCCCAATTTACCAGGTTTTGTCTGAGGTGCTTGAGGGCTCATTGTGGATTTAGGTCTGGGTCGTGGACGGCGGGTTCTCTGTGACAATTTGCTAGCTGAAGAAAGAAAAGCCTCAAGTTACTTTGGATCTTACAGCTCTGGGTACCAGAGACCCTTCCACAGCTCTCAGACCTCCTAAAGGTGCAGGAGATTGTTTCTGTAGTCTGACTTTTCCACCTTTTTAAAACAAGAATGCTCTTTTTTTGTCATTGATGGTGATTTGATGTAAATTCCTGTTCACATTGAGGTGCTCACTCTAGGCAAGATTAATACTCATTGGGAAACAGTCATAGAGTCCAACTTTGGGGAAAAGGATTGGGAAGGAGTCATTTAATGAAGGGTCAGGGAGATCTGGATCATATTAAGATGGAGGCCTGTAATATAACTTTTCAGACAGGTCATCTCCAACTTGTCAAATTAATAGTAAGGTGCAGCATTACTTAAATAATCATTACTTATGTACATCATGTATCTATCGGTACTTAAATTACATCACCAAAGAGACAAACATACTGTCCAATAGTTTTCACAAAGAGATCTAGAAACTTGGATGTGCCAAGGGTAATAAGAGTAGCTGCTATTGATGGGCACCCAAACCACTATGGTAAAAACTTGGCTGTAATATAGAACACTGTGCCATGAAGCACAGGGCAACACAGCACTTTCAAGGGTTCCACATGGCTGATAATGTTTGAACTAAGTTCATTCTTAGCTCTCATAAGCACAACAGGAAGTGTGTCTATAAGATGCTCTCAACTCTGCAGCAGATGGCAGAAGAGGAGAAATGCTCTCTCAGATGGGTGGAAAGGTAACCATGGGGATGGAGACTTAGCAGACTATACAATGAGCAACAGAAGCACATGGCAATTAAGGTTGTTACCTAGTGTTGTTCCAGGGGCCTCAGTTCTAAAAGCAACAGGCATTTCAAGGTCTGTAACAGGTTCAAGGTCTGTAATAGGAACTGAATTAACAAATATGAGCTTTTAAAAAACATGTATAAGCAGACACAACATCTACTTCAAAATGAGTCTGCCAGCCTAACACTGAATCTAGAATAAGTGTGTGTGTGTGTGTACATACATACATTACTTTTCTGGCTGAAGAATATTATGGACTGAATTGTGTCCTCACAATTCATACACTGAAGGGTAAGTCCAAGTGAGATATATTTGAAGACACAATGCTTAAAGATGTAATTAAGGAAGCATGAGGTCAGCTCTCCAATGTGTTGAGTATCTGTATTAGAAGAGACAGTAGGTGTGCATATACATGGAGAAAAGGCCATGTGAGACATAGCAAGGAAGCCGGGGCAAGGCCTCAGAGGAAACCAGACCTGGAAGCACCTTGGTCTTTGACTTGCAGCCTCCAGAACTGTAAGAATAGATCCCCGTTGATTAAGTGCCCACTGTGTAACTATGTGGAATGGCTGTCCTAGTAAATAAAATTCATGACAAATACCAATGTTTTGTTCAGACTAGCCAAACTGTAGGTAACACCCATCTCCCAGACAGGCATCATCTTTGCTCTCATTCTACAGTCCTTCAGCAAGCAATTCCTTATGTAACAATGCTTATCTAACTCTAACAGGGAAAATGCCAGGACATTTTTACCCATGCCATTACATATGCTTCTAATGTTTTTGTAAAAAATATATAGAAAGATAACTTGTAATTTTTTTGAACATTAAAAAGAAAATAAGTACCAGGTTTATGAAAATATGATTGCATAAACAGTTCTGAAGTTAAGAAATCCACAAGTAGCCATTCCAAAAAATAGCTTCTCATGATTTCATTAGCCTCCAGACTGAGAAATAAAACAACTTTCAAACAACTCCTAGTTAAAAGAAGGACTCTATAGGTCTCTTCCAATTGTAAAGGTCTTGCCAACTGTTAGTGTCTAACAGGCTTTTAGAGTCCCCTCTCTAGGAGGAACCCATAACAAGGTGGTATTTGCAGCCATTGCTTGGTTCTCAGGCTCTTTGAACCAAGAACTCATTCGTTGGTTTTGTAGGATACCCAGTGCATCTAGACTTGGGTAGCTTTAAGTTTGTGTTCTTTCTGACATTTTTGGAGCTAAAAAGAGGTATAATTGAGTTATTTGAAAGTTACAGTTCAGCATATTACAAAATTTTTAAAAACCTTTAGTTGAGAAAATTTTCTTGAGTTTCAGGCAATATATGAAAGCTATACCCCATACTACATTACAGCACCTGTTGTTACTAAAAGTAACTTTGGGGGGAAATACTGGCATATCAATTGAAATTATAAGCTCAGAAAGTCAACATTAGTATTTTTTTAATTCTTCTAGAACTATCTGATTGAACTAAAATGGCTGAGACTCATTAAGACTACTGTGGAGAGGGAGAGGACTTCAATTCTTCTGAAGGATGGAGTTTACTATTTAAAGACATTAACCTGATATTACATGCTATTCAATCTACTAAATCACATTGCTCACGTATTAACAGAAAAAAGAAATTTCCCTGCTGTAGCTTGATTTGCACAAATCACAGAGATACCTCAAAGATACATGAAACTGGCCTTAACCAAGAATTTGCTTAAACCAAAACTTTAAAGCAACATGTAAATATTATAAAGCAAGTTTTGAGGCAGACCAAACACCCAAACTAGACCCATGCCACGGCTTCCTATGTATCCAACAATCAAGAGGTAAGTACTTCTAAACCTGTTCAACTCAAAATGAAGAATGTAACTGGGGTACAACATGGGATGAATCTGACAATGAATAGAGAAAGCATTTGCTGAGAGTGGGGAATATCATTACCTATTGTGGCCACTGGAGTAACTGGCTCAAAGACTGGAGTAGAAACTAGCCAAAAATAAGAAAAACAAAATAAGCAAAAAGTCTATTCCAAACATTAAAACATAAAACCCTATAATATTTGTCCAAAAAGAATTCTAGCAGGATAGAAAAATGTCTGACGTACTAAGCCATGTGGCTAACTCTCTGAACTAAAACAATATAGTATCTCTGCTCTTAGATGCCAACTCATCTCTTAAGAATGGAACCAAAACCTTTGTAGATGTGGCCTACAAAGTTTATATAAAGTGCCTTCAAGTTTTCCTTATTTTCTAATGATCTGCACTTACTTAATGTACCTAAATAGATAGCTATTGTTTGAATGTGACTTGTGTCCTCTGAGGCCCAATCCATAAATATTGTTACATTTGGATGGTAGGCTCTAGTGAAAGATCTTAGGTCATTGAGGGCATGAGACAGCTTGTACAACCCCTTGGTAGTACTGTGTGACCATTTGAGCTTTCCTGTGGTGATATGTTGTTTATGATCTAACAAATAAAGCTTGCCTGAAGATCAGAAAAGCAAAGCAGGCAACCACTAGAGGGTTCTGACCTCTACCAAGGCTCAGACCAAAGGAGCGATCCTGTCCTCAGCAGGACTGCAGACTGACTTACCTGTCTTCTTCCACCTTATAATCCTCTCTAGTGCTGGGATCAAAGGCATGTGCCCCCATGGCCCAGATTCTATGGCTAACTAGTGTGGCTGCTGGGATTAAAGGTGTGTGCCACCACTTGCCTGGCTTCTATGGCTGACTAGTGTGGCTAACTTTGCACTCTGATCTTCAGGCAAGCTTTGTTAGTTCATAAACTAACATACTCTCCAGAGTGGATAAATATAAAAGAAAAAATCGGGCTCCTCTAATCATCTCTGCTCCTGGATTGAAATATGATCACTTTCTAGATCATGTACATGCATCCACCATAGCAACAAGCCATGAGGTGATACAAGCAGGGAACAGCCATTATCACAGAGCCGGTGATGTGCCTCTGAAATACGAATGCTCACGTACTTGAAAACTAGACAAACCTGCCCTTTGTAAGTAGCCTGTGCTAGCCATTCTGTTCTAGTTACCAAGGCTGACTAACATCTAGACCAAATACACCTTACCGAGAAGATGTCCAACTTGTGTACATAAGAGAATATTACAAGGGACAGCCGCTCTGTCTGTGGCATAGCAAGGCAGCCTTGTCCAACACTCAAAGTGTGGCAATAAATCATTTCTCTGGTGTACTCTAAGCTCCAAAGTTCAACATTTAGAACTTTTCAACTTTTCCTATAGGGTATTACTTGCAGGGGCCTCATTAAAACCATCCAATTCCTGGAAGCCTTATCTTTTTCATAAGAGGAAATTTGCTTCCTCTCGCTGGCTGTCAAGCATTCTCTGCTCTTTGGAACTTCCCATGAACCTCCCCTGTAAGAATTACTTTTGTATTTATAAGCAGTTGGGGGGAAACAAACAACAAAAACATGCTGCAGAGACCATATGCTCTACAAAGCCTGAAGTATCTATTCCCCAGCACCATATAGAAAGTTCTTATTGTTGTCTGACCTGAATGCCTACTGTGACTCAGGACTTGGCATTAACTGATAAATCACCCACAAAGATACAAACATATACTCATTCTGTTGTCGTTCCATGAATATACATATTTACCATGAACACTTGAGAATGACCAGCATTGTCAGAAAAACAACCATTGTACAGACAATCCTAGCACACAGAACATGAGGACGTTAGTCATGAAATTATCTCCCCTTATTCCCCATCTGAGCTACTGGCCCTCAGTTGTCATTACACTTTCTGCAAGGCCAGCTTGGATATGCTGCCAGAATTCTTAACACAGGCCCTACACATTTACCCGGTTCTGTCTGAGGTGCTGCTGGACGCCTTGTAGTTTTAGGTTTGGGGTGTGGATGGCTTGGTTGTTGAGGCAGTTTGGGAGCTGAAGAAGAAAATCTCGGGTTAATATGATATTTTAGATTTTAGAAATGTTGGCTAGGAATACATTTCTTATGATTTCTTGAGCTTCAAGAAATTTCCCTTTTGAGTTTTGTAAAATTAGTCCCTGTTTTGGTATTGTGCTTTCTTATGACACTTGCATTTCTTCAAGAAACAAAATTCATGGATAAATATGAATCTATATATCAAGAATATTTCCTGTAACTTCTTGTAAGAGTTCCTGGCTGAAGAAATGTTTCAAAACCTTGCAGAATTATTGTGTGCAGAGGGGTGGTGTGGGTGGTTTCATGCTAATGAAAGTCCTAATAATTTCAATTGACCATCCTGGAGTATGTTTTTCTTTTTTCATCCTCATCAAATCAAAGTTTTATCATTCCCTAAAATGGCAAAACCAAACAAAAGCTTGAAAATGGTTAAAATGCAGAAATTCAAAACTTAAAATCTATCACATTACAAGAATGGCACAGATTAACTAAGCCTAGATGATGCATAGATTCCGCTACATGTACAGAGATGGATACCCCATAACAAAAAAAAAATGTGCACGTGATTAACATGACACATGAAGATAGAAATCTAAGGTGTGACAGTGAGCCTACATCTGTATATGTGTGTATTCTTTTTAAATACATTGGCTCTCCTAAAAACAAGCCATCATAAAAACAAGGCATCCTTTTACCACTCAAACATGTTAAACAGTCGAAGCACCCAACTATGCAGAAGTGTTGAAGTCCCAGAAGCAGTGGTGATCAAGGTGGCAAAATAAGTAAGACATGCAGATGGGGAAGGACACGGTATGCCATTACCTAAAGTCATCCCTGGAGCCTCAGTTCTAATAACTGGTTCAAGGGTTGTAGCAGGAACTGATGAAAAGAAGACAAGACATCAAAGAGACCTCATGAATGCAAGGGATGTTAGAAAATTCATCCTACCAGTAAAAAAGGTTTCTTTGGAGGCAACCTTATTTTTTTTTTTAATATTCTTAGCTGGAGAAAATGAATAATGTTTTTTTTTCTTTGAATACTTCTCCAAAAAATCACTACGGACTCATTTGATACAGAGGTTAGTCAAAGCTTTTGGATTCTGTTGAGCATCTCCTTGAGATCAACTCTGGAATACCACTGCTGGTAATTATCCCATTTTAACTAACATGAGAACCTATATAGAAAATCTGACTCATCATCAGAAAAAGATGGGGAAGACACCCAGAACTTTTATAAAAGGCAAAATCAGAAAACACATCAATGATAAACAGTAATCAGGGCCAGGTGCCATGAGCAGTTTAGATAAGTATGAACATGAAGCAGTTGACAGACTCTGTGGTGATTTCCAGTGATTCTGTCCCTGTGACTAACACTTTCTGTCACTACAGCTCTAAAGTTTGTATTTATATTGTCCCTGGAGTATGTGCTAGACCCATGACCTGCTGGCAGCTGACAGAGAGAAACAGGGACATAGGGTGAGAAGGAAGAAAAGGTAGAAAGTGTTGAGGTCGCAGTAAGGTTTGTCTATGATCGGTGTTCATGGCTATAAGGAAACTGAAACCACACCCATTAAGAGGTGAAGTCCTTGGAGAATATACTGTTTCTCAACAAGATGAAGAACCACTTCTTAGTTTCTGTCATCATTGGGTTGGTTTATCTTTAGTTCTATGAATAGAAAGAGCATGATCTTGGGCAGAAGGGAGAACCAATAAATCCCATAGGATCAACTTGAAGGTTTCAGTTCCCCCGACATACTATCTCTTTAATTCATTCCGAGAGCCAGCCTCTGTAACCGATTCTGTGAGAGAACTGGCAGGAGAGCACCAATATGTTATCCTCTGTCTGGAAGTCAAGTTGGGCTTGCTCTCCATGTGTAAGTCTTTGTTCCTTCATCCTTCCAACCTTCAAATCCTTCGCCAATTTCTTACTAATTATCTTGGATTTTTTAAATCTAAATGTTTATAGAGCTCATAATATGTAGCATTTGGGTTGCTCAAATTATTTTACGTTTGCATGGACATTTACCTCACATTACTTTCTGTTCATGTGGGACAGGTTTTCTTTGCTGCTGTGTTAAATAAGACTATACCTGATACTTCAGAGCCAAGGACTGACACAGCTTAAGAGAGTGAATGCAAGCTTAATTAATGCAGTAGCTTTGATCAGCTTGTTGTGGCTCAATACTATACCAAACAGTCTCATCTTTAAGATGCAAATATAATCAGAAAGAAAAATGTACATAGCAGTTATGGAGAGACAATATTCTTAAGAAAGATGCTTATGCATAGGTATGTCATGTTCTTGCAAACAAGGAGTTTTTACCCTGAAGAGATATATGTAGGATACCTTCTAATAGAGACTAAATCACAAACCACATATTTACCCAATACAGTCTGAGGTACTTCTGGATGGGGTGTGGTTTTAGGTTTGGGACGAGGGCGGCGGGCTTTTTTTGTTGTTGAAGCTGATGGGAGAGAACTTAGAATTAGCATGGTGTTGAATCCAAAGCTATACCTAGGATGATGTATCCCGTCAAGCTTAAAAAAATAAAATAAACCATAACAATTTGAGCTAAGGGTTTGAAATTTTTCCTCTAGTACATTAACATATTTCTTTAATAATTGAGAATCCTCCAGAGATAAAAATATGAGATATAATTACATTTCAGAAATGTAAGTTAGGAGCCATCACTATTTCCTTGAACACATCTAACCCAAGATTGCTTATAAATCCACATTCAACTCTAGTGGTGTGAATTTTGAACCAACTCCACAGTGATGCTTTTAAATTAATATGGCTGTGCCTGGGGAAGTTCCATACTTGGTGATTTACCAGAGTAAGTATTGTAAAAGTCACTGAAATATCAACAGAGCCAAAACAGTAACACAGAACTTGAAATATGGAAAGCAAACTTCTCAGACAACTCTCACCATGCCATCACTGCTGTTGCATTAGAGGCCTCCCTTAGGAGGGCCAGGTGTCATGACTGATTAAAGACTCAGACTGACAGGACACAGGTTCAAGTCAGGGCATGGATCAGATAGCTAGCCTGAATTAAGCCAAGGTACTTTCTGTTAAATGATAAAACTTGCAATATTTTGAGATCAGTCCTGTGACTGGATGAAACAGGGAATGTCACCATAATCTCCTCAGCAACCACAGCGATGCTCAACACATGGCGATGCCCACCAACAAACAGACAAACCCTCTCACAGAAGGATATAAAGAATCATTACCTAAAGATGGCTCAGGAGTGATAGGTCCCAAGTCTGCTGTGAGAAATGACCAAAAGCAATTTAAAACAAGGAAATGTGAAACTCATCAGAAAACCCATCAAATTCTCCTGAATATGGGTTTGACCAAGTCTAGCATTGGTTCTATAGTCAAAAACAACAACAGCAAAAACAAAAACAAAAACAAAAAGAAACCTGTAAAGCTTCTACATAAGGGACCACAGATGTTCGTACAACATAACCCTATCCTTAGCATTTCTGTAGAAGTAATGGTGATTTTGCTTGCTTTTCTACAGTTAGCTACAGGTTTTGATTGCTTTTACATTAGCACATAATGTGGTAGGGAACTCTGCTTAGAAAAATGTTATGCATATAATAATATTGTATTTAACAATTATAAGATAGTAACATGAAAGCATAATTTGTAAGACTATGTATTCAAAGACAAATACTGGAATTATGATAAATATAATTGCTGCTATATTTAATTAGACACAGTGAAGAATAACCAAAATAGACAAAACTTGATTTTGTTGAGTCTGCTTTGGGAAAAGTTGAAGACCTATGTGTGAGCAAAGGCAAGCAAAGAGGTAGACCTGGAGGGTTATTAGTCCACAGAACTTGTTACTCCATCTCTTCATTATACAGAAAGACTTGACTTGGCTATGAAGGGTAGCAGGACATGCTAATGGGCTCAAAGCAATCACTGAAATTGGGTTTCTGTGATCTTCTTTGTGGACTTTCCAAAAATGATATCATGGTTCAACTAAAACAATATTGCCCTTCTCAGTCAGGCTACACTTCTAGTTCTTATCTTTCTATTGTTACTCCCATACATGGCTCCTTTCTCTGTTTTAGGAGTCAGGTCCATTCTTTCTGGAAAATCTATAAAGGCTAAAAATCTCAGGTCCACATTAAACATAATTTTTACTTAAGAATGAATTATATGTCTAACAGTTGGCGAAACAGTAACTGCCTGATACAGCTCCTTTTTTTTTTCTATTTATGATGTCTGAATATGAGTTGCTTCTTTGTCCAACTAAGTCACCTGCTACCTCTAATGCATAGCCCACATATAGAATGTGACATTTAATAAAATATGTTACTCTTCAATCAAATATACTATGTATACATTTTTCCCATTTATAATCAAAGAGCAAAGTGTAATTAAATGTCAGTGAAAAAAGGAAACATAAAATTCTCAGGTGTCCAAGAATTCCTCATGAAAGCGGCATAAAGAAGTCATAAGGTTTGGTCAGAGCACCACGCTGGTATCAGCTGCTTCCTATGACTTAAGCCTTCAACCCTTAACGGCAGTGGGACTATCATTTCTGTCACATCTGATGAAGAGCCACAGGAGCCAAGAACCACATTTACCTGGTTTAGTCTGAGGTATCTTTGGGCTTGGGGTGGCTTTATCTTTAGGAGGACGTGGGCGGCGAGATCTTGGTCGTGATGGTTTGGGGGCTGGAGAAAGCAAAGTGGTTATTGTGGTTTAATGACTTCAGAATTAAAGAAAGACAAACACGTGAATGTAAGGTTTCTGAAACCTTCTTAGACTCTTGAGTTTGGAGAACCAAGTTTCTCTTTGATTTGGAATTCTTTCTTGCTAATATGTACATAAAACATTTTTGGTCTGCTGACAGTTGAGATAGACTGCATGACATTGTTTTTATTATTCTGAAACTTTTATTGTTAGTTGCTAGCATCAAAGAGGTTGCAGACCCAAAGGGAGCTGGAAACATGGCATGCTGGTATCACATCAGGGAGACCCTGGCTAACCTACTTCTGATAATTGTCCTTAGACCTGGCTTAGGGATATAAGCCATTAAAATTAGTGTTGCTATATGTATGCTACACTTTCTAAAATCACTTGCATACAACCAAAGTCTTCATATCTTCAAAAAACGAGTGACTTAAGAATGATAGCTTAAGGGGTAGGCACTCTGATGTATATCAGAGATTTATTTTTAATGTAGACTATTACTGAGTACTGAATAGACTCATGGGTTCTAGGAAGCATTTGCAAAGATAATGGGGGTAGGGGTAGCTAAGGAGCTGAACAGTGGTTTATAACATCCTTTAAGTACTCTTGATATGTTTTAAATGAGAAATACAGTTAATGACAAGAAGTTTGTGTGAAAGAAAAATCCTCTTGACCCAGGTAGAAACGGATCTGACAATAAGCAGAGAATGTGCATAAAGACGAAAAAGTCATTACCTAACGTTGTCACTGGAGCCTTGGTTCTCATAATTACAGGTTCAATGTCTGTGGTAGCAACTGACCAAAAGCAATACATGACAGAAATTAAGAAATGTACAAAGTGGTTTATCTCAAATGTGAAACATTATAAGCCAGTTTTTTTTTTCCTTAAAGGACTAAGAGATAGCTTGAGTGACCATGGCCCAGAAACACAAATTTAGGTTACCCCAAATTTCACATTCCAATGTGGAAACAGTTACCTGAAGTTTTATAGTTTTAAAGAACAAAGAAAGTCATAAATCAAGGCAAATATAAAATATATTGGCGGGCACATCAGAGAGTTGGGCACAGCAAGATGGGGGAAGCTATTCTGTAGGCCCAAGATGACATTCTTAATTTTCAGATTAGTGGAAGCTAGTGGCCTGCTAAGCTAGTAGACTTCAAAATTTTTTCTACATATTAAGTTACAAGATGTTAGTTCTGACACAGAAGTGGGAAAGGAATGTAAGAGTTATGTTTTAAAGCATTTATGAAGTCTGAAAGACTATTACTGCCAGTAGCTGGCCAGGTTCTATGCCCACCTCTCTCTCTCTCTCTCTCTCTCTCTCCTTCTCTCTCTTTCTTCTTCCCCTCTCTCCCTTCCCATTCCCCACTCCCTTCCCTTCTCCCAGTAAAACTCCCCACATAAGCTCACTCTGCATGGCCTGTGTGGTGGGGCTTCCTGCCAAGGTCCTTGTTGCATAAAGTTACTGGAAAGTATTTCCCTCTGTTTGACTGTCTGCTTCTACCTATAATGACACTCTGGCTCTATAGGTGTATGTTGTATTATACTAAACTAATCTGAAACTGGCTATAGAGGCTTCTGTTGTATCTCAAAGACATGAACCATCATTATTTTGGTGGAGGAGTGGTGGTTGTGAGAATAGGAAAAGTATTGCCAACTGTCTTGTTTCCTGAAGATCTATAGCAATTGCAAATGCCTGCCTTCTCTTCATAGCATAAGTGGTGCTTATTATGTTTCTGTATTTACTTATCTCAAATGGATAATGTGCATGTAATTATCCAGTGTATGGCTAGATATGGGGGATTGGGGAGATTGCTCAGCAATGGATCACTTGTGTAGCATGAATAAGATCCTAGCTTCAATTCATAGAAACTACGCCCCCACTGAAAGAATAAAGATAATTCAGAATAAAAAGGAAATAATGCAGCTTTTTAATCTCAATATACATTATTCCTATAAATGGAATAATTCATAGATCAGAAATGAAAAATTACAACTCACATTAAGTTAGTATCGCCTTAAATTTTTTTCATTAAATCTAGGAGTTTTCATGTAAGATTAAAATTTCTCATTATCTACTGTCCTCTAAGCCTTAGTTTAGAGACCAACTTTCCCAGATGATTCAGTGAACCAAGCATGAAGCTAAATTAAAAGGCATCAGAGAGTAGTGTCCAAGCTAATGACATACAGAGATGGAAAGAAGCTGGGACAAGATGAGGAAGATATTGTTAGAACTTCTTTTCACAAAATGAATTCTCAACAGGAAGGTCCACTTGCATTTGAATAGTATGGAATAAAGGAGAAAGGGTCATTATCAGAAATGATGGCTCATCATCATAAGCTCCAGTCAGCTCTCTTTTGTGTACACGCACACGCACGCGCACACGCACACGCACGCGCACGCGCACACGCACACGCACGCAAGTGCAGGAAGTCCCTGCTTTGAAAGACTGATGAACAGAGTCCTCTGGCTTCTGGCAGTATCAGGTGCTGCAAGCAATCTGACTCTGAGGTCAAAGGAAGTGTGACATTCAGGTACTATTAGCTGAGCAGACTCCCTGATATGGTGTTAGAATGGCCTCCACCAAAAATAACAAGTGCATTTTAGAAACAAATAGGGAAAGTCTGAATGATGATTAACCTGGAAGTACAGGTGATGAGATAGATGGGAGGAGAAATCTCCAGGAAATGTCAGTTTAGGAAGCATTTATTACCTATGGCTAAGGAAGGGGCTTCAGTTCCAAATGCAGCAGGCTCATAGGCTGGATCATTACACATAAGACACAGATAAAGAAAAAAAACAACCTTAAGTACTCATAATATTTAATTCAGCGACACTAACCACAGTTTCTTCTAGGTTGATGTAGATTGATTACGTGATGGACTAATTTATAATGAGATCTCTTAGTTTTATACTAATTGCAATCAGGAGAAATTTTCAGTTGTAAAAAGAATTTTCAAAATTGTTATGTAAATTTTTTAATATGGTAGAAAACCACACAGTTAACAATTACTATTTAAATACCAACAGGTTAGTTCAGAGGAAGCCAATCCCTATTGGTTGTACCCATGAAAGAGGAACACACGTCTCCTCCTGTGTGTACGTCCTATAAATAGCTAGCAAAGTCACTGTAAATTGTCCCAGGTACAGAAAAATCTAACTTCTAATCATTGTAAACTCAGAAAGGCATAAAATGCTTTTTTAAATCATGGGGTTTATATGACTATCAGGTATAAAATGTTCCCATTTCTTACACCTAGTGTGAGTACTTTCAGAAGATAAAGAACAAAATTATGATACTTGGCTGTGATTAGTCTAATATATAAACCCTTTCAACATCATTTCCATTGACAAAGTGTGTTAAGCTATACAATGGGAATTGTGATTACCGGATTTAGTTGTTGGCATGTCAGGTGTGACTTTGGGCTTAGGAACCATTTGCTTTGGTGGTTTTAAATCTGAAGAAGAAAAGGTATCATAGTTAGTGTCACAGCTAAGCTGTTGGTGTGGAAATCAATGTTACTTGTTTATTCCTTTCCCATATACATGCTAAGGCAATGAAAGTGTTGATTACCAGGCTGGATTTGGGGTACCTCTGGCCTGCGAGTTGATTTGGGTATTTGGGATGGTTTGGGAACTAAAAGAAAAGGCATTAGAATTAGCATAATGCTTATGGTTGTGACTGTCAAAATTAAGGATGTATAAGATGAGAAACACTCTGTGAAGACTCAACGCAAATATAAAAATAGTTCCAGAATGGTGGAAATGCCCATTTTAGCCATTCACTTGCACCATTAGCTTTCCATGAAAGAACAATCTTTTTTTAAGATTTATTTACTTATTATGCACACAGTGTTCTGCTGGCATGTATGCCTGAACACAAGAAGAGGGCACCAGATCTCATTCTAGATGGTTGTGAGCCACCATGTGGTTGCTGGGAATTGAACTCAGGATCTCTAGAAGAGTAACCAGTGCTCCTAATCTCTGAGCCATCTCTCCAGCCCCATGGAAGAACAATTTTGAGGAAATGCTTAAAGTATCTTTGAGCAAAGGTGGCATCATAAGACTTCCTTCTTAAATACATCATTTAAGAAGACTAAGTATAGCAGTTTTACTGCTTTGCTGGCAACTTTCTTTCTAGCATGAAGCAGTAAGAGAGAGAGTTACTTAGGAAAAAATCTGAAAAATTACCCCAAAACATCTGCTATTAACATAAGAAATAATGACACAAGGCTACTGATGTGGGGAATTTCTTAAAATGAGCAGAGACAAACTGATTTCTGAGAAGTTACAATGAAACAATTATAGGCATGGCATTACCACTAAAATAATAAAAACCATCTTGGAACTTTTAATATTCTCAAGTTGCAAACACAACTACCAATTTTATACTGGACCCTGGATCATCATCAGTCTATATTATACAGACATACTAAAGTCATTCTCCAATATGAATGTATAGCTTTTCAGAGTATTTCAGGCTCGATGAATAAAACAATGAAATCTTAGCCACAAAACTGGAAAAATGCCGTTTGTTTAGTCCAGGGTGACCACAGACATCGGTGAGGAAGAACAGATGGCTCTCTGAACACCAGGACATGTGATTAAAGGACACGGGGTCAGCAGAGAACTGGGAAGCTGTGCTCAAGACCACAGACCTTCCCCACATTATTGCAGCAGATTGGACTGGAAGAATTCTCCAGTCTTTAGGCTTTCCCACCCACACAGGAAATGAAGGGAAACATGGTAGACAGTGTGACAGAGTAACAAAACATCAGTCATGCTTAGATGGGAGACCATGAAAAGAAAAAATGACAAAAAAATCAAAACAGGATGCAGAATTACCAATTGTGGGGACCAAGAGCTCCCGTGGTACAGTGGCAGGTTCCAGAGCTAAGGAAGCAAAACACCAAGAACACCAATTGAGTGGCGGCCCAAGGAACGTAACATTGTGCCTTAAGATAGAAGCTGTACACAAACTGCTTCTTTCTGGATGTAATTTCCCTTTTTGCCTTTCCCATTCATCTCCATTCCCCCTTGCTTTCCCACACTTCAGCTGTCCTGGATTCTTGCTTTACTAACCCACTAAGTGGGATGAGTACACTTAGGAATCACAAATAAAGAGATGGATGCAGCACATGTAACATGAATGCAGAGAGTGAGTATACAGATACTCGGCTATACAAACCAACCATGCTGTCCCCTAAAGCCCAGCTGTTTGGAGGGCGTCACCTAACAAACTAGAAGCCGCAGCACTGCATCCCTGGTCACTGGAAACCTAAGTATCACATTTACCCGGTTTGGACTCAGGTGATTCTGGACTACGTGTGGTTTTAGGACGGGGGCGGCGACCTGGTCGTTTGGTCTTTGGTGGAGCTAAAGAAAGGAAAATTTCTAGTTAGCAAAGAAAGAGTATGACTCCAAACTGAGAGTAAAGTTACATGTCACATATTTAAACATTCTGATTCAATGTGGACTCATTCTCTTTAGCCACTTTCTGTTATCACCCAGTTATATGAAATATAGAATTTAGAGGATTTTTGATGTTTTGCTCTCTCTCTCTCTCTCTCTCTCTCTCTCTCTCTCTCTCTCTCTCTCTCTCTCCCTTCCACTACAGTTTTTGGTTAAAGATTTGTAAATTTCCCAAGAGATTTCCTTAATTCCTTAACTCAGAGATAGACATTGGAAAATCTCAAAATTAGTGTGTAGTTTAGAGGAGATGGTCACACAAAAGTTTCAAAGCTATAGCACCAGGAAGAGCATGAGGAAAGCTGCTTTTCAGACACATTAAAAGTAAAAAAACAAAAAAAATTAAAACTTGGCTTAATATTCCAAAGCAGGAGATTTTTCTGGTTGGTGTTTAAAAAGTCCACAAGTAAATAATAGGGGAAAATGAGTTTAGAAATTCTATCAAGGGGAAACATTTTTAAAATGAGATATATTTATAGGCTAGAGGTATAGGTTTTAATTTTTTTAAGGATAATCAAGAACACAGGCAAGTAGATACTGATCTATTATTCTATGAATGTGAGTCTGCCAATAATGACACCAGCCACTAAGAAAAGAAAGGAGTCACCCACTCAGTAACTGTGTGCCCAACTAATGTTATTACTGACACTTTCCCAGGGCTCCAGGTCCTAAAACCACATGCACAATTATCGAGCCAGAATCAAGTCAAAGGAGAAATGTAGAATCAACTTAAATGTGGGATATGCTCAATTTTTAACTTCTAGCTCGAGCAAATTATAAGTGGTGAAATTTTATCCGCACAAGAAGTAACCTTTTCTACTGAAATCAATTCCTGCGGTTTTAGAGAAAATGAATAAAATTGTAGCCAGCTAAGTTTGGAAAAAGAAATGGAAAAAAAGGGCAGAGGCATGGGTCTTTGTAAGCTGCAGATGCAGCACACTAACCAGGAGCTCTTGGGAAGCAAACTGTGGGTAACTGGCTAGCGTGGCACCAGAACAGGGTTCTTTGTTTGTTTGGTTTGGTTTTATTTTTCTCTCTTTTGAAGAAAAAAAAAGCTATAGGGGTTGGCTTTGTCTTCTTTTTCCTTTCTTCCCACCTCCTAATGGATTATCTGGTGACACATCAGAGTTTTCAGATCTGGAATGATCATCACGCTTTTCAAGAAAGTCTGCAAATGTTAGAGTTTTGAAAAGTAAGGGGAAAAAGAAAATACACCTCCCAGAGGGAAGCACAATTATTCCTCAGGAAGCCACAGACTCCACTGGAAATAACAAGTTAGAAGAAGCAATGGGAAAACTCCTTGAATATAAGACAGGACAGCAAAGAATGTGTCACATCCAAGGCAGTGTGGCTTTCATGGGTGTTCCAGAGCCTCTATTCTGCCAAGGCAAGGCACAGGGTAGATATTCTTGCAAAAAGCAACTGCAATAATAGTAATAGTAATAATCTGAAGGACAATTAAGTATGTTAAAAGTAAAGCATATCTAGGACAAAGTTGAACACAGAAAGTGACACAGGCCATGTCTTCACTGTGAGTCAAGGAAGCAGCTTTACCCTTTGTTGACCGTGCAGATGGCAGAGTGTCAGGTTTCGGGGCTGCAAAGAAAGCAAGCAATGTCAAAGTAGTGCTGAAAGGCAGAAAGTAAACACTCTGTACCGCAAGACAAGGTCACTCCTTGATGAAGGCTTGGGCTCCTCCAGTTTCGGATGCTGAGGCTTTCTCATCTCACATCCATTGTATAAACCAAGCAAAAGAGTTCAGAATTCTCCTTTGTGCCCTTCATCTCTGCTGTGGCTCTCACTACAAATATCTGGTGACTGTCCCTAGGACACCTTGAAGGTGCTCTGAATTTCTCGCCACCTGCCATTTTGTTTCTCACAAAGCAACCACGAGTGAGAGGAAGGTAACATGCCTTCTCCCATGCTTGGGCTCTGTTAGTTTTGAATGGTACCCAGCTTGGCTGGACCTCATGTTCTTTCTCAAAACATAAGAAACTTAAGTGTAAAAAGGGCCTCAAGGGCTCATATGGTATGCTCCATGGTTATGAGTACACATTGCTAGTAAACAAAATCCATTTTTGTTAGCAAATCAGTAAGTATCCAAGCATAGTCTCAGGTTTCACTAACTGCTTAATCAATTAAATAACACCTGATTATGGATAAACAAACCCTCACCTGGTCAAACAAGAAGTGAGCAAACTATTATATATTATGCTGGCTCTTTGGTTACATCTATTATGTTTGAGAGGAAAAAGCAACAGGATATTTTCAGCAGTTTTTGTGCTATTCTACTCAATAAAAGGAATTTTCTTTCAAGAAGAAAATTAAACTTAACTGTATATTTCAAGCATAGGAAAAAAATGAGAACTTTTACTTCATACGGAAAGAAATGGATTGATTTGGCACTCATTGGCTTTCATTACAATGCAAATCCTTCTCTTGTTTATACAGCTTAGATAGTACTTTGTCTCGAGTTAACTCTGGTAATGAATAGGAAGAATAGCAGGTTTGGAAAAAGCAGAGCATGACTCGGGGACAGGGAGGGAAATGACAACAGATGCTTTTATAGAGCAACTTTCTAGGAACTAAATACCTTGCTTTCATAACTCAAAAAGAAAGAAAATACAGTAATCCAGAGCTGTGCGATACCACATTGCGTATTAACACAGGAGGGGAACAGTTCTCGTTGTGTGGGAGAGGCAAAAGAGGGAAGGTGGCTCTGGTTTTCCAGAAAGGGACTGGGCTGTGCATACAAATAAAATGAGCCAAAAACAAATGTGAAGCTTCACTAACTAATCCACCTCGGAAAAGCATCTCGCATGGAAAGTGAAAGGAGGAAAACAGGCACTGGAGGAGAGCTGGGAAAGCCAAGACAGTTCATACTGGGAAGCTTCTGGTGGTTTACAGGCTCTTGTGAACTTCAGCTGGAAATGGGGACTTCTGCAGAGCTCAGATAATGCAAAAGCTCTGTAGCTACAGAAATGTTCTATGGAGATGTGGTCCAGACACTGTGTCTGGGGCCACTCAGTGTCCCTCTATTGTGAGGTTTGGATGCTAACTATCTCAGGTGGTGATGCTCACTGTCAGCGTGGGAAGGGTGAGGATCCCAGGGTTATGAGAAAGTATAGAAATCAAAGGAACAAAACCACACTAGCTTCCAAATAAAGCTCTGGCAAACAAACAAGTAGACAAAACGTCCAGTTAAAAAGTGGCTATTCAAATATTCTGAAGAGTAACAACACACCCTCTAGTTTAATATCTTTGCTTCATTTCTACAAATGTGACTTAGCATGTATAAACATCAACCAATATTTTTATAAAGCAGTTTTTGATGCTTTCCAATTTTATTGTGAAACCAGCAGACATAATTACTGAGAAGAAACATTTAATATGCTAACCACAGCACCCAGTACCTTTCTCCATCTGCCTGGCCGCAGCCTATATGGAAAATGCAGCATAAATATAAAAGTCACTTTCCGACTCCAAGCCTCCCTGAGAATGGTTTTCAAAACACACCCACATTAACAACCTGCCCACTCCAGCTGGCAGAGCCCTTAAAATGCTAGGACAGTTGAGTTTTGTACACTGTGCTTCTCACTTGGCTACCTCAGCAAAGTGAGGGGTCACTTTACACACTTTCACAAACCTCTATCAGGGGTTCTCAACCTTCCTAATACTGCAACCTTTTAAACACAGTTCCTCGTGTTGTGGTGACCCCCACCATAAAATTATTTTCATTGCTACTTCATACCTGTAATTTTGCTATGGTTATGAATTATAATGTAAATATCTGATATTTATGCTGGCCTTTTAGGTGACCCCTGTAAAATGAGTGTTTAACCCCCAGGTTGAGAACCGCTGATCTACCAATGGCGGTCTGAGGCCTACATCAGGACCCAGCCATGTTTTCAGATGTTGCCATACAAATTCATTTCTGAGCAGTTGCTTCTGTTGCCTTGTGCCATCTTAAAAATAAATCATGACCACTTAAGCAGGAGCAGCTTGCTTTAACAACTCCACTGCATAAACATGCTAGTGATAGAAATCCAAGTCGAGAAGCCTTTACACAGCAGAGTGTGGAATGCATTCTCCCCAGAGCTAAAGATTTAAAATTTACAAGGCAATGACAGTAAGTACTGACAAAGCTCTCCATAAATAATTTTGTAAGTCAATAGCCAAGACTGCTGTGTAAAGTTCCAGATAAACTGCAAAAGGTGAATATTGGATCACTCAATAAGTTCCACAATTCTTACATAGGGAACCTCTCTGTTTTTAGCCAAACAGAGAGAAGACTCCTCCTATCAAAAAAAAAAAAAAATAAAAAAAAAAAAAAAAAAAAAAATAAAAAAAAAAAAAAAAAAAAAAATAAAAAAAAAAAAAAAAAAAAAAACTCCTATAGAAAAACACCATAAAATCTCCTGAGAAGTAAACACAAGTCAGTATTCACAGGTCACCCCCAACTAAGAATGCCTGGCATATTGAAGAAACAGCTCTATCTGGCCTTGCAACTCGAGAACTGAGGTGCTCCAAACAAGCAGAGTTCTTAGAAGATAGAACCGTTCAGCCTTCAGCTGAAAGGCTGCTATGCGCGCATCACAAGTCCACTAGACCTCCGTACTGGAAAGAATGTTGTAATATGAACAAGAGACCCTCACTCACTCCCATGGCTACCTTTCTGTGTTTTCTGTGTGGTGGTCACCAACATAATATTCGCCACACAGCTCAGAGTATCGCTTTGATAATACCAAAGGGCTCGGTTGTGCTGAAGTCATCTGGTTGTGTTTTTCCACACTTTCCATGGAAAAATCACATTAGACACTAACATAGAAATCAAAACTTTTTGAACCAAAGATCTGCATAAATCAATTTTCCAGCATTATTTTTAGAACACTATGAATGAATCAGAGAAATTATCACATTTGGTGTCACTTCTAGAATGAGAGATATTTTAAGTTTCAAAGAAACTAGTTGTGCTTTGCAGAGTTAAAAATAAACAAAATAGTCAACAAATTCCTATTTTGGTATATAAAACCACAAAAGGAAAATCTAGTACTAAAACTAATTAAGTGGGATGAACTATCATCTTGGAAGATTTTGGAAATATTCCATTAAAAGAATATTTCATGCTCCAGGCACAGAGAATCACTTATGGAAGACAGCTTTGCTACTTTCTGGTGACTACTCAAAGCCTGACTTTAATTTTTTCTCCCAGCTACCGAAGTGAGACTAATTACTAGTCTTAGATATGGATATATACATATACACTTTGCTACTTTCTGGTGACTACTCAAAGCCTGACTTTAATCTATGCTTTTAGGTCAGTTCAATTAGATTTCACTCTTACTTCCTATTAGGTAATGGGGGTATGTTTTGGTGTTAGGAATCAATGATTGACAGGTATAATGCTGTGATCTGCAACACAAAGAAAATCCAGTAGCACCAAATTAAAATCCACTTTTTTCAAAGAACTCCTAAGTGCTTGAAGACATTTTTCCGAAAAAAAAAAAAAATCCTGAGAACTGGGTATGCAATCAAGCAACAAACAGCGCTGTATCTACCAAGTGCTGGTCCTAGAGAGCACCTTAACCTGAGCTCAGATCTGCTAACTCAAGGGCCAGCTACTCACACCAGCACAGTCATAGAACTCATGCAGTCTGTGAGATGCTCAGCGTTTTCCAAATGAGCTACAGAACAGACAGTTACTGACAGTTTACACAAGAGCCAGAACGCTGGCTTCCCCCCGTAGTAATACGAAGTAACACATATGGTATTGAGTAGGCTCAGGACTTTAAGACATTTCACAGTATTTGTCCTCGGACTTGTAGTTCTTTCTGGTGATGGGAAGGAAAAGAAAATTTATTTCAATGCAGTGATAGTAAAATATCTTCCAAGAAGGAAGGAACAGAGTGACCTTTCAAAATCCTGCCATATTTAGTCATTCCTCTGCTCTCAAAGTATGCACTTAGCAAAATTTGAAGGAAAGAACTTCTAAAACCATCACAGAAATATAGGATAGAAAAAATATTTACACTACACATGTAAGTGGAGAAAGTCTGTACAACACCTGAGCATACTATTAGGCCATGAAAACCATCACCTCCAAGTTGATAAGTTATATGAACCCCCTCAGGCTGTAATAGCTATTTTTCCCTTCCCCGTTTTCACCACCTGAATACTACAAATATTTTAAGACTCACGGCTTCAATTTATTCTTTCTTGGAGCTTCTTCACAAGAACGACAGACTGAAGTTCTATGATCTTATGCTTCATTTTCATTGTTATTACTCTCCAGGTTATAAGAACTTGACAAACAGAATAACATCCCTTTATATCAGCATGCCCAATGGCAAAACTAAAAGTGTGGTAAGCACTGGTCCATCAGACATGTCAATGTGGATGCTTACCCAGGATACAGTAGTTATTATCTCATATTGTGAGCTGTTGGGGCAAGACCTGTTCCCCGGGTTATCCTCAAATCCAAGAACATTCTATTGGAGACCCTGTTTTCTCTTTTGTATTACTGTGAGCTATTTCAAATTTTATAAAGAAACCGTCCTACAGAAAAATATAATTTTCTTTTACTATACAGAGATGAGCATGATCTACTTAGATTTAAGTAACCTGAAAAGTTAGAGATGTTTATTTACCAGGTTGGCGTCGTTTAGGTGTGGTGGGGACAGATGTAGTTTCCTGGAGAGCTGAAAGAGGAGTTAACATAGCTTTGGTAAGTGATACTTCTCCAAGGTCAGCCACATTGTGCATGCGAACATAAAAACACGACCCTACTGAATGCAAGAATGGCTGCATTCTTCCCTGCATTCATCAGTACTGGCAACTGATCCCCCTGGAGACCTTCTAGATTAATAAAAATTAAGAACCCAAAGGGTAACATTAACAGCAGAGAAGAAGCCAATTAGATATTTTGGAGTTAGGGAATGGGAAATTTGGAACATCTTTATCTTGTAGTTCATTTGTACCTCTGCCAGACACTAATGAACTTTAGTGTTTATTATTTAAATAATTGGTAAGACACGAGCTCTTTCACGAATCTTTCTTCAGCATACCCAGGATTTCAAGTACTATGTGATACTCTTTTTGTACCTTTATGGATTAAATACTATTACTGTGCTTACCAGAAAGGAATATACTTAAAATATTTATCACCTATGCTTCTGCTATGCTTTTCTAGTTGACAAAGTTGAAAGCTTGAAGGCAATCAAAGAAACTACTCTTCACAATAGCAAGATTGTACACAATCCTTGAGGTTTATCATAGGGCTAACTATGGATCGCTATGGTAGAGGTAGAATCCCATTGTAGAGAAAGAAGGAAAATGTTCACTAATAAAAACGCGGTCACAGGCCAGTGTGACTGATTCTTTCCTGTCACTTTACCTATATTTCAAAGTATACACTACACAAATGACATCAGTTACCAGTTGTTGTAGGCTGCACTTCAGGACTGGTGAAGATTTTCACATTTTGAGGATCAAACGATGCTTCGCTTGGAGCTGGAGACACAAACACCCCACCCCCCACCAAGCAATTTCAGTTAAAATGAGGTAGTTTAGGAATTTCAACATGCTTTCAAGATGACATAACGGGCATGCTACAAGGATGGAAAAAGATGCGAGTTGTCCTGCAGCTAGTGGATGACACTGTGATGTAAAGCAGAGAGAAAATTAGAATGATTGCTCAGTACTGGCAGACTTGGTCCATGAACATGAGCTGATGCCAGCCACAGTGCATGATGATGCAGATGACAGAGATGTCCATGCAATTTCCGAGTATTTTCACATTAAGATAGGATATCCATTTTTTTTTAGTTCTTCTAGTATGAGAAAGTGACAGATAAATAAAATAGAACATTAAAGATGCCTGTATAAAATATATCATACATCTATGTTCAGAAATAGAGAAGAGGTAAATGATTAGATGAAATGGGGAGGAATGGTCATTTTGGAAAAATGGCATCCACATGGGTTATGGGGTTTTAATGGAAAACAAAGCACAAAATTTCTGTTAAAAACATTACCCAGTGTTGCCCTTGGCTGTTCAGGAGTTCTAGAAGTTTTGGGTGGGACAGAGTCCAGAGTAGGATCACTTGCTGCTGCTGGAATAAACGTCAACATTTATAAAGGCAATAGAAGTTTGTAGGGATAAAATACAAAGTAATGCTCCATAAAAGGAAAATATCAGGGACACTTGAGGGATTCTAAGCCAATACTTTAAGCCAGTGATTCAATAGGAATTGAATCTGACTTCACTCTGCAAAACACACATCACTGAAATATCGGAACCCATAAAACAGCTTCATGCATTCAACCGATTCTCAATTGCTTTTCTTCTAGTTTCTTCCTTTGTTTCATGACTGCTAACAGAACCTACTATGATGATTCAGTTTTATTCCTTTTCTTATTTTCTTTTCTTTTTCTTTTTTCTTTTTGGTTTTTAGAGACAGGGATTCTCTGTGGCTTTGGAGGCGGTCCTGGAACTAGCTCTTGTAGACCAGGCTGGTCTCGAACTCACAGAGATCCACCTGCCTCTGCCTTCTGAGTGCTGGGATTAAAGGCATGCACCACCAATGCCTGGCTTGTTTTCTTATTTTCTACTGTTTAAAATTATTAACTTTACTTATCATACAAATAATGCTGATATAAGACTAAACACACACACACACACACACACACACACACACACACACACAATAACAAACATCTATCACTTAGGTTTGAGAGAATTTTTTGTTTGAATTCTACAATTCCTGGGTTAGTGGATTCTTGATACATACATATTTGCTAAAAGTAGATACTTGGTACATACATGTTTGCTAAAAGAAGCTGCTGGACTGAACTAAACCCACTGTAGATATGTTGGTAAGTGAATGTAAAACTTAGACACAGCTGAGCGGTGACAATCAAATGATGTTCCTGTCTTATCATGGGGTTCTCATATCAGCAGTACGACACTTAGGGCAAAAGAATTCTTAGTTGTGGGAGGCTACTGGATGCACAGCAGTGTATCCCCAGTCTCTCTGTTCTCGATGTAGAAGCACTGGTTAAGACCAGTTGTTTCTCTATGGAATGCCAAATGTTCCTGTACAAAGGAAAGATCCTAAACTATCTCCATTTGAGAACCACTGCCCTACAGAACACCCTCTAGGAATACAAAATATATTTTAGAATGATTCTGGATCAAAAAGTAAGATGCCATCATATTACTTTCCCCTAGTGGTGGCCTTGTCTATCTGAACCCTTCCCTTCTATGACAGAGGCTATTTACTGATAAAAAAAATAAAGAAATTATTTCCAAAGTAGGAAGTATGGACAGGAACTATCTCCCTGACACAGATGGCAATAGCTACTACCTACTATGGAACTCTAGAGAGCAGATTGCTTCACTTTGCAAAAATTTAAAGGCCACCACTATGTATAAGAAAGCCTGGCATGCAAAGGCATCATTGAAAGGTTGGGTATACCTGGGTGAGGCTCTACTTCAGTCTCATCTGAAGTTGTTGAGCTTGAGATAACACCGTGAGTTGCTTAAAAATAAAAAGGTAAAAGAAAAGATAAGTTAATTTTGCTATATTGTGCATGATTTCCTGATATATTCCAGTGGTGGTTGAGGCAGAGTTTTACATAGGTACTAGAGTTTGGAGAGGCTCTCTGAGTTGACAGTCACCACTACTGTCTTAGCTGCAGCTGAAGTTGTTGTCCTCCTCTCTGCTGAGTTGATGGCCACCACAACTGTCTTAGCTGCAGGACTTTACATACTATACTGGCTAGTTTTGTGTGTCAACTTGGCACAAGCTAGAGGCATCAGAGAGGAAGGAGCCTCAGTTGAGGAGGTGACTCCATGAGATCAGCTGAAAGGAATTTTCTCAATTAGTGACTGACAGAGGTGGGCCCAGTACACTGTGAGTGGTGCCATCCCTGAGCTGGAGGTCCTGGGTTCTAGAAGAAAGCAGGCTGAACAAGCCAGGAGAAGCAAGCCAGTAAGCAGCATCCTCTATGGCTTCCATATCAGCTCCTGCCTCCAGGTTCCTTCCCTGCTTGAGTTCCTGTTCTAACTTCTTCCAATGATGGACTATGATCTGGAAGTCTAAGCCAAGTAAACTCTTTCCTCCCCAACTTGCTTTTTGGTCATGGTGTTTTGTTGCAGCAACAGAAACCCCAACGAAGACACGTATCATGCTATGGCCCTGGTCTCCAGAGTGCTGTTTAAGTTGCACCATTTATTTATAATGAAATGATGCCAGCTCTAAATCAAAGAGCTTCAACAAGCATAAATGAAAATCTTCTAGGTTAGGGCAGAAGCTTCTAAAGGAGGAAAGCACATTGAAGCTAATTGTAGAGTCCATTGCTTACTCTTTCTTAGTAGAAGTTCCTGGCACAGTACCTAAGGAGCAAATGGTACTTAAGAGTTCACACTGTCTCATGAATTTACTTCTTTAACCTTGTTACCATCCCTGAGGATACAGGTGAGAGAGGCATTATCACCACTTTATAGATTTTCTAGACAATGAAATTGAGAGGTGTACAGCAGTAAAGATAATTTCCAGTGCTCACATGGAGGAACTGTGAACTTAGTGAATTTTTAGCCTAATATCAATCGCTAAGGTCAGCAGGACTAAGACTAGAACATTCTTGGCGCCACCCCTCTTTGTTCTACTTAGAAGCAGTTTCCTATGTTCCTCCATATAGCCATGACCCCTTGTACAAGGTAGACAGGTAGATTTGAAGGTAGATTTTTTTATTTAGTATAAAAGCAGTATAAAGTAGAAGGTAGGATGAATTGAGACATAAACTTTAATGTAGGGATACATTTCGTGTTCGTATAAAAGATGAACTTGCAAATAAAAGAAGTACTAAAAAATCTTCTCTTTGTGCATGAAGAACTGTCACTGTAGGAATAAGAGGTAGAGAAGGCAGAAACTAGGGGTAGACACTGCTTCTTTTGGGCATTTGATGACAGAGAATCCATGCTAGTTGAAGCCATAAGATAGTATTAGACAGTGACACAGAGAACAGCCCATTTTATCCCGCAAGAGAAAGGAGATGTGTGTCACTTGTGATGGTAAATCTACAAATTCCTCAAAAATAGGATATCCTGTGCTAAATAGGCTCATGTTGTGAGAATCTTCTTACATGAGGACATAGCATGCTAATGCAAAGTTAGCCTAGTTGTGATTTTAAAGTGTCAGGTGGGAGAGACTCATCTTTTAAAGAACAAAAATGCTGCCAGTGTCTAACCCTTGGCCTGCTTTAAAGCTCATCATGGATCTAGCAATATCAGCTCTGTCCACCTCTAAGTAAGACAGGAGAAGTTATTGACTTTTATGCATTCCTTTCTTCTTAGGAAATTATGAATTAACATCTTGACTTTATATCCATGCCTCTGAAAAATGCCATGGCTGCATTTATATTAACTCCCAAATCTACTAGTGATGTGACATCATTTTTTCTTCAGTCTGTCTTTTAGTTCCAAGTGGTATTTATTAATTAAATCTATTTCTTATATTTACACTCTGAGGTTCAAAGCCAGGCTGACACCTTTCCTAAGTTATTACTACAAATATTCATAGGGACCAGAGTGCTTTCCCATCCTCCATGTCCTTAAATCCCCAATTGTTACAAATCTCTTACTTTCAAATATTTTTCTTGAACATACCTGGGATTCAAATAACACATTTGTCAGCATAGTTGGTTTCCATATTTTTACTTCTATACTTTTTGAAAGTTGAATAGCAAAGAAAAAGAAACTAAAAAAAATCATACAAGTTTTATGCTGTTTGGTCAGCTCCAATAAGTGACTTAACTTGCTGCAAAAGTCAGTCTTTTGACTCTCAAATGACAGATGTCAGAGAAGAGGGAAGCATGGAGTTCTCTGAAAAACTCTTAAAATCACCATGAGTTTTTGATTTCCTTATAAAAATTTTGACATCTAAGTGTTCTTTACAAAATGCTGTATGTAAATCTGAGTATATTTCACTAAATTGTTTAGCCTGCTTCCAACCAACTATTCTAGATATGAAATTGATAAACAGCCCCCAGAGTTAGCTGTGAGTGCTACTGTTTTTCAGACAGTCTGCATGCCACCATGCCTTGCTAATAATCACCATCTTAAGTAGATAAAATACTAACACTGTTTGAAACTGGGCAGTAGCTTTGATCTTTAATTAATAGAGCCTATGTGAAACCAAAGTCAAAGGAAATAACTAATTTGAAAGGTAAAATAGGTAGCATAATTCAAAGCTATAAAAGAAATGAATCATGATTCTACAAAATTTTACTTACAGATTTTCCAGAAAAATATACACACTTGTAAGACCATTTGTTAATTATGTCTTATTTGATATATGTTTTTATTTTGAAAAACTAATGATAAGCAAACACCAACCTAAAATGCCCTGGTTGAGTTATACGATAGTACATAAAACACTGCAAATAGGCAACATTTTATTTAGATCAGATTTCCTGACTATCAGTAGCCATATGAAAGATTTTCCCTTTCAAACATAATTTCTTGGATGAAAGATTTTATTAAGAAAGAGATTATTGTCACAGCTATTTTGTCCTGCAAGGTTTATATGCTCTAGATCCTGGTACATGGTAGACCCACAGTAGAATTAACCTAAAAAATGTCCACTTCAACAGCTTAATTTGCAAGATGGGTACTTTAAGATCTTAAAAAGTATAATGACTTTTTAATTTAGATGCAGGAGTGGGAGGAGAAACATACCTTTTTGTCACTTAATAATACAGAAACGTGTGCACCTAAATATTTATTACCCAGTTTTGTTACTGGTTTATATGGCCATGGAAACAGAATTCTAACAGTGATTCACAGAAGCAATGAAGGGACACAGCACACAGCTAGAAAAGCACCACAGAGTCTCTGTACTATATAAATACAAATAATACTTCCTTCAGTCAATAGAAAATTAAAACACCACTCTGGTTGATCTTGAATTTGTGAAATAAAATAAAAGTTTCAAGCCCACAGACCTCTAAGAGGTCACAGTGAAAATGAAAAATCATCTGCTATGCTTGACTCTATTTTCTTGCCTTTGGAGCATCAACACTACACTTGTTCCTACTTTTCATCCTCGCTAGGGTTTAATGGGGTTGGATGAGCCAGAACTGGGTTAATCAACACCTCACAGAACAGGCCGATAGGTCCAAATACAAAGTTTCTCTCTTTCCAACAATGATCTCTAAGCAAATCAACCATAGTATAAACATTCCAACTCATATACCCCTCCTTCGGGCTCTGTGAACTACATAGCTCATCTTGCACAACTATGTGACACAAGTTGCTATGATCTACGAAATACTGGAAGAATTCAACACTGAAAATGGTGAGGCCTGACCTCTTAAAGTTCCATGTGGAGTACAAGGAAAAGATCAAGGCTGACCACACTACATTCTGACACTGTCAAAGCAAGTCTCTAAAAGACAATGAGGTCTTTGTAATAAGTCTCAATATATTGTAGTGGGTGGAGATTTCAGTTGTTTGAACATCTTGGGCAAGGACAGGCAAGAGGGTTTTCTAATGCTGAACACAAATGCATTGAATCATTCTGGGTTTGTGAATATTTTCTTCCTTTGATTCTGAACTTTCATGGTTCTAAATAACCATCTTTCTATGGAATGTCAAAATAAGGAGGCTTAAAACACTGATGGCACTATCAAGTGAGGGACAGAAAGTTCATATCTATGAACTTTGTATCATGCTAGGGTGTTAGACATCATGCACATGCCTGTTTGTGGGGTTTATGCTGCATTTCCAGCTCTGTTGCCCGTGGGAAACACAGAAGTTTCACCTGGACACCATTTTATTAGTGGAGTCTGTGCAAGTCCTTTGAACACACTTAAAGAGTAATTCAGGTTACTGCACTCACAGAACAGAGTGTGATTCTCTGTTGTGAAACCCTGTTCCCCCAATTCTAAAGCACACTGCATGGCCATTGCTTCACTTTTCAATCGGAGTGATTCACCAGATTGATTAAGAAATTAGTGAGTGTAACTATTTAATTGTCTACCCATCCCAGATGTAAGTCCCTCATGCATCTCCTTCCTATAAAAGAACTAATCATGCCAAAGGACATCAGAAACGTGCACGTGACATTCTTTGGGTTCAAGGGGCATTAAGTTTTGTAGAGAAAGTTGATGTAGAAATTATGTAATTCTAAGGGAGAAAGGATCCAACAGCATGTGATCTCATGAACACAAATGCCTAGTCCATTAGGTGGTAGAAGGTACTGGGAGCTTCTCTAAAACCCCTACTGTGATAACATTGGGATAATAGCAGACTGGTCAACATCCAATCAAACACAAGACCAACTCTTACATCACTAGAAAGACAGATTTCACCCTGAGTAACTGTCACAAGCACTTAAGTATTTCTAAGATCTGGCCAGTGTCCTTTAAACACAAAATTTATAAGTAATTTTACATCCTGGTATGTGATTATAGAGCACATTTTTATGATTTCCTTTATATACTTTATGGAAAATTAAATTTGCCAAGGAAATCAAGCTCAATCAACCCTAGTTAGCATACTTTACAGAAGGCTATATAAAATGCAATTCCAGATAATAAAATCACAACATACAGCACTAGTGAAAGATTAGGGCAAACAGACTGAATGGGGAAGAGTATATTAAATGACTATGTATCTCATATTTCTTGCAGTGCTCCAAACCTCAAATAGCCTGTTACTTCATTGCCAAAAACTATTGAAACAATTCAAGTTTCCATAACCATGCAAGCTAGAATTCTCAATTGTCCTTTATATCTCAAAAACTGGTAAGGAAGTCCTTATGAGAACACTTATTCTGCAGTTTCAATACAGTGTGTAAAGATGGCAAAATTTCCAGTAAGTTCCAAAGCAAAATAAATCTTGCAAAAAGAAGCAATGTATCATAATTAATGACTAATCAAGCAGCCCCAGCCATCAGGAACTGGCACGTGGCTTTCCCCTGCTGAATGTCAACAATCTCAAAGGATACTGATATTAAATGAGGTTGTTCTGTCATGAAAATAGATCAAGAAAATCAAAATTATTCTGTGTTCACATAAAACACAGGCACAACACAACCAACTTTACCCTTCCCATAGTTTGTGATTCCTTAAAAATCAAAGCTTCATCTCTATTCTGCACATCTTGCCATCTAATTAAAAGCTGTGAAAATACTCATTCACAGATGGACTCACTTTCTGAATGTTTTCAACCAAGAAAAGAAAAGCTTCACTACCCTGGACCCCTGTGATGATCATTTAACACAACACAAAAAATTGGTCCTTTTCTAGCATCTTCTAAGAGATCCTAAATTCCTACAGTCTGTATTCTCCATGTTTGTAATAATTAAACAAGGGAAGCTACCCAGGTAATTGGGAAATAGTGCTATATATTAAAACTAAACAGGATGCAGCTCAGTACATGCACAAATATACTCCAAATTTAAAAATAGGAAAGGTTCAAGTAAATGAAAGCATGAACATTTCAATTACTGAAGAATACACATAGGTCAGTTCCTGAATGTATAAACTCTTGAGATCACAAATAACCTATTTTTTTTATTTGAAATGTAACAAATTGGGATGGTTCTGTGGAATATTTAAACTGATGCTTAGAAAGATGCATTCCTGCACATTAACAGAAACAAGAGAAACATATCACTAGTTTCCATCAAGAACACTGATGATTAGTAATAGAACCTACAGAAATAAAGGCAGGTGTTAATAATAAGGGAATGCAGTTACCAGTTTGAGGCTGTACAAATTTGGAATCTTCAGATGTTTTAGCTCCAGGTGACACCCACTGCTCTTCACTTGAAACTATAGTAGAGAAAGAGAAGCCACTGGATGTTTTATGGCAGAGATGGAAGTGGCTAGAAACTGTACAGCAAAGTTCATATGGACCAATCAAGAGTCATCATATAATTAGATGCTAATGTGCACCCATCCATCCAGCAAACAACTAGCTAGATTGTGTAGAATTAATGGGAATGAATTTTAATGAAGCTGTAGGATACCTAATTAAGTAATATTTTATTTTCCTTTTCAACCAACCAATTACAGATTTCCTGAGTTAACCAAGTGCATTAGTGCATTCAGCGTCACAGAGAAGGGACTCGGTACATGTGCTCTACAGAAGTGCACAGACAGCACCCACTTTATGTGACATTTGTGATCAATCCCATGCCCTCATACATGGCAGGCATGCGTTCTGTCACTGGTCTATATCCTCAGCCCACCATGCACATTCTTTACACCAAATACAAAGTACTTTTTATTTACCCAAGATATCCCCTGGTTTCTCCAAAGGGAAGACTGTTGTTTTTGTCTTGGGAAACTCTGGGAATCTTTTTGGAGCTGGAGTAAAACACACAGGAAAGTTAGGACAGGTGCCCAAAACAGGACAAAAAAGGTTTCAAAATTTTCAAAGCTTTCAGTGAATAAAACACAGAAGAAACAACAGAAGATACCAATGTGTTCAGTCACATATGAGTCTGAATGAAAAGAAAAAAAATGTAACAACAACTACAACAAAAACCCATGACCACCACCAAGTAAAACTGCTGGCAGCTTTGTCACAGGGAAGGCCTCTTTTGAGTTCAAGATTATGAAGGTTGTTTAAAAATCACATTTAAGAGTTGAGGTGCTGAGTTCATTGTTACATATGATTTGTTAATTCTTTCCTTGTAAGGAGATGGACTTGAACACAGTAGCCTCCAAGGATTTCTATTAGCCATGCATAATATTCCCAAAGTAGCATTCATTGATGCTTCAGTGTGTGATGACTTTTACCTAGAGTGCTCAAAGGCAATTCAAACTCAGGTATTAAAACAGAATGTGCTGTTTCTGGGGTCTTCTCACTGAGGACTACAACAAAGAAGAACACGGTTAGCAACGTGATGGTTTGGCATAGCCATCACTAGGCACAGAAGGCTTCCTAACAGACTTGCGTGCAATGAGCAATCCATGCCTCTTCCCAGCAGCCAGCCTGGGAGGGAGCTGGCTCTCCCAGGAAAAGTCACATAGCTGTTAAAAGGGAAAGTGTCTTTTAGGTCATCATCACACATGCACAACAAAACACATGCTGGTCCTTTTCTTCAAGGGAAGAGAACAAACAAAAAAAGCACCATCGATTCTTTTGGGTGAAACAGCGGTTAGAAACAGCAGTTAAAATGAGCAACTGAAATTCTCATTAAATAGCATGCCTCTTGGTGATTCGTCCCAAATTTAGTTGGCTCAGGACTTCGCATAGCTGATCTGGACAGAAATCCCAGAGAGAGTCAACATTTCCAGCAGTTCTAGAGGCTGAAATACATGAACCCAACCCGCCAGCGGGGTCAAACGGGGCATGCAGTTAGGGTGTCATCCACCCTGCCTGTCTGGTTGATCACCAGGATCAAGGCATGGCACTAACTTCAGTAGAACTTGTCCCAGAAACAGGAAGGTTAATTCCCCCCAAAAAAGAAAAGAACAAAGAAGGAGGGCGAAGGGGTATGGTGGGATAAAGCAGGCTTTTAACCCATGAATGCTGGGAGTTTGTCATTATTGCCATTCTGTTATTTTAAGGGGAAAAACAGTTTTCAGTATTACCCAGTGTCGTCTCTGTGGTGTCTAACACGCTAGACACTGTGGGTTTAATGCTTCTTGAAACTGTTTCCGGAGTCACTGGGAAGTAAAACAAAAAGACAACTCTATGAGCAGAGATAATAAAGGAAGCAGCCCAGGTAGGCGTGACACCCCTTCTTTTGGTAGCCGTATCTTTTCAAGTTCCTAGGGTGAGGCTACCTACTGCCCTAGGTACCTGCTTGCTTCTCCCTGACCCAACCTTTCCATTTGGGGTTACAGAAGCATACCCAACTCCTCTCTATGTAATTATATTTCACAGCAATCTGAATGTTTGTCTCCTTTTACATTATCTCCACAGCTTAGTGTGATGCCTATAGTAAGTAGGCTTACAGTGATCTAAGAGAGTTAATGGGCAAGCAGAAAAAAGGGGGCAGGGTTAAATAACTATAACATTACTAGATTTCCTCTAAACACCACAAGTAACCAGCAGAGCTTGGATCCAGGCTGAAATTGTGATCAGTATTCAAGTATGTTCAGCCCCAGGATGGGTTGTCTCTGCTGCTCCATCAAAGGCAATGAAGAATTTGGGTAGAAGATTTGGTGAAGTATTAACCATGATTACTGAGATTTAAAATCGCTACAAAACCCTAGAATTTTTTAACAAGGACACATACTAATGATCCTGAATAATACATGGTGGGGATTGCCCAAGTATTTCTGAAGTGGAAAATCCTAAGGAGAGCTTGGCAGAATGCTGGGAAATCTGTGGACTCTCATCAGACATTATGCCAAAAGAAGAAAATGCAACTTAGAAAACTGGGCAGAACTTTTCACACAGAAATGGACTCATTTACTCACCAGTCATGCTTGTAACTTTCTCTGTATTAACGGATCACACTGAAGTTACAAAAAAACAACAACAAAAAGAAAGACCACCTTGCAAAAATCACTCTACTGGTTGCTGCTAGTTGCTCAAATGATTTCTACCTGTCTTACAAAAGGCATTTCTCAGTTGTTTTGTTACTGCACCAATCCTATCCTCTCTTGACCAAACACAAGTCCCAAAACTTAGTACAAACAGAATACCACAAATATCTCAAGTTATAGAGATTTTATGAATTAAAAAGTTCACTTTTGATGGGTGTTCTTTAACTAAAGGTGATCTGGGGGGGGATGCTTGCCAGTTGTCTGTGTCATCAAATCCTAGATAAGGTGGTACTAGATTGGCAAAAACTCAGTACTTCCAAGACTAATGTCTCACCAGAGAGTCAGGCTGGGTAGATTTTTGGAGAACAGATGTTGAATATTTGGTAGTAACAACAATAAACTATGGAGACACTACTTAATGCATGTTTCTTTACGGGTATTTTTGAACCAAACTGCTACATGTTCTCTATATTAGGGGTACTAATCTGCAGGGAAATTTGTTTCTAGACTATATCAAAGTATTTTCATCACCATCAAGTTATAGATTTGTGAAGGGACATAATACATTTTGCTATGCCAATCACTTGTGAAGGTAACTGGAAATGAAAAGTGGTCCTCGGTGCTCATACAAAGGGAAAGTCCATGAACCATGGCGTTATCCTTAGTGTAAACTACCTCAACATTGATGACACATTCATTCATAGTCAAAACACACTTCCTTCCATCATCCAGTCTCAGTTTTCATCTGTTTTTCCCCAAGTTTAAAGCCCTAGAACCTCCTATTGTTTTATGCTTATGATTGAGATGAATTTCTTTCTTGTTCTTTGCTTAAAAAAACAGGCTTGTAGCTCATTCACTATCTGAAACAATGCTACAATATTCTTTCTCAATAGCATCCTGGGGATCTCATTACCTGTTACTGGCTGGGCTGCAACTTTTTCAACCTCTGGCGTTTTAGATTCCACTGGTAATGCCAATGTTTCATTCTTGTCTGACAAAACAAAAACAATACTTCATTTCCTTGTAGTACAGTGTCCAAAGTTACTCATTTAAAACATAATCAAGCACAATTTTTAATTATTTGTTATTTTATATGTAAGAGCCTGCCTGTATGTATATGTATCATGTGTGTGTGTGTGTGTGTGTGTGTGTGTGTGTGTGTGTGTGTGCTGCCCACCATGGTCTGGAAAGGGACTGGAGTTATTGATGCTTTTGAGCTAAGTTCTGGGAATCAAACCACAATCTTCTTTAAGTAGCAACAAGTGCTCTTAACCATTAAGCCAACTCTCCAATTCCTCAACAACAACAAAACTATCTACAAGCATCTCTTCCTGTCAGCCAGGCAACTTAACTGAACTGTACATTCCTCCCAAGGGCTAGTATGGATAGAAGATAGACTTCAAAATTCTTCCCAATGAACCCTAGAACTTCTTTAATATCTTATTTGATACTGGAATGACAAAAATCACAATAAAATACTTAAATAAATCTCATCATTCAATTTAAAGTTTAAGGCATAGTCAGACTTGCAAATGTTCCTTGATTTTTATTCAAGTACAGCTAATTTTTTAAAAGTCACTAGGAATTTTCCATTATTACAGATGGCAAAAAAAATCCTAACATGTTATGACACTGAAAATTTTCAAACCCACAAATAAGAGACATAGGAAAGTAAGATATTTGGATAAGTTTGAGGCAAAACAAACTGACAATCAGTGGATTTTATTAGAGACACATGTTAACACATATCTTCTCTTTTGGCCTCTGGGAATTTGGTGCTAAATTTAATTTTTTTCCTCTATGCAACTTTTGGGAAATCTTACTTCTAAAACTTTGGTTTTTTTTTATAAAGAATAACTCTAAATCAGAATTGTCCAACCCCTGGGAAAGACATTCTCTCAGTTTTAAACTGGAAATATCTCCAGCCATTTCCTGAAATTCCCTGGGACTAACTAACCCCCAGCTGAAAACTGATCTAAGTCAGTTTTGAGAATATATATATTTTGAGAATATAAATTTTGTAACCAGCTATAGCTGGTATCACTTGTAGAGGTCATTTCCTTCTTTTCATTTAGTGTGGACACAAAAATATATTTACTTCTTACAGACTTAAAAGCAATTAGAAAGCAGGCAGATATCAACCTCGGTGGTTTACATTTCTGTAGACAAGGTTCAGTGTGCCAGTCACCACTGTCAAGCCAGTGTCTATGGTTGCACAGCATGCTTACATGACAGAAATACCCAATAACATTGTTGTGATCTAGCTACAAGGGCATAAAAGAGTAAGAACTCTTTCTGTGGACCAACCATACACACCCAGTATTTTATGAAACTCTTTAAAAATTTTTCTAAGGTTTTCTTTCTGGACATCATTCATAGCCACAGCTCTAACTTAGAACCATTCTGGTTGTTAGCAAGTAAAGAGTCACTAGGTTCACAAGCTTGTCATGAAGCTCTGTGCCTGTTATTTTCAGTGTTACCCACGGGGAGATGAACTCTGCAGATGTAAATTTCAGGGCCCATGTCACCTTGTACTCCCAACTCCATCAGAGAAATTTTGTTAATCTTTCCCTTTCCACTTAATGTCTAACTCTAATGCACAAACAGACTATGCGGAGCCAATACTAGCTTTTTTGTCCTTTATTCACACTTAGAACAAAAGCTATTGCACCTTTTGATGGCCCATGATGGGTTCTGCTGGAATGGGGTTATTAGTTTTATGATTTACTTCCTCAAAAAATACAACTTTTCTGAATCACAGTGATAATTAACTTTGGGAAGTTTATTTTTCCCTTGGTAATATAAAAAGTGTTTATGCCCATGCAATTTTTGTGCAAAAAAAAAAAAACAGGTTTCTGCACAGCAAAATAATCAGCAAAATGAAAAGTAGCCTACAGATTGGAAAAAAAAAAACATCTGAAAGCCATGTTTCACATATAGACTTAATGTCTAAAATATATAAGGAACTCCCGTAACTTGGTAACACTCTATAGCACAATAGTATGATTCTGACTGACAGCAATTAATGTGACATTTCAAAATAGCTGGTAGAGGAGCTCTAATACTCCCAGTGCAAAGACATTGCATGTGTCTGAAGTGATAAATATGCCAATTATCCTAAACTCATCATTACACTTAGTATATCTGTATTGAAGTATAACTCATAAGACTTGATACCCTGAAACTACTAGCAGATAAAGAAGGTAGTGCAATTCAACAGCGAGGCATAGATAAGGTTGTTTCAATAGGACTCCACAGTAAACCAACAAATGGGGTCTCAGAAAACCCAGACACTTTTGTACCTATGAAGACACAGCCCACAGAATATGACAAAATATTTTTGAGCTATATATCTAGAATATATAAGGAACTAAAAAAAAAAACCAACTAAACATTAAGTAAACAATCCAGGTAAAAATGGGCAAACAGAGTTCTCAAAAGGAGAAATACAGATGCTATTTGTAAACTGTTTCCTAACCAGTTTAAAAAGTGTTCAAAAACAACTAAGGAGATTGTCACTGAGAGATACCATAATAGAGGGAGCCATTATAGGTTTGAGGAGAGATCTGGCACTAGGGAGATTTCCAGAGATCTACAAGGATAACACCAACTGGCAATCTAAGCAATAGTGGAGAGGCTATGCTAAATGCCCTTCCCCTATAATGAGACTGATGACTACCTTATATGCCATCCTAGAGCCCTCATCCAGTGGTTGATGGAAGCAGAGGCAGACACCCACAGCTAAACACTGAACTGAACTCTGCAACCCAGTTGCAGAGGGGGAGGAGTGATGAGCAAAGAGATAAAGACTGGGCTGGTGAAACCTACAGAAACAGCTGACCTGAACAAGGGGGAGAACATGGACCCCAGACTGATGTCTAGGAGGCCAGCAGGGGACTGATCCAGACCTCTGAATGTGGATATCAGTGAGGAGGCCTCGGCACTCTATGGGGCCTCTGATAGTAGATCAGTATTTTTTTTAATTCTTTAATTACTACTCATATTTACATATCCATTCCCCCCATTCCTTGCCCTCCCATCCTCCCATGTTCCCCACCAACACTCCCAACTCACCCAAACCCCTCCCCAGGGATAGTGACCTTCAAAGTCTGTCGTATCATTTGGGGGAGGGCCTAGGTCCTCCTTGCTGTATCTGGGCTGCAATGGTATCCCTCCATAGGGGATTGGCTCCCAAAGTCCACTTGCGCTCTAGGGACAAAGACTGGCTCCACTGTTAAAGGTCCCATAGACTGTCTTGGCCTCCTAGCTGGGACCCACATTCAGAGGGCTGGGTTTGGTCCAATGCTGTTTCCCCAGCTTCCTTTCTGGGGGTAGATCAGTATTTACCCCTGGAGTAAGAAAGGACTTTGGGAGCCCATCCTACATGGAGGGATGTTCTCTCAGCCTGGGCACATGGGGGAGGGCCTAGACCCTGCCCAGGATGACAGACTTTGGGGATCACCCATGGAGGGCCTTACCCTCCCTGGGGAGCAGAGGGGGGGTGCTAGTGGGGTTGGGGGAGGAGGGGAGGGAGAGGGAGCAGGGATTGACATGTGAAACAGGATTGTTTCTAATTTGAACTAATAAAAAATAATTTCTTGAAAAAAAAAAAACACTTGTCATATAAGACTAGAGACTTCAGATGCCTAAAACCCACTAAATTCCACGTGGGCATGCATGGTGGCCCATCTTTTATTCTAGCCTCAGAAGGGAGAAACACAGGATCCCCACATGACTAACCATAACAATAAGCTTACATTTGATTAAGAACCCTGTCTTAGTGGACACACTGGAAAAGTAATGCAGGATGATTTCCACATCAACCTCAGGCCTCTACATGCACACACATATATGTGTGTGCACATGCCTGCAAGCATGCATGCATGAACACATGCATATTCCATATATGTACATGCAAATGGAAAAGATCCACTATCATTAGTTATCAGGGATGCACACTAAAACTCTGAGATTCTATCTCATTTCAGTCACAGTGGCCATCATCTTCAGATCTGCTGCCAGAGACAACGTTAAGCCCAATTTGATAGTCAAGTACAACAACCAGAAAAGCTGTCTGGGTCCCTCTGAAGACTATTTTCCTGGTCTTTTCTTAGTTACCCAAACTTTATCCAATTCTTTCTAGAAGAAGGCAGCATGAACTCATTCTAATGTCCACTTATAACAGCTCTCATTGAAACTACCTAATGGAACTGGATGGAGGTGGTGCACACCTTTAGTTCCAGCACTCAGGAGGCAGAGGCAGGCTGTTATCTGTAAGTTCGAGGCTGGCTTGGTCTGGAGAGTGAGCTCCGGGACAGGCTCCAAAGCTACAGAGAAACCCTGTCTTGAAAACAACAACAACAACAACAAAAAAAAACCCCAATGTCCCCTTATAACAAAGTTCAATGAGTATAATTTAAGTTTTCAACTTGAAAATTTTTACCTATTCAAATGACTACATTTCAGATACTGACACCTAGTTTTCTTTCCTATATGCATATGTATAAAACAGCTTTCCATTCACAATGATAGTAATTTCTCTGACATCCAATCTCCATCTCCACATTCATCATTTTGTCCTCAAATGTCTCATATTCTCAGTGCTGTCTCATCCAGTGCTATACTGTTCATGGAAAAGCCCCTGCTTACCTAATTGTGCCTTGAGAGCATCCGAAATCTCAAGCATTATGGATGTGGGAAGTTTTACCATGGAATCATTAAGACCTGGAATAATAAGATGAACTGCAAGGAAACAGATATAAAAAAATGTAAGAAGGGGATTGTAGGGGAAGCTGTAGCCACGCCTACTTAGGAGCTGGCTACAGGGGAAGAAATATATCAGACAAAAACAAAGAATGTAGAGTTATAGAACTCAAAGGTCTGCCTTTCCCTTCCCTTTGTTAACTTTAACTCCACATCGAAAATGTGAGGAAAACATGCCTGCACCTTTTTAAATGGGTGTTTTCCACTGTTAGAACTTCTCACCAGAAATCCTCTGGGTTTACATTCACAGGCTTAAAGTTTCTGCAATGGACTACAGCCAAGATAAAGGTGGTATGCCTTGGTTAGATAGCTTAGACTGGATAGCTTAGACTGGGCACAAGCCAAGCAATTAAACAGGGAAATGAAATGGACTGACACTAATTTGGCACACTTGCTCTCAGTACACATCCCCATAACAACCCTCTTATCCAAAGATAGCCAAGATTGCCTGCTCTAGATACACATTTCATGGCTGACTTACCTAGTATTGTTCCTCCAAAAGGAGTCTTGTCTGGGGCTTTAGTTGAAGCCTTGTGGGTCACATTCTGAATCACTGGTGAGATATAAAAGCAATAATATGATAGGGATGAATACAGGAAGTTTTAAGAAGCTAATGGTGTACAGCTACCTTCCCTTATACAGCCTTACTCTAAACGTATCAGTTGACAGAAGCAACTCAGTGGACTGGCTACAGAGTCAACAGAAGAATTTGGTATGTCTTACTATCCATGCTTTGGGGCCAACAAAGCATGTCCTTATCACCCTACCATTAAGTATCCTATTCCAAGCAGTGGAAATTCCCAGTCTCTACTATATGTGCATTCACAAAGCAATTAAGAACAGCATACAATATTGCAATAACAAGACAATATAAAATTACACATCATAAGCCAGGCAGTGGTGGGGTGGCAATGCCTTAAATTCTAGCATTCAGAAGGCAGAGGCAGGTCGATCTCTATGAGTTCAATCTCTATTAGTTCCAGGCCAGCCTGGTCTACAGAGTGAGTTCCAGGACAGCTAGGGTTACACTGAGAAACCCTGTCTAAAAAAAATTAAAATATATATCTTCAAATCAAAGAATTTTTCAATGACTCCAGCAGGAACTGGTCTTGTCTTTAGCATATACTTAGCATACTGTGTTTTCTTAAAATCAAGAACTATTTTGACACTTTAGCTCTTCTACCAAGAGGTTTTTTCTGGAAATAATGGAGTCATTTTAATAATTTAAAAACTGGAAACCAAAATGAAAACAACAGTACAATGAAATAAAATCAGCACTGTAATTCTTAAAACATGGACATTTTTACTTCCCCTAAGTGACCACATTAAATCACGATTTTCATTCTCAACATCCTAAATGGCCTACTAATTGTTTTCCTTGTGTATGCTAACTTAATCCTAAGTAAAGCTCCACATGTTTAACTGATTATTTTTAATGTGACACATGGTACAAGTGCTTTGTTGCCCAAATGTAAGATTTGTCTGAGGGTTTTCACATTGGTATCACAGCCAAAATTATGTATTAATCACAAGTTTACTAACTTACACTGGTTTCTTTAAATGTTTTCCAAACACCATTGTCAGAAAAATTGAGAACACACACACATTGTATGTTCAACTCTATTAGTTGAACAGATGACTACAATAGTTCCTGAGTACAGCAGACTAATTACCTTGCTTGATGATTGTTATTGGGATTAGCTTCCTTGGTACATATGCTGGCTGGAAAGAAAGAGAGAATGTCAGATTTTATATCAGTGTTAATTAAAAAAAATCTGAATTCTAAGAGGAGCCCTTTCTTGTCTTCCATGAAGTCACCCGTGGCAGGCATTTGGAAGTCACTGGATAGATATTTAGCACATACGTTTCCACTGTACAGAACTCATTTGTCTATCCCATAAAGAGCCCAAACCTCACAGAAGCAATTCTTCAAAACTCTCATTTACAGGGGAAAGAAACTAAATCCTCTACAGAGAGCTAGCATTCATTTCCATTTTGTTTGACATGTAGCCCAGCCACCCAGCGTCTCCATACTTTCTCTCAAAAAGATGCTGAGCTATATACTATCTTCTAAAGCCAATCCAGTCTGGTTATTTGAGCATGACCTACTGGTGCCGCTGTTATTAAAGATACTACAACCATCATGAGCTCTTAGCATCACCATTTATTGCCCAAGGTGGAAGAACAGGTACTCAGAACTAGATTATTTCTTAAAATTGAAGTGGTACTTAATCACCCTGCACTGATTTATATGTGAGGGACTCCCAATCTGAAGGTAATTAATGAACCAGAGGATGGTATGGATTTTATGTCTTCTCGTCACCCAAACTGTCTCCAAATTCCCATGGGAGGCTTTGATGTCATGCAGTGCCTAGGGGTAGGCTTAGATTTTAAAGTGGAATCACTGCCACACACCTTCACATGGCCAAAGGTGAGATGGAGAGGAGTGATGAGAATGGCAGGAAGTCCAAATAGGAGGGTTAGACTTGAGTTGTTGAAAGTAAGAATGGCAACTTTTGGCACTTGGATTCCCTCTCAGACATGGAGCAAACACGCCGTGCAGATTTGGCTACTTTGAATGTGCACTCAGTGTGAGACATTAATAAAATTGGCATTCAGTGTTGTGAATAAAAAGTTTGATAACATGTCATCATTTTTCAGGATGGTCTAATAAGACATGGCAAAGAGGGGGCTACTTGTCTTCTTGTATTATGTTTAAAAACTGTTAACATTTTATGATCATCACTGGATTTTTTTTGAGACAGAGTTTCTCTGTATTGTTTTGGAGGCTGTTCTGGAACTCACTCTGTAGACCAGGCTGGCCTGGAACTCACAGAGATCCACTTGTCTCTGCCTCCCGAGTGCTGGGATTCAAGGTGTGCGCCACCAGTGCCCGGCCATCACTGGATATTTTTAAAGGATAATCTCTCATCTTTTACCCAGCAATTTCTCTTACCATGCCATCCTAAGTACTCAGTCAGGTACAGATAATTATGTGGGTAATCACTTTACTGCTACAATTGAAAACAACTTCATTACCCAAAGTTTGGGTTATATTCAATAAGCCACAGTTCAAGTGATTTATTTCTATTTAATAGCCTGAAAAAATATGAAGACTACAAATATAGGCTCACACTATAAGCCAATTTTATAATACACAGACACACACATCTACATACATGCATGTGTACATACATACAACAGACTAGAAGGAAATACATCATAATTTGAGCAATAGTTATTACAAACAGTCATTAAATTTTGTGCATACACCTTTATTTTCCAAGTTCCTTACACAAGTGAGTTATAATAGTTCTAATCAGAGAAAAGTGTTTTCATATTACTTCACCAGTCATGCATGCTTCCATACTGCAACTTAGATTATTCACCACTGGTAGACAGGGCAATGATTGAAAGATAACTTTGTCATATTTTTTCCAAGGCAAGAACAGGGAAACCATATGAATAGAAGCACAAGAGAAACATTCATAGCAAAAAAAAAATATTGTTAGTGATGAGTTCACACTAGCAGAAAGATCCCTTCTGGCTTCATCACTGTGGCACCTGTACACAGTTCCCACAAAGACAGACTGGTCCCTACCACTCTTACTGCACCCCCACCTCAATAGCCACCCTAAGGCTGCCCTGCTTATATTTCTACCTATCACCTTCTAAGAATTGTATTTCTACATTCAAAAGTTCATATGTGGTTTTCTTGCAATTCATAATTTCAAAATTGTTTATACATATGTAATGTTTCTGAGATACAATGTGATGTTTTGACAAAGTTATACAATGTGACCCGTCATTTTTGTGGTTGAGACATTGTAAACATTCCAACAAATTTGATCGTTGCTTTCTAGTGTATGATCATTCTCAAAAACCTCTTCATCCTGTCTAAATAAAACTTTAACATTTCCCTCCTTCCTCAATGTTCCTCTTTCCACCCTTAGCCATCACTGGCTTCTCTATATCCATGAGATCAAGACTTCTGAGAATTCTACATGCCAGAGGGATCAATCTTCAGTTACAGGAGAGTCTCTTGTGTAGGAAGTCAGATTATCTTTCTAGTCCTAATAGGTCTATGGCTAGAGTTACAGAGACATTTGAATATCCTGCTTCACTTGCCCTGGGAGTCCTATAATAGTATTTTACAGAACATGAGGTTTCTCAAAGGCTGTTAACACACAATAGCAGAAATGTCTACACACGCCTGTGTTGATCCCCTTTGAACTAAATCACACCAATTTACAGTTCTTATGCTACGGTGATTTGTCTCACACAATTTTTTTTTGACAAATGGAAACTATTCCACTCATCACACGGATGGAAAAAAGTTTCTGTTCTGAGTTCTTGCTTGAAAACTACCCAATGTTTTATTAAGTTGATGACAAGAGTATAGATACAGGGTGTACTGCCAAAAATAAGGGAATGAGTTAGCTGCAGAATGCATTTCTCTCTAGGTCTGCAATTGCTCTTTTTCCTAATCTGTAATCCAAAGAGTAAGACTACACCAGGGAACAAATGTCTACATCTTAGCAGATAGGTTTCTTTTTAAAGTGTATTAAGAAAGTATAGCTATTCAGTGTATCTACCAAAGACTAAAGTTCCCACCAAGAAATCCACATTGTGTGTCATTCCTCTGTGTCTGCTCATGAAGTATAGTGGAAGGAAACATCTGTCACCTTAAATCACTTGGAAACAAGATGTGTTAATTCTTAAGATACCAAGATTTAATCAATGATAGCCTAATTTCACTTGTGTTTTATGTTCAATGCTTTAAAAATAAAGCCACCACTTCCCTTGTTCTCATAGGCTTGTTCCTATGGACACTGATGAATGTATGCTGGAGCCATGGGTATAGATGTATGGAAGTAGGGTATGGGAAGTAAGGTAGCAACAGGATTTCAGGCTGCCTTGTAGTGTGGGCTGGTACTACAGTCTGAATACGTCCCCTAAAATACACATATTAACAATTTAATCTTCAATACAACAGTATTAGCAGGCATAAACTAAAATAGGTGACTAGATCATGAGCGATCTCCTTTGCTGGGGAGCGGTTTATCCCAGAATACTACGGGCTCCCTGATTATTCTTTTTGGTGTCTTGTCAACATGACACTACTTATAGTTATCTGGAGAAGAGGAACCTCATTTGAGAAAATGCCTCCATCAGACTGCTTGTATGCAAATCTGTGGGGCATTTTCTTGATTGATGATTGATGTGGGTGGCCATTAAAATTATTTTTCAATTTGGTCTCCTGAGATTTCTTCAAAATGATAATGCATTTCCTTAGTTCACCAGTCACCCAGTCTGCAGCTAAATCTCTGGGAACTAGATATTGTCTTCCTTATTCTTGGAAACCTTAGTCCTCTGGGAAGGTGGAATGTGCTTATCAAACCCTACAGTTATCTTTCAGAAAGCTCTTCCAACAGATACAGCTTGCCTAGAGGGTAATATCCCTCCTTACCAAATGTCCCTCCTTAAGAGTTTGTGTAAGATTTCATAGAGATCTCAGGCTAAGTAAAGCCCTTTTGTTGCTGAGTGGGTCACAAGGCCAAGAAGATGTTGGGCATCTCCTAAATGTACCCAATGGCTCTGCAGCCATGGTTACTCCTGGGATGGACTGGCAGAATATAGTAGAATTTCCTTGAGTTGAAGTTACAAGTTAAACATTCAAGATCTAAGACTCCAATAAAAAGTCAAGCTTGCCTTCATCTCCCTCTTTTCATTTTGCTTCCTGAAACAGGATAACATATCATGAAGTCTTGTACCAGATGCCAGCTCTTTAATCTTAGACTTCCCAACCTTTAGAATTATATAAAGCATACATCTATGGTCATTACAGATTACCCAAGTCTGTGGCATCTTCTTGTGGCCATGGAAAACTACTAAACAAACAGACACACATAGGTACAATACTGCTGTCCACAAATAACACCATGTCAATGATGTTCTTAGGCTGTCTATCTTTGTTCTTCAACTTGTTGGCCCCCACCCAATCTTTATGCAACATCCATCACTATGTCTTTCTACAATTTCTATCCTCCTCACTTAGCAAATGTTTTCTGAATGTCTACAGCATTCCAGGAGGTAAATATAACCATCACTGCTCTGTAAGAGATAAGTTACCTTTTTCTCAAAAAATTCTGTTTCTTTAAAGACATCTTAGGTCATGCTAGCCTTGAACATGGTGCTATAACACCATGGTGCTCCACCTTTAGCAGGGCAATCACAGAGGATGCAGCTGGTGCTGCTGAGTGTGAAAATAACACTAAGGTAAAAAGGGAAAGCCAATGGAGATAAACTGAGTGGGGTTTTGGTGTCATTCTGTTGTACTATTGGCATGACTAGAGAATGCCTTTGACTATGTAGAAATAAATATAACAGCAGCAGCCACACAAAGAATATTGAATTCACCCTTTCCACTATACCAACTCTCTTCTGATACTATAATCAAAGTTAGCTTTAAATATCAGTGCCAATCAGGGAGGCTATTATTAGAAGGCTCATCCATTTGGCATTTTTTTTTGTGGCATCAGAGTGTCCATTGAGGGTTTAATTGTATTTTTAGGCCCTGGGATGATGCAGCTGTCCATTTGGGGAGGAGTTAAGGGAGGAGTTGAAATTGCATTTCAAGTACTCAAGAGCCAAACCACATGAGAAGTACTTGGGCATTTTAAATTATGCTTTTAATTCATTTTAGGATGTTCTAATGAAAG